AGGAGCATCAGAGAAGGGTGGATCTGGAGCGTTGCGCCGTTTTCTTCTTGGGCTGGGCACCCAGCTCATTGTCCAGCTGTCCGGTATCAACGCCACGTCTTACTATCTCCCAACGGTCTTGATCGAGTCCGTTGGGTTGGAAGAGAAGCTTGCCCGTCTCCTGACTGCCGCCAACTCTGTTCACTACATATTCTTCTCATACTTGGGGATGATGCTGATTGACAAGTGGGGTCGTCGGGGAGCTATGATCTATGGTCAGTGGTGCATCAATAGTACATGCGATCAAGACGATTGGAATTGCTAATTTTGGGTGTGATATAGGAACTTCGGGTTGTTTGGTATGCTACATCATTCTCACAGTTCTCATCAGGACTGGTCAATACGCGACGGACGAGGGCCTGAAATATCGCGTAGGCGCTGCCTCGGTCTCGATGATCTTTCTGTTCTACGCCATTTTCGGTGCCGGGTGGCAAGGTACTGCATGGCTCTACAACACCGAAATCAACTCACTGGCCATGCGAATGAAGGGCGCCTCGGCCAGTGTGGCTGCACAATGGGCGATCAACTACATGGTCGTTCAGATTACCCCCATTGGCATCCAAAACCTGGGCTGGAGGTTCTATCTCATTTGGGTGTTCATGCAGTTCTTCTCTGTTCCCATTCTGTATGTTTTCTACCCGGAAACTGCGAATAGGAGGCTCGAAGATATCGACATTGTCTTCGAAGAGGGCCTGAGGACGTGGGTGTTTTTGGACAAAGAGGCTACGCAAGTTGCGCGACCACACCGCTTCGTCGTTATGGAGGAGGAGGAAGTTGCCGATGCTGCCAATGACATCAAGGCCAAGGTAAATAGCCCTGAGTTCGAGCAGGTTGATCATCCGATTCAATCCAAATAGGGTGACAACTGTAGCAAGACATTATTGACGTCAGCGTTCTTTTGGCAATGACTATGCCTGACGACGAAGAATTAGCTAGGAATGCATGTGTTTGAGCTTTTGCTTTTAGAGATTCTGGCTTCACGTAACACCATATCCTTTCTCTCAGCGAGACCCGCAATCATCAATGACAGCACACGACCGTGAAGGGGACGGTTAGTGAAAAGTTGATAGGCACTTTTCTCGACAAATGAAGCACTTAAACAAGCTAAATGTGAAGAGGTTCTGGGAAAGCTATAGGCCTCTACCTAGTGGCGTTAGACAACCCGACAACTCGTGCGTTCGGCCCATGTGGGGTACTGCCGGCACGGAGCCGAGCGCCGACCGGCGTAACTCAGGCCAGCTACCGGCCCGTAGGACTAAGCCTCCCACGACCATCCTCGTACCCCTGACCCCCAGACCCAAGCGTTGGACTAACCGGCGACTGGGTGGCATCACTTCCCATCTCAACAGACCCGCCGTACCTCGGACTGCTAGGCATCTCGCTCACACTGTTTGGCACTTCAAGCTCCGCAGCTTGCACCCCCGGAGACGCAGTCGGCGACGTTGCGAACCCGGGCTTCGGCTCAGGGGATAAGTAGGGCGTATATCCCGGTAACTCCGAGAAAGCGGCGCTCTGTCTTGAGTTCTCGGCAGCTGCTAGCTCTGTTGCTGCCTTTCTCTTCTTCCTCCGACGCAGGATGACGGCGAAGATGCCTGTGCCGACGAGGGCGATGGCTCCGAGGACGCCGCCGACTACCCCGCCGACGATAGCACCCTTAGAGGGTCCGCTCGGAGAAGAAGTTGGCTCGGGAGTGGTATTATTCGTGGCAGCAGTGGGCTGCACGACGAGGGTGTATGTCGGGGTGTACGCCGGTCTCTTGAGTGACGGGTCAAAGACATACTGCAGATAGACATCACTCCACGCACGAGGCTTCGTGACATACGCTCCCCCCGATGCCGTGCCCCCAATGGCGTCAACGACTTGCGACGGCACTGGCGCCAACCTCTTCGCAGCCTCAGTGTCGTAGCTCCCCGTGTAATTGAGCGAGACCAGGGAGAAGATCTCTGCAGGCATGTGCTCCGAGCACGTCTGGACATTCCCGCCGCTGCCGTCGCTCTTGGTTTGCATCCCGCCCACGATCAAGAGATTCTCGCCGACGGCGTGGCACGTGTGCCCGTACATGCCGTCGGCGCGGGTGTGCACGAGGATCCACTGGAACGTCGGCAGGGTGAGGACCCAGATCTCCTCGGAGGTAATATAGGTTGCGTAATTCTCGACGCCGGCGATCATATAGATGTTCCACGATGAGGAGTCCTTGGCGGGGACGAGGACGGCACAGATGTCGGAGCGGCCGGTGGGCATGTCCGGGAGGCCGAAGGTCTCTTGGCGGAACCAGAAGCCTGTTTCGATGTCGTAGATGTCGACGAAGGATTGGTTGATCTGGGTGTTGTTAGGAGGTGACTAGGGATATTGAAGGAGGGGGACTTACGTTGATGTTTCCTGATGCTGCATCATCTATCCGGATGCCGAACTCCGTTTCGTCTCGGGTTGTTTGCCCGCCGATGTTGACGATGATACCCTTTTCTCCAACGGGGACGTGGACCATCGCACCGTTCATGCGTGGCCCAACATACGTCGGAACGGAGATGTTCGTCAGCTTGGGCTGGGACTTGTCTGCTGTGTCAAGTTCGAGCATTCCTTCGAGAACTATATTTGATGATTGTTAGCAACTGGTTCCCATTATGAGCTTCTATGCACTTACAGCGAAAGTCCATGGAGGGTGTATACTGGCTGTTCGCAGGACTGCTCCTTCGCTGCGTGTACCCCTCAAAGATATAACTCCGATTCAACGTCGGCGCGTCGCAAAACGCCGCAGCACCTGGCCGGTCGACAATCTGGTCGTTGTTGGATACCTCAAAGTCCGTCGACTTGGCCCATCGCTCTGTGTCGATATCGAACTCCCAAATAGCCGGTTCAGGGAAGTCGTCGATATATGCCGGGTTCTCATTGTTATTGGACGACCACCAACCCCCTAGCTGGTACACCTTCCTAGTCGTCTGTGAGTACCACATCGCATGCTCGATCAGACCATTCGGGACGTCCGGCGCCTTCCAGATGGAGCTGTATGGCCCGGTCTCCTGGTTCGTGAAGTTCTTTGACAAGTCTAGGACGAGGAGCTGCGTGTCTGTGTTGTGTCAGTCATGCTACAGTGAGCTAATGGGGGACTTACGCATTCCAGACGTGAAGGCGCCAGCTTGAGTATTGAAGAAGGTGTTATTGCCCTTCGGCACATACGTATTTCCTCCATCAATGTAAATCTTCCCATCGGCGTAAACACCTAGCGAGACTTAGACTCAGAGACATGAAGCGTCATCGAACCACTCACTAGCATGGCGAAATATCCTGCAGAAGTGCTGTGACAGATCAAAGGCAGTGCTGTTGATGCCAGCCGCAGGAACGGCTGTAGGCGCAGCAAACACAGACGTGCTACTCGCACCACCAGAGACCACCGCTGAGCTCACAGCCTGCCTCGCATCTAGCGACGCAAAGACCGATCCAGAAATGGCCGCAAGAAGCGGCCAAAGTGAGACAAATCTCATAACGGCGGTTCAATCAGATAAGAAGAGATGACGACCAGGTCAAGAAGACGGCCTGGATGGGGCGGGCATCGACGGGTATTTGCAGGACTCAACCCCCGGGGAGGCGTCGCTGACAGCAAACATCCCCCCGGTTACCCAGCAGGACGGTCGAGAAGGCTCTCACACTCGCCAAGCATCATCAGCGGAAGTCTCACATGGGGGAACCAAATCGCGCAGAGAACCGCAGCCTGGGGCTCGCACACGTCGCTGCAGTGGCGGGCGACGCAAAAGCCTCAACATGCCCGTTTCGGCCGGTCTGGCCGACGATCGAATCAGGACAGCATGGGCGGGCGCGGGAGCTAGGGTGCTTCCATTGGACCTTGTCGATGAAGGAGGGTGAGGGGATCGTGATTCTTATTTGTCTGGGTGAGGATAAGCATCACCCCAACATGCAAGGGAGACTAGACGGAGCCTGCTTGTGGCAGTCGCACTGCTGACGGGCTTGCGGCCGTGGGAGACACACAGGTGAGGAGATGGGGGCCGCGATGGCTGCTGTGTTTCTTGATGAGAGGTGGAAACACATTGTTCGTGAGATGAATGGAAGGGTGTACGAGCCAGGCTCTGGACCTTGGTCCGGATGCTTGATCGTCAATGTTTGCTCGAGGACCGTCGGGTCTGCGGTCCTCATTTGGATCTTGGCGGGCTTATCTTCAGGCAGGGCGTCACGGTGGCTTGTCCACTTGGGGCAGAACATGATAAAGAGAAGCAGACACCCACTCCCATCATCTAGTCTCTAAACCACGAGGCTCTCATGACATCTCATATTTGAGGCTCTTTACTCCTTCAAAGGAAGTTGAAGATGGCAGAGTTGAAGAATCACGGGCCAAAGCCATCCCCTGCTCTGCACGTGGCCCCCACTCCCGCTCCCCTCGTTTGCCATGCAACCGCAACTCCCACCTCCCGCTAAACAAGCGCTACCAAGGATCCCCCGCCTGCTCCTCCAACAGCCCTTCCCCGCAGCACTCAGCACTCATCAGCAATGAGCCTTCAAATAGAAGAAGCATTGTGTTGGCTGGTAGGAGCGGTATCAGCCAGGAGGTGGTGGGGGATTGGCTGGTCCAACCCCCGCGTGCACCGCCTGAGTCGGGCCCGTACAGCCGCGACGCGCCAATCAGCAGCGGCGCAGGATGATGCCACAGCAATCCGTCTTGCGCTGGCGTTCTGAAACTTGCTCACCTCCATGCCGTTTTGGGATTCGGAGGCTGGTCACAGGGCTGTTGCTTGTGTTCATGTGCTACGCGGCCCATCTTGATAAAGCTCTCTGTCCTTGTGAAGAAGACGTCGAGGAGCTGATAAAGGAGCTGTCTGTTCCCTCATAATTCTAGAAGGTCCTTCATCTTTCATCTCATCGTGTCGTGTGCCGTTCAAACTCAATTCGAAGCTTCAACATCACCTCATAGACGATCATCAACAGGGCCGGTTCCCATAGTAATCACCGCCAAAATGCCGGCCATCTTTGCTGACCAGTTCGTCGCCCCTGTCGCATACATATGTGCTTCTCGAGACATTCATAATTCATACTCACATTCTGATAACAGAGTTCTTCCCGTCGGGAACGAGCAGAAGATCAAGCTCGACGCTTCGATCAAGGACCAAGAAATCGCACAGCGCAAGGTCCCCAGCACCGCCGACTGCGCAACCCACCTCAGACTCCTCGACACATTCGTCGCGCTCCGCAGAAGCGTCGAGCTGCTCGCCGATGAAGCAGACCTCACCGCCGCGCAAGGCTGGGATCTGTACTGCAGACGCGCCGTCTCTCGCTTCGAGAAATGGTCCACCAGCACGCAGAGGGGGCAGCCTCCCGTCGACGTCTTGATGGCGTGGCACGCCCTCATGCTGCACCCTAAGGCGTACGCCAGGTTTATCGAACTTGGCGGCAGTCTCGGCCTAGACGGTCTGGACTGGACTGAAGTCGTAAGTTCAAGCATTTGCACAATTCCTGACTCGAGGCCGCGAGTCGCTTCAAGCTTCATCTGTGCTGACAACTGACACAGTCGAACGCGGTCGACATCGACATCACCTTGTCCGGATTCCTCGATTCGATCGAGGCCGACGGAACCCTCGAGTCTCTCGTCGCCGAGGGCCGTCAATCCACCGGCATCTTCAACCTCAAGAACCCAGCCGGCACGGTCCTCTTCTCATACGACCTCTCCGCGGCGATTAACCGCCAATTCGACTTTTCCACAAAGATGTCCCGCTACGCCTGGCTGCGTTCGCCCACCGCGGAGGCCACCCTCGCACAGTCCGTCGAGCGTTACCGCAACTTCTTCCACCTCATCGGCGCCCACCCCGGCACGGTGATGGTCCCGACCCTGGACATCGACCTGGTCTGGCACACCCACCAGCTCGCGCCGCTGCGGTACCGCGCCTACTCCAAGAAGATGGCCAGCCGCCTCATCGACCACGACGACGAGATCAGCGCGGACAGGCTGCAGGAGCTGTCAACGGACATGCAGGGTCTGTGGCGCGAGGAGTTTGGCACAGAGTACCACGCCTGTCTCTGCTGGACCTGCGAAGCGGGCAGGGCCCACGTTAGTGTCGACGCTGTTGAGAGCAGGTTGCGTGATGAGGAGAGGCAACGCGAGCTGCTTCCCCTGGCAGACCTTGCCTTCCCTCGCTGTGCGGACTGCGGCAACCATCCCACATCGTGCTGTCCCCCGAGTGATGGTGCTGAGTGCGGAAGCGGCTGCGGCGGAGGGTGCGGTGGTGGTTGTGGAGGCGGTTGTGGAAGCTGTGGTGCCATGAAATAAGTCGGAAGAGTCTTGAAGCATACAAGCAAGATATATCAAGAGGCAAAACAAGCAAAAAGATATCGAGTTGCCTCGTGCCTGAATCGAACAGGCGATCTCCTCATTACTAGTGAGGCGCTGTACCACTAAGCCAACGAGGCATTTGATGATTGTTGAAGACGTCGGTGAAATCTGTCTACTTGAAGCGTCTCGAAGCGAGATTTTGTGGGTGAAGGGGTTGATGTTGACCCACATCATGTCTTTGCCTCCGTGCGTCTGCCGAACAACCCATGTTTAATCCACGTTTAATGTTCCTTTCTTTTTTCCCGCTGAAAATGGGCAGCCGCGGAAACACCTGACTCGTTTTCGCATTACGGGAACGCCAAATTGAAAACCCATGGGATCCCCTTGCCAGATGGCCAGCCTTCCAAGACTTTTCACTCTCTTTGAGTTTTTCTAGCGACATTCGATCTCCGTTTCATCAACACAGCAATGCCCACCGGCCAATAGGGGTGCCACGAATGGTCAGCGGACGGCGCGGCGAGTGCTGCAAAGCTCCGAGAAAAAGGGATGAACTCCGTGTTAGCATAAGTAATTATAGATGAGAGGTGGGATCGTGGGTGCCGCTAGGCGTGGTCTGCGCAGGACAACCCGGTTACCCGGCCTCCTCGGGGACCACGTAAGGCGCGGCAGCGGGGCCGGCCCTATCGGGCTCACCGTTTTCTCGGTCCCACCCGGTGGCCGATGCCTCGGATGTTCTTCTTCAGCCCCTTTGCCCCCCTTCCGCCAAGGACTGATATATCCTCTTTTGTTGTGGGCGGCCTTAGATCGTTCGATATGTTGATGCAGCAACAAGTCTTATAAAATCTATATTGCGGCCTCGACCAACGACAGTCCCTCCTTTTCGGATTACCACTTACACCAAGTACATCACTTTCGTTCATCACCAGGCACAGTAAGCCACCACTCTCGTTGACGTGCTTTACACATCACACACACACTCTTTTCTCCATCCGACCCTCCTATCCCCCCCAAACCGCTGAAAACATGCGTGCCTCAGTCATGGTCGCCGCCGCAGCTTGCGCCGCTTCAACCAGCGCCTTCGCGGTCCCCCGCGACGAGGACCCCAACTTCGCCTGGCAGGCCCCCGATGCGACGGCCAAGCGCTCGCCGTGCCCCATGCTCAACTCCCTCGCCAACCACGGCTACCTCCCGCGCGACGGCAACGCCATCAGCATGGACAACCTCATCTCCGGCCTCGGCAAGGCCCTCAACTTCAACGAGTCCCTCGTCCGCACCCTCGGCACGCCCGCCTTCGCCACCTCCACCACCGGCGACGCCAACACCTTCAACCTCGACGACATCGCCAAGCACAACGTCATCGAGCACGACGGCAGCCTGTCGCGCGCCGACTTCGCCGTCACGGGCGACGCAAAGACCTTCAACCAGTCCGTCTTTGACGAGACGTACGGATACCTGACTGAGGGCGCGGCCGCGACGGAGGAGAAGGTCAACGTGGCGACGATGGCGACGGCGCGCAGCAAGAGGATCGCGACGGCCCAGGCGACGAACCCGAGCTTCAACTTGACTAGCAGCCAAGTCACCGTCTCGTTGGGAGAGTCTGCGGTTATCCTTGGTACGCTGGGTGGAAGCTTCTCCGAGCCTGCTGCGCCGTTGGAGTGGATGAAGATTGTTTTCGAGGAGGAGCGTCTGCCGTTCAAGGAGGGCTTCAACACCAGCACTGAGGTTATTACCACCGCTCAGGTCCTGGGGCTGTCGCAGCTCATTGCTACCAGCAGCACCTAAGTTGGTGGAGGCTACGTTGGGTTCCTTGATGTGTAGATGAATAAAGAAAAAGAAAGTTTACGGCAATTCTTCGTCATTCCAATTGTTGACCTTCAATGCATAGGTGACGGTGCAAATTAAACACTCGAGACAGGCTTTGGTTCCATAATTATTAGGTTGCTCGAAGGGATAGGGTAGTAGCCACGGGAAGCTTGGCCCTGCAACTCCAAAATAAGCATGCGTTTGGAAAGAGGATACAGATGATTTGGGCCAATTACGTATTGCATCCCTGTCGCTGGAGATCAGCGAAGGGTCATATCCTGAGGTGTGTAAAGAATAGACTTTAATTCGAAATACAAATCGTGCTATGCCATGCCGACTCCGGAATAACGCCTCAACCTTGAGAGCAAGATCATCTCGTCATATGCTCAAATTCCAAATGACCATGAGTCCCTCCCTGCAATTCTGCTGTCATGATTCCGACTCGATGATCCCAACGGCGTCAACACCCAGCCATACTGGTCCCGCCCGTATGCAGCCACCACCGGCGTTGCTTTCCATGCCATGAATTACCTTCCACCACCCTTTTACAGAAGTCGATCCATGGCGACCTCTACGGCATGAACCTAAACCATATCCCAAGCACCTTCCGATCCATAGCCCTCGAATCCGCTATCAGAAGCAGAGAGATCGCCGCCCTTAGCAGGCTCATCAATGTCCATGGCGTCGAGGTCCTCATCATTCTCGTTGACAAGCGTCTCTGAAGGTGACAAGGGTTCCGTGGGCGTAGAAGCTTGTGCCATGATCGAATTGTGGGGGAAATTCGAGTTGTTGACGGTGTGTCTTTGATCCCCAAGGTAACGCTCAGACCGAAGCTGGGCGTTCTGCTCTTCCAGGTCCTGTTTCTCTTGGATAAGGGCCATAATGAAGGAGTCCTTGGTGGCGTTGCTGTGTTTGAGCCTGTCGTTCTCGTTCTGAAGCTTGATGATTTGCTCCTGATCGACCTCTTTAAGCTGCGCCAAGTCGTGGTTCTCGGTAGACAGATGACAGGCCTCAGCCTGGAGCCGACAGATCTCGATCTGGTTGATCTCATCCATGCTGGCGGAGAAAGAGGATTGGTCAAGGGTGTCCATGATGGAAGATGGACTAGAAGGAACCGAAGAGAGAGTGTTTTGATGGACAAGGGAGGACCAGCCGCCTTGATTGTTGACAAAGGTTGAGGGAAGGCTTTGAAACCCGAGAATGGGTTGTGGATGTGATGCTTTGGTACTGCTTTTTTTGTGAGCAGATGGAGAGGTTTCTTTTATAGTAAAAAAGGGGGTGGTGATGAGCACTGATTGCACACGACAGACTGGAAGTGGGAGCGTGGTACGCCTTCCCCGTTCAAGAAGCCCCAACTGGTCGCAATGATTCCTAGGAGAGGAAGATGGAAAGATAAAGAACACTCACTGCTTGTTGTTTTCAAGCGGCGGGCACAACTTCATGAGGTTGTGTTCCTCAGTTGTATGAAGTTGGGGATTCTGATGAATCTCAAAGTCAGCGGAACATATTCCGAACTAAAATTGTTTCAGTTGTAGGTGTTGTTAGGTTGAAAAGTCTTGTTTAGTTTGCTTCAGAGGCTCTAAGCTGTGAGTGGTCGTAAGGGGGAGGGACAGAGTAGCAGAGGTAGACGGCTTCAACAGCCTTAAGTATAGTCCAGGACTTGGTAAGAGCGGCAATTTGGACGCTCCTCCCCTCCTATCCACATTCAGATGACAAGATGGGTGGTGAGGTTCTGGGAGTCATGTGAAGCGAGTGGTACCCAGATTGATATGGGATGAGAATTTAGAGGGTAGATAGAGGGTAGTCAGGAGACCTTTCCTACCCGGGGACGTTGGAAAAAGGAAGGTGGAAGAATTCGGACCTACCTGAAGCTTAGTCATTGTTGGAAACGTTGAATGATGAATGAAAATAGTTTTGGTGAGATGGAAACCTCATCGGTAGGGCAGCCTATATTTATACCCAGACGAGATCACTTGTTCTTCATCGAAAAGACATCTGAATACGGGAATCAAGAATCAATTCCTGCAAACAGGAACAAGATATTCGAAACCCAGAATTGAATTCTAGATGTGCATGCACCTCGGCGCTGCACCAACTGCGCCTCTAAGCTTGGCATAATCCACGAGGGGGCGTGTAGGGTAGCAATGGAATATGATCCGGGTTGTGTCTGGTCTCAGCAAATAATCGACAGAACTTCGATCAAAAGTTAATCAAAAATCAATGACTTGACTTCACTGTAATGTATGTTCCGGCAGAACTATGGCGATGTACAAGTATTTGACGACATTTTAAAAGAAAAACCTTGGTTGCCTTCTCATCGATATGGCGTGCGAAAAAGACGGGGAAGGGATTGAGGGGTTTGTGAGCTATGAGAGGGGACAATAAGACTGCATGAGGAGAAGAAAGGGCAGAGAGGGAGGAAGGGAGAAGGGGGCAGAGAAAGGAAGGGAAGGGGGGACGGAGGGCAGAGGAGAAGGAAGACGGCGAAAGAAGCACAGCGAACTGGAATCGGATTCCAGATAGCTTTTCACAAGCCTGGAATTGAGAATTTTCCAGCGGCGGCTAATGGTTGTTGGCGACTCGCTCTGTGTTCAAGGCCTGTTGGAGCCTGACAGGGGACTGACAAACATCCAACGGCTAAAGACATTCATTACATAGCTGTGGCTGTGGCCAATGCTGGAGACAAGCCGTAGGTCTTCCGTCAGTTCTGTCTAAATTATGACGCGCGGCGTGACTTCGTTCGAATAGTCTTGAATGTACTCTCTTGTCGATTCATTGATCACCACTTCCTCCCCTAATTTTGAAAAGGCTGAAGCGCAACCAACGTCAATGTCATCTTATGTGCCCAGAGGCATTGTGGAATTTTCCCCTGCCTCTTCTCTTTGTAGAGAACCACTGGGACTCTACAACCCAATATTGAATGAAGCATTTCTCTATCTTTAAGCTACGCCTTCCAGCTCGTTGCCTCAATAACTCAATCTTGCCATATAGGATGAGCAATCCGAAACATGTATCGCAATCTAGAAGTCCGAACATTGAAGAGACGAAGTGGTGTGACAAGTGAGGGAGGGCGAAGGACTATATAATACCCAACAGCATATTTGTACTTATGGTAGAGCGTCTGAACCCACCAAAGTTAAGCTGTCTAATAATGAGAAATACACTGATGAAAGAAAGGTGGCCGGCGCATACAATACGCTATAGTCGATAGGGTCCAAAATCCTTATATCCAATGCCCTTAACAAAGGTCTGCAACCATGGGCCCTGCGTCTTCGCCTCCGCCAGCTCCACGAAGATTTCAGAGTGCGCCTCTCCATCAATCTTAAAGGCTGCCGAGCCGTCCGCTTTCCGTTCATCAACATAATAAAATCTGCAATCTCTTAGTCACATCCACACAGACAGTAAAGCAAGGTGGTGAGGGCACACTTAAATCCCTTCTCTTTATATTCAGCAGCAGCAGCCATCATCATGTGCGCAGACGCCGATTTACCAGCGCCTGACTCTAAGAACTGCGGGAGGGCTGTAACGTTAAGGATATTCCCCGTAAAGAAGAATGTTCTTGGAGCATTGACAGGCAGGTCCGCGAAGCCGAGAACGGCCTGTTGGGCTGCGACAAAGACACTGGTGTTGTTGACGGTCATGTCTCGCTGGAAAGAATCTAACGATACAGCAAAGGGGTCGCCTGGGGGAGAGAATGTAGCGGCGCCGGCTGTGAAACCTTAGCAGGGCATTCAGCTAGAGTCTGGTCCTTTGGTGCTAAGACGTACCGTTGTAGATGACTACGCTTGGGATCCCCAGCTCTTTTTTGACCTTTCCAAAGGCTCTAACGACATCCTCGGGGTTGGCGAAGTCGCTTTTGATGTTGAGTTGCTCGTCTGTGCTGTCTGCCTCGTCTAGCGACCGGGCTGCGATGGCAACCTTGTAGCCTTTTGAGGCAAAGGCCTTGGCAGCTGGTATGCCTACCTTGGGCCCGGCGCCGAGGATAAGAACGACAGGGGACTTTTCGGGCATGATTGGAGATGTGAGAGAGAAGTCTGACGGTGTGCAGTAGAATAAGAAAGCAAGAAGCAAGAAAGCAAGACGCCTGTGTCTATTCTATATACGTTCATTTCTGATTGAGACAAAGATCGGGACTGGGGGTTGAAATGCGCAATTGGTAATCGTTCAAGTGATTCAAGGCGGCGCTTCTTGTGCTGGTAGCGTTTGTAAGCATGCAGAATTCGCTGCTTTGGATTTGTGCTGCTTACAGCTCCTAAGCCTATTAGGAATGCAAGCCAATCGCGGATCGACCAGTTAGATTCAGGGATTCATTGAATAATCACGGACCCGGACCCTTCGGAGGATCCGAACTTGCATGCCTGATGCCCAATCCCGTTCATCACCAATGGTAGTCTTGTCTTCGAGCCCTCCGCTCAGGCTGACTTTCTTGACTTGTGGTTGTGTAAGCTTGGATATTTGCTATGCATTGGCTCCTTGAGTGCATTCGGTTGAGATAGACCTCCTGTGTAGCGTTGTCAACATTTGCCAACTTGCAAGCCCGCACATGATGAGTATTGTATACTTTCAAGAGCAATAGCAGTAGAGTTCATCAATATAGATACTTTGGACTGTCGGGGAGGAGACGCTGATGCGTATAAAACGAGATTAGAAGCCCGTCTATCTTGTGCTTTGTTATCCATCAACCACCGCTTGAAGGAATTTGCAAACTTTTCCCCTACAATTCACTCTTAGATAACCTGATACACCTCGATCGAAATGACGGACATGAAGAAGATCAAAGTCTTGGGAGTCCATGGCCCAAACGCTGGCAAGGTCATTGTCCTTTGCGAGGAGCTCGGAATCCCATATGAGACGGAAATCATCCCCCTAAACGACGTCAAGAACCCCAAGTACGTTGCCATCAACCCGAACGGCCGGCTGCCGTCCATCCAGGATCCCAACACAGACCTAACGCTGTGGGAGTCGGGCGCAATCATCGAGTACTTAACCGACACATACGACAAGGCTCGCAAGCTCAGCTTCGAGCCGGGCACAGCTGCGGCCTACCACGCTGCCAGTGGCTCCTCTACCAGACCACCGGCCAGGGACCATACTACGGGCAGGCGATGTGGTTTATTATCTATCAGCCACTTCCCGAGGCGCGCGAGCGCTATGTCAAGGAGGTTAACCGCGTGACCGGTGTTCTGGAGGGACACCTGGCAAAGCAGACCCCTGACGCGGACGGCAACTCTTGGTTCTTGGGCGGGCGGATCTCGTACGTGGATATCGCCTTCTTTACGTGGCAGAATACGGCCTCGCCGCGAATCCCGAATGTCGAGTTCAATCAGGATGAATTCCCGCACGTCATGAAGTGGCACGACAACATGCTTGCGCGCCCGAGTGTGCAGAAGGTCCTGAAGCTCCAAGAGACAAAATAGCTCTCAGTGAATCATTGTTGGGGGGAGTCTTTCTATCTTGCACAGCTGAGTTACTGCTGCGAGGGTCGGTAGAGCTGAACAGGGGCTGTTGTTCATATCGAGAATAGAATCAGATCATCTGTGGAAAATTGGGTTGCCGTCCGTAAAGTATCTTTGTGTTGTGCATAAGTGTATTTTGGGGGTTGATGGTGTGAAGTCGGCTACTTCTATACCTACTGTGTTATAAAATAGTACTATGGATAGGTAACTCCTGTATTGTACGCCCCCCTGCCCAATATTTCACGTTACTATGTTCCTTTGCGGACACAGACCGAACCTCAATATTGTTTCCCGGTTCGTAATAATCGGTTCGGTCGCGAGAAGCCAGTCCAGCCATCCCGAACAGCCTGTAGGACCGGCACTGGGCTTACAGCATCCATCCTGCTGCTATGGGCGAGCTAGATCTCCAATATAGTCTTATTTGTAAACAATCGCGCTGAAATAATTACGCAAATGCCGCTGTATACTCTAGGCGGAAAAGATGAACAGCCTTGTTTGCCTCGTTGTGTAAGCTGGTGCAAGTATTATGCATTCGCCTGAGTTCCTCGGACCTTGCGTATGTTCTTGGATCCTTGGCAAGCATAACTAGGAGATGTAGAAATGGCTTGAGGAGATGGAGGTCTGAAAACGCGCTCGGCGATGTCGGGTTTTGCGTTAGATTGTAGAGCATGCTGCTGGCTGCAGCAAAGAAAGAGTGAAGAAGCATCCTATAATGAGTCAAAGAAAGGACATCGAACGGTTGTGGATCCTAAGAGGTTATTTACCAGATGCAGGAGCAGTCTTCGTGAGGGATGGCTTCAATGAGACGGATCGCTTTGCGTGACTCGGCGAGGCAAAGACTGCCAGGGTGTAACGATATTGCAGACCGGCCGAGTTCTTGGTCCAAGGGAGATCGCGCTGTCGGCGATAAGTGGCGATCAATCATTGTTAGACAATGGATATATGTGAGTCGTAGAACCACCTTGTGGATCATCTCTCCTGCGACTTGGGATCTTGACAAGATCAGAAAGTCCTCGGGGGGTTCTAGCTGCGCACTGGACTTCCAATAGGACAACACAGAACTCAACTCTTGTGCCGCAATTGCCCTTTGTGCCTCCGTTTGTCGTCCAGCCCGGATCGAGTACAATTGCTTGTACACCTGACCCTGAATAACCGCAAGTCCTACGCGAGATGGTTGAAGAGTTCCACGTTACATGAATCGAGGTTTGTATTTGATGGCAGTCGGACATCCATGTCATCATCATCTTGGCTGAAGGGTCGACAGGTCCGTAGACTGATATCCTTGTCAAGAACGTATACCTTCCAAAACACCCGTCTCCGTATCTCTGCTTGTTTCTCAGTGAGACTTGGGTCGGAAGCCTCTCTGTGCAGATCCAGAGCCTGTGCCAGGCGTAGGGCGGCGGCGACGAGCATCGAGGCCGGCTCCGGATTCGGGGTCCCCTGAAGAATGCAAGCCATACCCACCAGAGCTTGGACGGCAGAGATGCTAGCGACGTTCAACTCGGAGACGACGCTCAGGGCGTTTTTCATGTAAACACCCGCTAGATTGTTCTCATGCGCTGGGTTCGATGTGCGCAGGCCGCGGAGACGATGAGCTATTGACAGCACGACATTGAGACACGCCCACCAACTGGCATCTTCGGGGTTGGAAGTCGAGTATTTGAGGTGGAACTCTCTCAAGAAGTCCTCTTCGTCAAAAAGCGGAAGGAATCTATTGTAGTTGTTGAAAGTTTCCTGGACCAGCTCCAGAGCGACTGCCTTTGAGGGAAGCTGCCCGTGCGCTGGTAAAGATACTGATCGTGACTCTGGAGCAAGATGAGGCCATGGGCTGCCAGCTACAGGGTCAATTACAAAACCATGAACGGTGGAAAACTCGGGTTGGTCGTGGTTTCGTGCGCGCAATGCAACGTCAAGATCAAACTCTTGACTACTGGTGTGTTTTGGCGATGGAATATGTGACTCGCTCATTGGAATCCATGAATTACTTTTCCTCGGGGATGTGATCAGTGCCGCTATGTCGGTTGTTACTGCGGAAGTTGTTTGCTCTTCACGCGAACTGTTTCCAGGCACAGTGGACTTGATGTTCTCTAGTGCTGAGAGCCTTTCTTCGAGCTGTGCGATGTATTTGAAGCTGCGGAATGTTTAACAGGCGCAAGCTATATGAGCTAGGGTAGCAGACTAACCCAGCTGGTCTTCGAGGCTTTCTCTTCATTGCAATTGGCGTAAAATGGCACCTTGTGCGATATTTGGTGCACTGAGCGCATCCTTGCGTGGTAGGTTCACAGCGGATCTTTTTCTTGCGGCACATGTCACAAGCCTTATTTTGTAGTGTCAAGAGAGGCGACATGATGTTAACTCTTCGGGTCAACTCACCCGAACAATGGCTTGCTGGCTCCATCCCCCAAAACTTGGCTGGACCCTGGAACCCGTTTGTGACTCCATGATCTGCTGTGAAATAGTCGTATCTACTCGAGAGGCTGCAAGAAGAAACCTCAAAAGGCTTGGGCCTGATTGCTTGCTTACTCAAAGCAGCTTCGAGAAACCTGGTGGAGCAAAATGTTCTAAGACGGCACTCGATCAGTTGCCAAATCTCATCCCATTTGACGTCATGACCAGACAGCAGCAGATTGATTATAAATCAATTTCTTTGCCAATCATCAGCCTTGGGTATAGTAAGGGGGCTCCCAATAGGCTCACGGGTACCCGTGGAAATGACTTTGTAAGCAGATTTGGCACACATATATTTAGCCAATCGGAGCCTTGAGTTAGATTTAAGCTGTGCTTGATTTCACAATTCAACCACGATGCAACCTCCAGGCCGACCTGCAGCATACAACGCCTCTTGTTTGGCGTTATCTCTCTCGACTCGTTTCCAGATGTCTCCCGTACCTCTTCCGCTATTCAGAAAAGGGTCTTCTCCCTCTTCTGCGACGACAAGCTTATCAACCCGTTGCTGTTCAGCTCTGTCCCAGAGCGACTCGCCTGTTGGAACCAGGCAGGGGTCTGACAAACATGGCCAGAGACGTTGAATGGCTGTTTCGAAAAATACTAACTAAAGAATACCAACCCAGCAACTCAGAACCCAGGTGAATACAAACATCTCCTGCTAAAGTGCGGTTCAGCGTATCCGGTTTTCTTGTCACCAGCTTTCCGGGGTACGCCAGGGCTAGGTGCCGAGAAAACTGGACCAGACCGGGGTGCGAGGCCCGGAGCTTGGGATCGGAATTTGAGGGGCTCCGGAAAAGATTCGGGCGACATAGAGGACTCAGCTCACACGTCGTGGCACGGGAATAATGGGGCTGAGCGTCTTGTTCAAAGGGTGTGCTGGCTCGCATGCGTCCAAAACCTTCCAACATGGGTGGCTTCAAGGCAGCCAACCGCCAACAAGCGCCAAGTCCACATGTTGCCCGGGTTGTTAGCCCATGCAGCACCTATCTCAGTTAGGCGGCAACATCAGGCTCAGCTGAGAGACGTTGAATCGTGGCCGCCATTTCTGGCGAATTATTTCGGGAAAGATAGGCAACAGCACTAGATCTCATACACGTGCTCCCAGGTCTGTCACCGACCCGTGTGCGAAGCTCAAAATCCCGATCTTTGCGTCGCCTCAAACTCTGGCGATCAGCTTCTACATTACTAGTCATCATGTCTAAAAGCCGTCAACCTTTCAACCGTGAGCGTGATAGTAGCTCAGAGGGCGAGCCTGTGAGGTCGACGTCACCGGCCATAACCTCAACCGATGGCTTGAACCTTGGGCTGGAAGCCAAGGTAGACCTGTAACCCCCTTACAAAATTGCGAGAACTCCGCAAGTATCTGACACACCGAATAGGAAGGGAACGGCTGGCTCCGCAACAAAGTCGCTCCGGCGATGTGTTATGGTATCGCTACCGTGGGTCTCATTGCTGTTGGTCTTCCGGTGCTGATTTCGACGCCGGCTATTGGTGTGGCAGGAATCGCGACACACTCTGTAATTGCAGGTCAGCTTCAACCGCTCCACAAGCCACTGCTCTCATAACACTTGCCTTCGCAATTCCACGAAAGAATGGGCTTGAAGAGTACTGGCTTAAATATGATATTAGGCACTGTGGGACACTACGCGTTCATCATGTTTTGCAGTGGTGCGGGCGCCGCGTTCAACATGGCCATTCATCCTTGGATGAGGACCAAAATGGGAGTTCCAGACAAGGGACTCTGGTACAGATTCGTTGGGAATAAATCCAGCTGTAAGGCAGGGCGAAGCGGCCACAGTGAGGAGTAGTACGCCACAGATGGTATTGAGGCGACGAGCACCTGAACGGATGTTGCGGACACTCATGACACCCGAAAGGGCGGGTCTCAAAGTTCATGAAGATGGTGCTAGATTGCGGACCATGACTATGCGAAATTATATGTTCTAGTAAGGTTTGTCCTAGCCAGTTTGGACGCACTCGACGGGAGACTAAGGGTCAATCAATGCTTGGCAGTCCTGTGTTGTCAACTTGGTTATTAGGCTGTTGCACATCTCTCCGTCCTTGTTGGAGTTTACACCATTGGTGCCTTCATCTACCGTTTCTTTCCGTTGACAGCTGCAGGAGAACCGCGATGGGCCCTTTTGAGGGTCTCGTCCAACGAGAGCACCAGTACTGTGAGCGTGGTCAGTCAAAATCTTACGTATCCGGAAAGGGAGGCTTACTCTTGAATGGGGCTTGCTGTAATTGGCGTGGCGATCGTAAAGGCCAAGAGCGCCAAGGTGATAATTCCACATTTTGAAAACATTTTGATCTCTCAGAGGTGATGCAGAAAGAAACGCCGAAGATTGAGATGAATCATAAAGTCAAGATCCATTCGCTTGAAAGGCGGTAACAGCTTAACTATTCAAACTTGTCAGACGGAGATCTAGTTCATCGTTGCCAACTGTTGAAACGCACCGTTCTCGGAAAATATGATACAACTAGTCATCGAAATAGCGTTGACGGGCGTTGTTAAGTCGCAGCAAGGACATAACTAGAGACTTAAGTTGAGCCTAGACACTCGAAGGCCACCAATCGACCCGGGATTTCGCACCTCTATGCGGAAGCTATGTAGGGAGGCCTGTGGCTGCACCAACCCTAGGCCTCACTACTGCTAGACGTCTCAGCTTCTCAAGTTCGTCTGATGCGTCTCAGATTGCCAAGGGTGGCAGCCGGTCTCTAGCCGTAACTGACTTGTTATCGACTCATCACCCAATGAAGGTTCAAGCAGGTTGTCTAATGTCAGTAGAGTTTGCTGTCGGCGTTGGGGTAGAGGGAAAATGTGGGCAGATTCAGCCTTAAGGTTCTCTTCGCTGTGGAAATACCCTCGTCGCAACCAACCTACAACGGTATATTATCCAAGTGGGTTTACCTGGAGGTTCTTGATACGAGAACTTACGAGTAATAGGACCTACGAGTAATAGGCAGCCAAGCCTTCTTAGAGCCTTATCTCAAAAAACCACCAATGGTAGACATGTGTTGACTAGGCATTGGCACGTTTGTGGTGAACAGACAACGTTGCTTGGCTGTTTTACGCCTCCGACAGAGTTTAGGTTACCGGGAAGACATACATACCCGTAGAATCGCACACCTTTAGAAGTGGTCACGCAGACCAAAAGATACGGCTCAATTTCGAAAAGGTCATGCACCTTGACGGCCGTTTTGCCTATAAGTAGTGGCGATGATCACAGCTTGCCTGCCAGAAATCTTGGACCTCACAACAACCTCACAACTTCAGCCGTTCAGTCTAATACGCCAACAAAATTCACTACCATCTACCATGCGTCCCACTACCACTCTCGTCGGATTGTTGTCCGTGGCCTCGGCCGCCATGGCAATGCCTACCCTTCCCAAGGAGCCTGTCGCCGCGCTTGTCGCCGAGTCTGACACCAATGAGCTTGCAACTTTGGGCTTTGGTGAAATCACTGATATGTTTGACCTTCCTTTCAAGATAGGTCGAACTCTCTTCAAGCCTTTCACAGAAAAGAAGTTTGCCACCCCTGATGGGCGGCGCATGAGCGTGGTGGAGCTACTCATTGAGAGGATGGAACGTGAAATCGCGGAACAGGAGAGACTTGAGGCCGAGGGCGCTGATGGAAACAATCCCACTGAGCCTGGCACCGAGGACGCGCCTGCCATCGAGGGCGCGCCTGCCACCGAGGGCGAGCCTGCCACCGAGGATGGTGCTAAGAATGACGCCGATATCGACGCCTTCTTGTCCATATTCAAGGGGCTTTCAGAGCAGGCTCCGAGGAACGACTAAACTTAGTCTGACACCAAGGACGATGCTGAAGATGACGGCGAGTAAATTTATTGTCTGGAAAGGTAAATGCCAGCCAGTTCTCTAGAAGCTGAGATAAGATACTGACTATAAACTTAAGTCTTAGAACCAGCTCTCAAGGATCCAGAGATGTATGGTTGGATGATAATTATCTCAGGCTTTGAACAATCGAAAGTAAGTCTGTTTCTCCAATCTCGCTCAAGGTCTCGCTGACTCGATAAAGAACTTTCGCTCTTCTTCAGTGCCGTCAGGTCTTCTTCGTCTTTCAATCATCATCACATCGAAGCCTAGGTTCACTGTTTAGAGGCATTGGTTGAAATGGCATCAGCTTCGACAGCATCAGTTGTAGTGAAGTAATAGTGATAGTAATTAAATTTACTATGCAGTTTAAAATTCTCTGACCCATGGATATCGAATGTGTCCACCATACGTCGGCTTATCATAGACGGCGGTTCTTTCGAGGCCCTGCCTGGTCGTGTTTGCAACCGAATTAGCTCCCTGTGTTTAGGGACGCGTGACGAGCATCTTCATTGACACTTAAAGTAGACCAAATAATAAGGGCAGGTAGCCGGTGAAAAGAGAGGTGATCAGCTTGGTTGCCGTTCCGCCGCACTCAATCTTCTTCACTGCGTCGCAGAGCCAAGATACTCCAGACGTGCTACACGTGTCTTGTGTGAAGTTGACCGACAGACATGTGATGGGCAAGGAGAAGAAGACGTACACCAACACCCAGATGGTGAAGTAGAAGGGTACGGCCGAAACAGTGAAGAGAGCCCTTGAGCCAGACTGCTTGGGCAGACGCAGGTTGAGCATCTGTGCTTCCGGAGGTAAGGTGAATGTCAATGGATCTTGGTCCCAATCGACGGTGGTCATCTTGTTATCGGAGTCCATTTTGGATCTTGCATCGGTGTTTTCATTGTATAATTCGAAACTTGGTGTAAGTTAGGCTTGGAAAGTTTGATGCGGGAAACCGTGACGTTTTCAGTCTGCGAGAAGCCACATATCTATATTAGTCAAGGACGCAGGTGTGACCAGCTGTGATTCACTGCTTTTTGCATTTCTCGCTCCATTTTCAATGGCTAGAGTGGTCGCGGAGTTGTGAGTCACTATTCGGATGCCTGGGTGAATCACTGCTTCACCTGTGTTTGGCCAGCGGTATCGGCTTTCGAAAACCTCTACCAGTGATGTTCCAGACATTCGAATACTTGCGCGTATGTTTAAAATATGATGGAGAATGCAACTTACAATTCCTTACGAAGTTTACGCAAGTGGTTCTATCAAATTCGGCTCATCTAACCAAAGTACTTGCAACCACCGGTTGCACATGGCAACAATTTCTAACATCATGACGGGATTCTCCTTCCAATACTTGAATGCTCGTGGCTGGAAACTGCATGAGGCTATCACAAGATATGGCCGGACTAGTTCATTAGAAGTAGGCTTTGTGATTTTCTGATATTGGTTCACCTCTGTCCCGCAGAAGAGGCGCATGCCGGACTTCACAATGCCGTTTGTGTCCGCAAGTGGGGACTCTGCCCGGGTCTCCCGAGATTACCGTTGACTGCGGACCACGGATACGTCTACTACCGTTGCCGAACATGCAGAGAACAAGGGCAGGTTGAAAAATGGGCAAGAGGAGAAATCCATGCGCTCTGTGCGCAAATGTTGTCCGCGGGCTTCCTACACAATGGCATTGTACGCTCTGTATATTCGTTTACAAGATCGTTCAGATGTTGCGTGATGTCCGGCAAAGACGTCTCCCGTGCCTTGAGCATCTTAGTGTTACTCAAGTGCGGGCTTTAAAAGCACGGACTCCTCCGGAGCCATAAACGCCGCGACTCATTATGAATCATCATGACTTGTGGAGATATGGCATGTTGCAAAGCATTTACAACCCCATCGATAAAGACGAGAATCGAGTTTAAAGGCACTCAAAATGACTGTGGATGGACTGTTCAAGCAAGAAGCTTTTCGATTCACCTTGACGTCTTGATCTCACGCATATTTTCAACACCCTCCTCGAAAACTCCTATCCAAGGCTCCACGGCCCCGAACCACCAAACATGAAAGCATTTCGATTCCACGGAGCCGACGCGGGTCTCCGTCTCGAGACTGTCCCGGTCCCCACTCCGGGCCCCGGCCACGCTCTCATCCATGTTAAAGCGGCCGGTCTCTGCCACTCAGATACACATGTCCTCCATGGCGGCGGTGCAGCCTGGATGTGCGCACTTCCAGTGACTCTGGGCCACGAAGTCGCTGGTGTGATCACCTCCTTTGGTGACGACACCCCGCCGTCTTCACACTTCAAGGTTGGCGACCGTGTCGCCGTTGCTTGCGTTGGTCATCCCATCGAAGAGCGCAACTTCCAAGAAGCTCTTGGCGTCGGCTGTGATGGTGGCTACGCTGAGTATGCCGTTGCGCCGGTCAAGAATCTTGTCAAGATCCCCGATACTGTCGACTTCGCTTCAGCCGCGGTCGCCACGGACTCTATTGCAACGGCCTACCACGCTGTAGTCACAGAAGGCGCTGTGAATGACCGTTCAACGGTCGCTGTCATCGGTCTAGGAGGCCTGGGGCTGAACGGAGTTGCCATAGCCGCTTTAAGAGGTGCCAGGGTCTTTGGTGTTGACATCAACACGTCGAAATTCGATCAAGCTCGGTCGCTCGGCGCGGTTGATTGCTCCACCAGTCTTGCGCAGTTCTCTAAAGAGAAATTTGACGTCATCTTGGATTTTGCCGGCGCTCAAGCAACTGTTGAGGCGGCTGTATCTACAGTGAGACCTGGTGGATGCATTGTGCTGGTGGGTCTGGCGTCCGAGAAGATTCAAATCACAACAACGGCGATTGTAACCCAGAACATTTCGCTCAAGGGGTCTACAAGCGCAAGCATAGCAGAGTTTCGGGAGGTGCTTGAGTTGCTGGCTTTTGCAAGATTAAACCCTCATTTAGAGGAGCTCCCGTTTGAGGATGTTCCTAAGGGATTGGAAATGTTGGGAAATGGTCAGGTTAGCGGTCGGTTGTACACCGTACCGAAACCCGTTGGCGACGATCTTGATAGTTAACTGTACGCTAGAGGCCGGTAATGGTATCGAAACAAGCTGAATTCTGTTGACTTATCACACAGACTTTGTATGGGCTGCGCATCTAATGCTAACTTACTGCGAAATCGTGTCAGTAGTACGGCGGATGTATTATCAACCGGGATCACTAGGCACTTTTCCGCAGGGACCGAGGCGACTGCATGGTACCTCATTCAGGTACGTGCATGCCCGAAAACTCGGCCGAGTGGGCTCGTCTAGTGTTATCAAACTTTGGCTATGATGACGGCTATGATGACTACCAAGTTTTGTAACAGCCACCATCGTCCGAGCCGCTCGTTGTTGCAAAGGGAGCATATCATATGCACGGATAAAGGAGAGACGAACATCCCGGGGTCGGTCCGCGGATCGCGGCCTGACAACGCACCACCAGCGAGCCTGGCAGCGCCAGGGTCCAGCTGTTCGTGGTTAGATTACGCTTAACCAAGAATGCAATGCAAGATGTGGTCCCGCGCCCCCGCTGCGGCAAAAACAACCTCTGAAAGGCTGGGAGCAATACGAGATGATCGTCGCTGTTCAACCCACGTTTCTGGTCGCCCAATGCAACGACCATTACTGCGGGAAACAACGTTGCTCTCAAGGGACCAGTCGCAGTGACTCGCAGTTCGGTTTCTTTCGCTTTCTCATTTTGCCTCCCCAGCATCGTCATTAGCTCTCCGGGTGTCTGTCAAACTTCGCTTGCGGCTCCAAGATGCCGCCTGGCTGGGCGCGCTGGGCCCGAACCGTAGACTCCTTGCATCTTCACAAGGTCCAAAATGTTTACTGATTGACACAGAAACTCATCAATCTAGTCATGCCAGTTGCTATTTCTGGACATCCTCCGCGCAGTGGACCCCTCCAAGCCCCCGACCGGGTGACCCGATGCTCTTGGCCTCGCATTCGGAGGCGGTGATCGTTGGGCCCCTTCGGAGTTTAGTACCGCGGCCTACCTACCGGACAGGCATTCCCCACAGAATGGTTCCCTCCCAAGTGACGGTGACGTCGAAATCACCAACCTCACCTGTACGACGACCGCCCTGCCCGACTTGGCGAGGACGCCTGCATCTATCGTAGCTGTGAATTTTGAGTATAAAGGACCGCAGGCCAGCCTCTCCTAACAGCTCCTTTAGTCAACTCACTTCACGATCTTACTCACCACATCATCTCACCTGCTCAAATATCTTCAACCAACACAACCAAGCATCGCCAAAATGCAGTTCTCTCTCGCCACTGTTGCCGCCCTCTTCGGTGCCTCCGCCCTTGCGGCTCCTGCTCCTCAGGCCACTGACGCTCCCACGCCGTCCGAGAACATTCTCATCAATAACTTCTCCGTTCGCAAGCAGGTGAACGGCACCCTCAGCTACGTCAGCTTCACCCTGTCTGGCGATGATGCGACGGACCTGGCCTGCTCCGGCGCCAACCCTGAGCTGCCCTCCGAGGTCATCACCTGCGGCGAGTCCAAGTACCGCTTCACCCTGAGAACGGGTGCCGAGTCTGAGTTTGCCCTGCGCATCTACCACGAGCTCGGCCTTGCGTAAGTTTTCCTCTCGATTTTGGGAATCTGGCGGTTCAGTAGCTAACATGACCGCATAGTGTCGGTTTCTGGGGTGAGGGCGATGTTCCCGCCTACTGCCACGCTGGCGGCCTGGGTGACCTGCTCTGCAACCAGGTCAACGCCCCTGCGACGATTGTCATCGACAACACCCCTCCTCCCGTCAACCCTTAAATGGAATTGAGGAGAGAGTTGGAGAATGAATTAGTACATAATGTGTAAAATTTCTGTAAATAATTTGCGATGCAAATCGCTGCTGCAAGCCGTCGTGGCGCCAGCAATAGACTTGATCAAAAGTTCACATCCAATTTTACGTTGCCGTGACGCTGATCTGTTGGGTCGCCTTGAGTACGTTGATTGAGAGAAGATGGAAGATGATGCGATCAACCAATCTGGGTTAAAATTGATGCAAGAAGGTATTGTTCGGTGTTGTCTGATAGATATACTGGAGGGATCAGTTGCGATCAGTGAGAGACTCGAAGCGAGCTCGTAGCATAGCTGAATCACCTGCATCCAGGATAGAGAAAAAAGCTGTGAACTCCGTTGGGCCAGTGACCATCAATTGGGCTGCGCTGTTGAACCTATGATCAAGCCGAAACCATGGGAAACACGCATAATATGAGCCGAATATAGCAGAAAATAAATTCGGAGTTGGGATCTTGGACGATGGAGAGCATGGTTGATGCTTTTGGACCGCCGGCAACAGTCACAGCATGATGCTCAAGGAACCTCACTCACCTCGGTCAACGAAGGTGAGCGAAATCCGGCGAAGATGTAAAGCGCACAGGCCATGCTTGGTGGGGCAGAGCAGGTATAATCGGGAAAAGGTCAGTCCTTCCGTGGTAGTTGCCCGCCTTACCTAATCCGGGTACCTGAGCACCTAAAGGTGGCCAGGGTGAGGTAGGCACGAGCATCTTGCGTAGCTGTGGTAGCCTCCCACCAAACACCCAGCAGCCTCGCCCATCGATCAACAATCCCACGAACCTCCATCACGACACCCCGCGAAACCCGACCTCACCCCTCCAATACTACCTCCTACACACAGCAGCTCGACCAATTGTCAAAATGTCCGAAGGCGCGCTGAAGCCCGAGAAGGATTTCTCGAAGGAGACCGACAAGCAGATCCCGGAGGCTGAGAAGCTCGCGAAGGTGGGCGGCGTCGAAATTGCCGGCATTTGGAGCTCTTTCTGACTGACTTTTGTTTGCAGAGCGATATCTCAGCTGCCATCGAGAAGCTTAGTGTGCTGGAGAAGCAGACCCGCCAGGTCAGGACCCCGCCTCTCCCTTCGCCGACGTCACCAAGCTAACCAGCAGCAGTCCTCAGATCTTGCCTCGACATCGCGTATACTCATCGCCATTGTAACGATTGCCAAGGATGCCGGGGACTGGAGCTTGATGAACGAGCAGGTCTTGGTTCTCTCCAAGAAGCATGGCCAGCTCAAGCAAGCTATCACCAAGATGGTCCAGGCGGTGATGGGCTTCCTCGACTCTACACCGAACCTCGAAACGAAGCTCACCGTGATCGAGACTCTCAGGACGGTTACTGAGGGCAAGATCTTCGTCGAAGTCGAGCGTGCGCGCGTCACCAAGATCCTCTCCGACATCAAGAAGAAGCAGGGCGATCTGAGAGCGGCGACGGATATCCTGTGCGAGCTGCAGGTGGAGACCTTCGGTTCCATGGACCGTCGGGAGAAGACCGAGTTCATCCTGGCACAAGTTGCTCTCTGCATCGAGAGCGGCGACTGGACCCAGGCGGGCATTCTCAGCCGCAAGATCAGCACCAGATACCTCTCGCGAAAGCCTAAGAAGACTGCCGAGCAGCTGGAGAAGGAGAAGAAGGAACGTGAGAAGAAGAAGGCGAGGGGCGAGGAGGTCCCCGAGGAGAAGGAGGACGACACGACCGACCTGAAGCTGCGGTACTACGAGCAACAGATCATCCTTGCGAAGCACGATGACAAGTACCTCGACGTCTGCAAACACTACCGCCAGGTCCTTGACACCGAGGCTGTCGAGGAGGACCCTGAGAAGCTTCACCCCGTGAGTTATTGTGGCACTGAAAGTGATGATGTGTTCTCTGACTATCATAGGTTCTGCAACGCATCATTTACTTCGTGATCCTCGCTCCCCACGACAACGAGCAGCACGACCTTCTCCACAGAATCCAAAAAGACACCAGAGTGAGCCAAGTCTCTGAAGAGGCTGAGCTCCTCAAGCTCTTTACCGTCCACGAGCTCATGCGCTGGCCCGAGGTCTCCAAGAACTTTGGCCCGCATCTCTGCGAGACGGATGTTTTCGACGCTCAAGCAGGCCAGTCCGGAGACGAGAAGGCGCACCAGCGCTGGCAGGATCTCCGCAAGAGGGTGATTGAGCACAACGTGCGCGTTGTGGCCAAGTACTACACCCGCATCCAGATGAAGCGCCTGACACAGCTTCTCGACCTCACCGAGGACGAGACCGAGAAGTACATCAGCGAGCTCGTCACCTCCAAGACCATCTACGCCAAGATCGACCGCCCCGCGCGTATTGTCAGCTTCGCAAAGCCGAGAGACGCGGACGACATTCTCAACGAGTGGAGCCACAACATGAAGAGCCTGCTCGGCCACCTGGAGCGTATCGACCACTTGATTACCAAGGAGGAGATGATGGCCAACATCCAGCCCAGTGGAAGCTCCAAGTCGAGCAAGGGAAAGGCTACCAAGGCGCATTAGAACGGTTCTTACGGTTCCCAGGGACGGGGATATGGTGTGTAATTGTAGAACACTAGAGGCAGGCAATGAACAAGACTGGGACGCGTAAAACGGTTTCGGTCTATGCTTTGATGAAGCTTTGCGTCTATGTCTATAACGTGATCTATCATGTCTTCGTGCGTTTCTAATGCCCATCAGACCTTGCTCTTCGCCGCCTCCTCGTCCGCAATCTTCTTGATAAACCCAATCAGCGGCATAGCCCACTCCTTGGAGATGGGCACGTAATGTCCGCCGGGATGGACCACAACCATAGGCTCCTCGCACCTCTCCACCAACCCCTGACTCCTCGACTCCTCAACAACGGTATCCAAGCTTCCCAGGAAGTGCAGCGTGGGCGTCTTGATCTTCGGCTCATACGCCCACTGCAACTCCGGAGGCGGCGCAAAGAAGCCACAGTACATCACCGCAAACTTGAATGGCTTCCCGCCGTTGGCCTCCCGCAGTTCCTGCACCCAGGGCCGCATCTCCTCGGGGACGTCGCGGTGCGGCGTCTCCAACATGGCGGTCAGCAGGCCCGCGAAGGCGGCGCCCTGGCTGAAGCCGACGACGCCGTCGACGTTGCCGCCCGCCTCGCGGATCGCGGCGGCGACGGCGCGCACGCCGGCGTCGAGGTAGCGGTAGGTGCCCGAGGCCTCGTCCTTGCGCCACCAGGCCCAGGCGTCGAGCTCGACCTCCTCCTCGCCGTCGGCGGGGGGCTCGTAGCCCGGGATGTCGCGCGGGGAGAGCTTCGTGGGCCCGGTGGGATAGATGAGGGCGGTGGCGAGGTTGAAGGGGGCGAGGGATTTGAGGATTAGTTTCTCGAGGGCGCGGGTCTTTGAGCGGAAGAGGGGACCGGATTGGGTGTATCCTGGGTGTGTTAGTGAAGGGTGGTTGAGAGGGTGATGGCGGGGTAGGTTGAGTGGTTTGAGACAGGGTTGATAAATGTGGTTTGAGAGGTTGACGAGGGAGGTGTAGGGAAGCGGGTACATATCTTACCGTGAAGCATGAGGATCTTGATCTCTTTCTTTCCATTGGGCTTCTTTGCGGCGCCGTTTGGCGGGGGGTTTGTTGTGGTGGACATTTTGCAGGTGAAAGTGTGGGCGAATAGGAACGGCTGCTGGAAGGCTGAGGCGGGTGAGAGGTTGAGTCTATGAGAAACAAGTCTACTATTAATGCGAAGTTGAAGCGGGAGCCTCATGAGAACATCTATGAGCAGGCTGAGAAATGTGTTGGTGAAGTCAAGTTTGTGAGGTGAGAAGGTGGGTTCTGACAAATCCACCACATGACTCTACGCCGAAACATGCCGAACGGCGTGAGATAAGTTATCTGATGGAATACTCAGACAAACAGTCTATTACTGCGAATAAAACATGGCACATTGAATGTGAACTTGTTGCCAATGCCAAGAGGAAAACTGCAGCTCATGGCCATCTGGGATGGGATGCAGGCTCGCCGGGGTGAGTCAGATGACATCACGTGATATCCGCTCCGGCCGTCCGGGCCCCTCGACGATGTCCGTTGCCCGGAGCCTCCTCCTGCATGCCGAACGGATCAATCGGACATGCCCCGGCCTCACGGTCGCTTAACAGCGCTCGTCTTCTCGGCGGTCCTCTAGTGCGCTTCAATTCTCGCACCCAATTGAATCCGGCCGATGCCCGATATCACCGAGCCAAACATCCCCGCGAAGCACCAATCACTTGGACAAAGGATCAAATAGGATTAGTACAACAGCTCAATTGACTCCCGAGCCGTCAGTCTATGGTACAGCGTCCGTAAAGTACGCGTCTGGCGGGTCTTGTCTGTATGATCCCTCCCCCGAATGCTTCTATGCCATAGCCCGGAAAACTTGTCCCATGTCGAGAGAAACCGTTTAGTGCTTGTTCTTGGCGAGGGGGTTGCGGGCGTCGTTCTTCCACTCGTCGGCTGCGTTCCTCCATGTCAGTACGGATTCGTCGTGGGAAACGGAGCTGCGACGTACACTTCATCATGGCGTTCTGGGCGGAGTTGATGCCGTAGGCGATGACCAGACCTGTTGTCGCACACATCAGTCCCTGCTGCTTTCTCTCTCGCGCGCATTGCCCCTCCCCAAATCTCCATCGCATCCACTTCGTATCGAGTCTCGTCGGATGGGGGATCAATCGCGGAAGGGATGTTGGGACCTACCGGCAGCGAAGAAGGGCGCCATCGGCTTAACTACAAGGGATGTTTAGCATTTCGCGATCACCAATGGGGGGGTGCAGACGCTGGTGACTTACGGACGGGCGTGGGGTACTTCTTGAGGGCGCGAGCTCCGAGCCAAGACATCTTGTCGGTTTGTGATGGGGTTTGAGTGGCCGGGAGGGTGGAATTGAGCGAGGTTTTGGAGGGGCGGTTGATGACTTCGGGTTCAACGTGAAGCTACTCAGAACGAGCCTTTTTCCTCCGATTGAGCTTTCGGCGGTTGGACCCGTTGCCGAGATGCGGCGATTGTGGCCTGAGGCAGCATGCTGCCAGTTGAGCGCTTAGGTAAGGTAGCTGCGCACGTGCCATGCAGCGACAACTTGTGGAGGCAGCTGTTTCGTGCATCGCGGCTTCATTCTTTGATCACAGTCACGTAATGGCGATAACATACTGGTCCATTCTTGCCCACGTCAATCAGTGGACTTTCTGTAGCGGGTAGCTCCATCTTTTAACACAACTTCCATGTCAGTACCAAGAATTATGTCCATTGGGAATTTATCGATACGCATGATGTGTCACGTGATGTATTCCTTCGAGCCAAGCTTCAATTCTCAACGGCTGCGTAGTGCCTCAATCGATGGACCCATCAACACCTGCTTAAAGAACTCAATGCTTTGCAAAGAACTCAAACGTATGAGTACTCACACAGTGTATGTAGTCGTACTGAAAAGACAAAAGATATGGGCCATTCGTACGAGAGCCGCAAGCAATCGTATCACCCTCACAGAAGCGGGTAACATCGGCGCAACGCCGGAACGATTGTCCGCCGCTTGTTTCTTCCAAGATGGACTTCTCACACGCCCCTCTGCCCCAGTATCAAAATCTCATGTTTCTGGCCTGTGATTTGCTTTTCTTAGCACCTCAATCTAGCCGTTGAATCTACCCGAGAAGGCGATGCCACCAGAGTCAGCTGATTGCTACCGGCCATCACCTCGGGAGGTGTCCCGTTTCCCCCACATGAACCCTTGTGCGGGTATCGCTGAAACAATTGTCCGTCGCCCCTTCTGGCCCCGAACACCCCTGCTGACAAGGACCATGTGACATCATTCGACCCTTCTCCGCATCTGGACGCATTTGGCCGGGATACGTACCGTGCCTGGAACTGCCCAGGAGCTCAGCTCCCACGCCCGCTGCTCCGCGCCGTCGCTGTCAGTTGCAAGTGAGGTGGGAGGCGGGCGTCAGCTTTCCCCAGGTTCGGGGCCCTTGCTAAGCATGGATTGGCGTGCTGGCGTGGACGGTGGTGCTTGATCAGGACGAATAGCGTCGCAGCAGCGTGGAGGAAGAGAGGAGAAACACCAGTACACAGCCGGTAAAGAGTTGCAGGCAAGCAGTAGGAACTAAAGGGCACGTCGTAGCCGAGCAGGCAAAGAGCAAGCAGCCAAAACGTCCTCCTCCCTTGTGTCACATTTCTCCCACGTCTTGTCCTTCCTGCCACACTACACTACCTCACACTACACTCACACACACCACCACCACCAAACAGACGCCTGCCACACCTACCTGAAGCTGTCTCTGCATTGCGTTGCGCTCTCTCCTCTCTCCTCCCTCCCTCCCTCAAAAGTGCGGGGGAAGCACGTTCAAAGACACTCAGGTCGCACGGTTGTAGGCCGACCATCAGCCCGTACTCGTCCAATTACATTCGTCCCATTTGCCTAGTCTACCATTCTGCCGCTTCCCCAAGACGCAAGCACGGTCTCGACCACCACCTTGACCACAAACAAGCAAGCACCTCCTCTCCCCAGCTATCTATCCGTACCTTACCACCAGCTACTACCACCATACCGCTGTTCTGCTACCAGAGACCAGGCCACCACCACCTTCCGCCCGTCGCCGCCGCCGCTGCACGCCGACTTGCTTCCCGTTCCGTGATCCAGTACCAATAAACCCCTGCTCTCGGGTGCTTCCTGCTTCTTGCCGATCGAGACGTATCGAATATCGTTTTCCTTTCCTCCTTCCACATTCCCGTGCCAGAGGCTTGTTACCTGCAAACAAAGAGCTTGTTTGTCCATTCTTTGTCGGACCCGACGGACGACATACCTCTCGCAGCAGACAAGACACCTCTAGGTCACCTCGTCATCACCAACCACCAATCCCACCCTCTCATCTACACCTACCTCTCTTCCTCCAACACCTTTCGCAATGCTGAGCCGTCCATTGGTGCGAGCTGCCGGCGCGGTGACCCCGCGTTCCGCGCTGCGAGCATTCTCTACCACGAGCCAGCAGCTGAAGGTGCCCTCCATGGCCGACGTCAGCGCCGCCCCTCAAAGCGTCGCCTCCTTCAACGAGAAATCGAAGCAGTTCCGAGAGCAGTTGGTCGAGCAGCAGAAGCAACGGGAAGCAAGTGCGTATCAGTCCTCTCCTCCCCCCTCCGCCTCTGAGTCCGCTAAGGACGGCATCTCATCTGTGATTGCTACTTCAGGACAGAAGGCCGAGGCCACCCAGGAGCCTCCGCGGAAGGCCGGGCCCTTGACCAACCTCATCTACGGTACCAAGGAAGGTCGCGAGCTCGATGCGCAGCTCGAGGCTAGCTTTAGTCAAGTCCTTGCCCGAGGCAAATACGTTCACTCGATCGTTTTCCACGAGGTCAAGCCTGACAAGGTCGACGAGTACACCGAGCTCGTAGGAAACTGGTACCCGCGCATGGCCTCCATGCCGGAGAACAAGGTCCATCTGGTGGGAAGCTGGAGGACTGAGGTTGGCGACTGCAACACTTTTGGTATGTCACTTTCAAGGAGCTCAGGCACGACCGAAACAGCTGCTAATATTAGCTTAAACAGTCCATATTTGGGAGTACCAGAGATACCAGGGTTACCACGAGTCGATCCACAACATTGGTTCCCACCCCGAGTTCGCCGCGTTCGACAAGAAGCTCAAGAGCTTGATCACCTCGAAGAAGACATCCCTTATGCAGGAGTTCTCCTTCTGGCCCACGACGCCTCCCCGCCAGCTTGGCGGCGTTTTTGAGCTGCGATCCTACACTCTGCACCCCGGTAACCTGCTTGAGTGGGAGACCCACTGGAGACGGGGCCTGAAGGCCAGACGTGAGGTCATGGAGGGCGTCGGCGCTTGGTTCGTGCAGATCGGAGATCTCAACACAGTGCACCACCTCTGGCAATTTGCCAACCTGGAGGAGCGCAAGATCCGTCGTGAGAAGAGCTGGAGCGTTGAGGGTTGGAGCGAGACCGTTCACAAGACTGTTCCTCTTATTCAGACGATGAAGTCACGGATCCTTGTTCCCATGCCTTGGTCGCCTACTGCGTAAGACGGCATCAGACATGGTGTCTGTCGTGTTTTCTTGCCTGCTATCGGAACCCGACGTCGCACATGTCGAATTATCACACCATCGTTAACTCGTCGATGCACGTACGATTAGTACCAAGGGATTACTTCCATTGGACTTTACTTCACGCGCTGGTAGTAAGCGCATGGAGGCATACCCGTTACCAAAGCTCGGCCAGGGCCATCGGTTTTGGTTTGCATGGATTACCAGGGGTTGCCAAGGGCTTATAAGTGTACAGAATTCTGGTAAACCCAGCACATAAACATAGGAATTGAAAATTGTAGCCTGAGTAAATGCATCCGTTCCTAAACGCCAGGGTATAACCTCAAATGCTGTGACCGAGGCCAGTTTGCCGTTTTGATCCACCAATGCAATGCTTAATTTAGTGTACAACGCTCACTCGTCGACCTCCTCTCCCATTACTGCAGCAAGATTCCTCCTCGCGCCCGCCAAAGTATGCCCCAACGCGACCAGCTTGGCCGACAAACTCATCAGATTTGGATCAGGCAAGCTCTCAACCCTCACCTTCTCCCTCACGTAGACCTCATTCGGCTCCCCGTTACTCGACGGCGTACCCAGCCCGCTGACACTGCTCTGCCCGCTCCTCGGATGCGCCCCGCCGTGTTTGTGCTTCTCCCCGCCGTCCGTGACGCTACTATACGCGAACCGAAACGGGCGGTCCATCTCGTCGTGCTCCAGCCTCCTGACGGTGCCGAGCGCCAGGCCGAGCTTTGTGCCGAAGCTCGGCGGCGCGTCCACGGGCTCGAGGGCGCGCAGCCAGAGCACGAGGGACGACTCCTGCAGGGAGAAGTGGACGGAGATGTTGGGCCCGAGGGGCGGGGCGAAGTGGACGGGCGGGCAGGAGTCCGACTGCCAGGCGGGGTCGGAGGCGTTGAGGGGCGGGCCGCGGAGGAGGGCGGAGGACTCGGTCAGAGAGGCGTGGAGGATGCGCAGTTGGGCGGCGAGCTGGGAGGGGTTCGAGGAGGGTTGCGGGGTGGAGGTGAGGGAGAGGAGGTCGATGCATTCGGTGAGGTGGGTGTGGATCGTCTCGAGAGCGGCGATGTGGATTGGGTGCGAGGGGTCGAGGGCGATGGTTTGGGATGGGAGGGTTTTGAGCTGGAGGTTGACGGCCTGGAGAGGGTTGGTTGTCAGTTGAGGGGGGAGGGGGGGTTGGAGGGATGGACGGGAGACGTACGCCTTTTACTATCCTTGTGCCGACGCGGGTTACTGTGCCTTTGACGCGCTCGTTACGCTGCGTGGACATGACGAGGGTGCTGCCCGGGTCGATTGGCGCGAGGAGGGCGTAGCAGTCTTGCAGGCCGTGGCGGATGTCGCTGAGGATTGTGTGGGTTTCGTTGACGATCCATTCTAGCTCGCGCTTCTTTGGGTTGATCCTGATCAGCATTTTTGTTTGGAAATCTATGCGGAAACGTGCTCGCGACTGAGCTTGAACTTGGGAAGCAGGAAGGACGTACGAGGGTTTCCTCCGTTTTGAGGGCGAGCTGGTCAGGGGCCACGGGAGGCCAGATTGCTATGGACATAACTGCCTGATGTCGAATCGAGGAGGATATGTGGTTTGATCGAGGTGCTTGTAGGCAGCAAGGTTGGAGGTTGCGAAGGAGCCGCGGCGGGCGTGACGAATTGAGGTGTCTGGTGTTTTAGCTCATGGTTGGATGTTGGAGCTTCGCATTGGAGTTCGTCATCGTGGGAGGTCTGGGGTCAGTGGGGTGACGCGCGCTAGTGGGCTCGAGCAGGGGCCTGCTGGAGCTGCAGATGCTGCGCCGGTGCGGGTGCATGTGGACCCACTTTTTGCACTTTTTGCGTTCCTGGCGGCGAGTGAGGCACTCGTTGACATGCATTTTCATCTTGACCACAGCTTCTATCTTCAACTAATACAACTGACTTGTTCAGAACAAATCATTATCAAGAAGCACCACTCTCAAAATTCCCCTTGTCATACACTCGAACCATACCAAGCTTCTGGTCACTACATCGGAAGGGGGGGAAAAGACAGAAACTAGCAACAGGCTTCCTGCCGAAGCTCACCTAGACTCACTTCTGCCTACAATGGCGCCGACTCACCCCAAGAGCCAACCTGGCAAAAGCGACTCCTCATCAAAGAAAGATGTGTCAATAGACAAGCTTCCTCGTCTGCCTCAAGGTACTTGCACCATCCCTCCTTTCACCATTTCCTGTCTCCCTGTTTCACCCTCCCCCGTCTCATCGCCGATCTCAGCTAACATCACCCTAGGCAGCAAGATCCAGAAGCGCGCCCTCCCGCGCAGCCAGCAGCCCATATCCTCCAAGTCCCGACTCATCTACGTCTCCTCATCGACGCCCTTCATGGCCGTCGTCTCCCGCGTCAGGAAACAGCTCGACAGGGCGCTCAAGGGCAACGTCCCCTCCACCAAAGGCATGTCGCTGCCGCAGCGGGTGGATCTGCTTCATCGCGACGGGGGCACCAAGGCGGAGGGCGAGGCGGTTGTACTGGGTACGGGCAAGGCGGTGGAGAAGGTCCTCAGCGTGGCGGCGTGGTTTGAGGAGCAAGGGGATTGTGTTGTTGAGATCAGGACGAGGACGGTGGGCACGGTGGACGATGTCGTTGTCGAAGAGGATGACGATGGATTTGGAGGTGAGAGCAGGGTGAGGAGGGTCAGCTGTTTGGAGGTTACGGTGAAGTCGAGGTGAGGGAGGTATCGTGGCGGTATGGATACAGGACTTCTCGATGCGAGTGTAGAGAGACATGAGGGCGTCATGAGAGGGGGCTCAATATCGAAATGTCGCCGACGATGCCTCAGAAAAAGCGAGATCTTATCAGGAGCGACTGGAAAGACGATGCGCAGGCGTTGGTGGGAGGAAGAGAAGCCGATGGATGTCTGAATAGAACCGGCATGATACCCAGCTGACAGGCTTTAATTTACGTTTATCCTCATAAACCTCCTAACCCGAGATACCCAGATCTTCTTCACCTCCGTCGTTTCTGATGTTCTGGCGACGTTGGAAGTGGATCTGGGGAGGAAGATCCATGGCAAGTCTCCGGGACGGCCTCTGTAACCCTCATTGCTTACGTCTGCGATCCCTCACATTCATCCCAACAAACCGCCCTTCATTCGACTCAGGATTCTCATTCTTAGGTAAGTGCTACAAGGCAAGTTATCGATATTGTTATGATAATGCGGTAAAAGCAGACTGATGTGTTTCTCAAACTCGAAGCTTCACTTTAAGGTGCATAGCAGAGGCATCCGATGAGATAAATACATTTCTCAATCAGAACCGTTGTGAGGCACTGGTGCCCGTTCGTTCATGGCCCCTTTCCGCGGTCAAGTCGTGTTCGATCGGAGAGACGCCGAACCACGCGGAGTTCCAATCGGGAAACTTTAGTCGCTTACTCAAATGGGAATTGCGGGAATTGTTTCCCCAGAGACAAGGGCGCCGTTGGGGTCATCTTACGAGAAACAAGATCATCCCTGTCTTCCACGCACTTATCGACGTGAATTAGCAGTGTTTATTACGGCCCTTGGCACCGTTTATCTTCACCGCTAGCGATACCGGAAATTTCGGTGTGGGGTACAACAACCCGAGAGTCACGTCGGCGCTTCCTTTTGACATCATTCAGTCCCGGCCGGCAATGAATACCAAAGAGGGGAATTGAGGCCCCGCCTCGCATTTTCTCTTTTCTCTCTTGAGCCGTCGCGGGGTGGAAAGTCTCTTCTTTCTCCCGTTCAACCCTCTCTCCCTCAGCCAAGGGCCATCTCCGTTCTCACCAGCGGGCAAGATGATGTTCCAAACCTCTGCCGTGCTGATGGCCGCCCTCGCCGGGCCGGCCTTCGCAAGCTACGCCTTCTACGTCGGCAAGGACCTCACCGCCGACGGCAGCGTCATGGTCGGCGGAACGGGCGAGGAGGTCTCCTCCCACTGGCTCCAGCTGTTTCCCGCCCGCGACCACGCCTCCAACGCCACAATCACCGTCGGCGTCACGGACAAGGCCAGCATCCCGGGCGAGCTCTTCACCATCCCCCAGGTCAGCCACACCTACCGCTACCTGTCGATGGAGTACTCCGACTTCGAGGGCTTCCCGGCGCCGCTCACCAACGGCGGCCTCAACGAGAACGGCGTCACCGTCCGCGACGTCTGGGCCCAGAACCGTGACGAGCTGGTCAACATGACCCCGACGCCGCAGCACGGCATCCAGTACAGCGACCTCGCGCGCATCGTCATGGAGCGCGCCAGGACCGCGCGCGAGGGCGTCGAGATCATCGGCGAGCTCATGAACCAGTACGGCGAGGCGACCTACGGCGGCAACACTCATCTCATCGCCGACAAGGACGAGGGCTGGGTTGTCTGGGAGATGGCCGGCGGCCAGAAGCTCTGGGCCGCCGAGCGCCTCAAGACCGACGAGGTCCGCGTGCTGTACCCCGGCTACATCGAGGACTTCCCCACGGACTTCGCCAACAGCTCTGACTACATGGGCTCCGACAACATCGTCTCCTTCGCCGTCGAGCAGGGGTGGTGGAACGCCAGCAGCGGCGAGCCGTTCAACATCTTCAACGCCTATGGCGAGAAGGGCGAGAACATGACCGCCCGCGACGGCGGCTTCAAGTTCATGTCCCAGGCCGCGCTCGAAAACGCCACCCTCGAGATGGCCCCCGTCACCGAGGAGAAGCTGATGGAGCGCGTCCGTGACAAGCGCATCTCCGACGACGAGGCCGGCTACGGGCAGATCGTCTCCCTCAAGGACGGCATCGACCGCGACCTGCTGCGCATCTGGAACGCCCCCACCGGCTCCGTCGCCGCGCCCTTCGTGCCGTGGTGGCTCGGCGTCAGCAGCATCCCCTCCGAGTTCGGCGAGCACCGCTACCTCACCACCGGCGCGTCCGGCAGCTTCCTGAACACGGACTACCAACTGCAGGAGGCGAGCGAGTTCGCCGGCCGCATCTTCAAGCGCGTGTTGTACTACATGTGCTCGCAGCCCGACACCTTCCACCCCATCGTCACGCAGATGCTCACGGGCTTCGAGAACCAGAGCCGCAGCGATATTGACTGGGTCGAGACGAGCGCGAAGCTGCTCATCGAGAGCGGGGACCGTGAGACGGCGAGCTCGCTGCTGACGTACTACTCCCACAGCCGCGCGTCAAAGGCTCTTGAGCTCGGCAAGGCCATGACGGCTGCGCTGGACGGGTACATCAAGCTCAGTGGCCAGTGGCGCAACCCGGTTGGTAGCGAGATTAATGATGCTGGAGAGGGCGCCGAGACTGTGAACTGCTTGGTTGGATATGACCCTGACCAGCCCATCTGGAAGCAGCCTGCGAACCCCATGAGGAAGAAGAGGAGCCTGAGGAACCGGATGTTTGTGCAAGGTCCTCGCTACTAGATCAACAATCAATAGGGGTCGTTTGCGTAGACTATCTAATACAAGTAATCACCAATAGGATCGGGCCTCGTGACAATGCAAGGGGCCAGATTGGGAAAGAAAGAAGCAAACAAGGTCTCAGCTGCTAATTACATAATCCCACCACCGACGTCGAACGAAACCAGACCGCAAGCTTCGGCTTTGTTTTGGATAGTCTAGCAATTGTGAGGAGTGCTTATCAGCAGATTGTTCGAATGTGCTGACCTCCATCGCGCCATTTGAGTCAACTTTAGTGGTCAGAACCATGGGCCTTAATCCAGCCTTCTGTTCCTCCATGGGCTTTCTGAATGTCCCATCGGAGCTCTTCACGATGATCATCTCACACCTTGAAACACGGCACCTCAAACAGCTGATGGAGAGCAACAAAGCAATCTACAGCCTGGTTACACCCGTGTTCTACCGCAAGGTGTGGACCAAACGGCAAACTTGTTGCGACTTGGCCGGGCTTGTTAACCTACTTAGACGGCTCCCAGACATTTGCCAGCTCATCAGTGTTCTGAATATCGACGAGATGGATGAGAGCGGCTTTCGAGAGCTACTTAGCCTTGAGCTACCAAACCTCGAAGCCATCAACGTCGAGCATGCTTGTGGAACTGTCAAGACTGCCGACACGGAGAGAAGAGAAGAACTCAACGCCGGCATACGTTTGAAACCAAAACTCAGTAGCTGCACGTCAACACATCAACCTCTTCCACAAATATCAGGCTAACTCGAAAATTATCAGTCAAGTTTGCTATCCTCGATGCTTGCAGGCACGTGGATGCAGTCCAGTCAAACGAGGTCGAAGAGACGGCGTCTCTGTACAAGATCCACGCACAAGACTCCGTCTACTTCAGCCAACCAACTCTTGCCCGCCTGAAACTCGCACACTTGGACCTCTCAGCATTCAGAAAACATCCCGCTGAGCCCTTTCCTATGGAGGCTCTCAGGCACATGGAAATTGACGACTGCCACATCCACATCGCAAGTCTTGGGAAGTTCTTGTTACGAGCCTCGTCGCTTCAGAGCTTCCGATTTCGCCATCACCGTCATCTATCATTCTGCAGGAGCTCTTTTGTTTCTCTACTATCGGGATGCAAAGAAACTCTCGAGACTCTTGAGCTATCTTGGAGATCGTCTCTTTCGCACTATGATTTCAGGGGCCCGATGCTTTTCGAAGAGTTCACAGCTATGAAGCAGCTTCTGGTCGACCCTCAAGCCCTCTTCGTGAATTACCTTGGGAGCACAAACTTGCGCCCGATGTTGAAGCATGTTCTCGCGCCAAATCTGGAAGTGCTCATGTTAGAAGGCGTTAGGGAGCGCGCTCATCAGCATGACAGTGACCAGGATCACCTTGGGCAAACGTCCACCATTGGGCAACCAGACGAGAAGTTACTTAGCGACATCATCAATTTCAAGAGCGAGATTCTGCCGCATTTGCGATATGTACTTCTCTGCGACTGTTCGAGCATTGAAGATCTCGATAGATTCTGCGAGATGGCGGACAGGCAAAATGTTCGCTTGGCATTGTTGACCACGCAGATAGACCAGCCTATACCGAACCTTGAGTTGCTAGATTCAAGTTGGGCTGAACATGCTTCGGATAAAGAGGAAAGAACAGACTATCAGCAAGTTCGTTGCTATGACGGAAGTAGTTGGGTTTGCCGCGATGCATCATTCACCGTCGTCGACGCCCATAGCGAGGAGAACTCACCATGGGAGCAGTAGGATCGGCAATTCATCACCATCCCTTACATCTTTCTTAACAATCGAGTTTTAATGTGCGAGTAGATATTTCAAGCTTTAATCAGATCTAACATATGCAGCACTACGCGGTACCAGCTCGAAGTACACGCCTGGTCACCAAGACTTAAACAGCGATCATGGGCTGCCTACAATGGCGGGCGTCTGAATCAATTCGAAGGTCATGGAAAAAGTAGCATCTCGTCGTGATATCTGAACAATCATTAATCTCCTTCATGTTATTGTGATGTTTGGACGAAACTTCGTCGATCAGCTGGTTATCGATCTTAGGCCAGGATGTGCTTTGTGCTAGGCATTAGAAATGGCCACCAGTGCATACGCCCATGTCAGCTGTGCCAGCTTTCTCTTTCAAGGCCAATTCAAACCGACCATTGGACGGTTTCCAACGTAGGCAATGTTAGTGATATGTACTAGTACGTTTGATAAAAAAAAAAGCACGGACGCAACGTGTTGAAATTCTTAAGGTACCATGTTTGAGACGATCGTCACTTGTTATAGACAGATTTCTGTCTGTGTTATTGCGAGCAAGTGCAAGTATGAAACATCCCTAGCTTCTATGAGATTTCGAAAACAACACCTACTGCGTAGGTATTCTTCACAGAGCTTATCAAAGCAGCGACCTGGCGTTAAGAATTTAGACCAGGCCTATTTCTCGTTATGTCCGCACGTCCGCCCGAGCTGTCTTCGCTTTCGCATAACGACTGGGGCAGAGCATGGGTACCACATAGAGTTGCACTGTTGCGGATCGTGGGGTCCGGGCTGACGTGTGGGGTTGTTCAAAGTCGGTCTAGAAAAGGGTCCCTAATATCGTATGATAACGACTTTTGAGGTTTGCAAGCCTGGAATATCCGGAAGCCAAGAACGATAAGAACTTACTTCAGACGATATTTTGATGAACAGCCGACGGGATGAACATCTGCCTCATAAAATATGGCTGAGATCAATCGTACAGTTCATGAGTAGTGGGTTCCAACATTGTCTGATCCCCTCGGGCTAGCTCAATCCACTCCACTTCGCCCCTGCCTGAGACACGGGTGCTGAATCAAGAGAAAGTATGTTAGATGACACTGCACATGACTCTGTTACTGGGCTTTTGTCAGCCTTGGATTGATACTAACATAAATACGCATTTTCTCCCGTGAGATGCTTCAAATCACACAGGTTGCATCATCCAATTCACTAGCTATTTTACAATCTACTCTTCCTCAGTTGATAATCATGAAGGCTTCTTTCATCACCGCTCTGCTGGCTCAGGCTTTGGCCGTAAATGCCCTCCAGAAATACTGTAACGGTGGTCAAGGTCTCGACGCTGCACTTACATGTGAGGTGTGTATCTGAATCTCACCTGCTCTGCACTACGATCACCACTGACAGAACTTCGCGTCTAGGGAAAGGGAGCCAACTCGTATTGCGTGAGTAGCAGTTGCTCTACCTGAAAACATGTTGCTAAGTATTCCCGAAGTGCAAGAACACTCAGTCAGCAGATTTCCCGACGTTCCGAGGAGCATGCTTCTCCCCGCAGAGCATTAGAGACCGGGAAGATGCCTCGCAGGACTGCACTGGCGGTGTAAGTTCCCTACATGCCATTTCGCGTTCACTCACTTGATTGCTGACAAACTAAACCCACAGTCCGTTTACTGCGTAAGTGACCACTCGCTTGCCGTGATGAATGAACGCCATATTAACTTTCATAGTGCGACTAAAGAGCTCGGGCACATATAGCTTTACGAAGCAGTTGCTCGGAGGGCAATTAGAAGATTGTTATGGTGGTTGAGGTCTTTACGGCATAGCAATGGAGGAGCAAGGAGCATGGCAATTGATAGAACCTAGAATCATAGCGACGGTGTCGTTAGCAAGGAAAAGTTGTGACTTCAAGTGTGCCCTGTTCCAACGCCCGCCTCGATTCCAATGCTAATAACAGCGACCGGCACCATCCACAAATCAAATCTACAGCCGGGTCTAGCTCACTGAATATACAAGATATCGCACTGAGAAGGCGCATCTCCAAGCGAGGTATCTCTGTTACGAAAGAGGTGCGACTTCACGAAGTACTACTAGTCTGAAGCTGAGATATGACCGGAACACGACATGATCAACAAGGCCTTTGAGAGATTTGTGTATTTATATCGAGATCGCTCGTTAATGGGCAGTGATACAGATTGTAGACATGATAGCGAGGTGCTTATGGCCATGCTCCCATGCATAACCGTACCCTTTGAGTAACAGCGCTCTTTCCAGACGCAGGTGTGGGACACCTTTTCCCATTTGCTTTTTTGGACGAGCTTGATGAATCAGAAGAACGAATCATTTCTTCCCACACCTAGCTTTCATCCCCATATTCAGTTTTGCGTCAAGCCTTTATTCCGGTGTTTGGACTGGACGTTTGGGTCAGCCGTTTGGGTCAACCATTGGAATTCTCCTTCCGGGCTGTTTCAGGCCAAGTACTCACCAGGCAAATAAAACGACCAGAAGTCTTCAAAGCCAATTTGACACTCGGTGCTATTATATCAAAGACGGTACCGGCGTATGAAAGACTCGAAGGCCACATGATGAAACGGTCATCATTCCTGAGGACTGACGCATCCCGTTCCTTGCTTCTGCAAATCAGTATAAAGCAGCAAAGTCACTACAGAGCTACATGATTGTATTCGTAGATATACTTACTAGCAGATCGTTTGAGAGGCCCGAATATTACCATCACCATCACCATTGTTTGGCACAATGGATCCTCTCACAGCCCTTGGTCTAGTCGCAAACATCGTCCCCTTCATCGAAATCGCCGGCAAAGTCCTGAAAATCGCCAAAGAAATCCACGACTCCGAGTCCGGTGGACTGAACGACAATGTTAACTTGGAGAAGTATGCAACACAGCTGAAGCAGCACTATTCCAACCTCCTCGCTCCCGATTCCCCCGATCTCATTGGCGACGACAAGGAACTTTGTGCTCTGGCGACAGAGTGCCAGAAGCTCGCTCCCGACCTTTTGGATGTTCTTGAGAGAATCAAGCCCGCAAACCGGTCTTCCAAGTGGCAGTCTCTGAAGTCTGCCGCGAAGAATCTCTGGCGCACAACAGATAAGGAGATGTTGGAGAAGAGACTCGAGTTATGTAGACGCCAGGTTGAAGCTCAGCTCAACCAAAGACTTAGGTAAAGTTTCCCGTTCGCTGCTAAGATTTCTTGGATTGGAGGCTGACGGTTCTATTCCAGCACGAAAATAGTAGTGGCGCTCAAGAGTCTTTTGGAGGCCACTGGAGAAGATGCCGGCAAGTTGAAGCAGATCGAGAACTACGTTGAGAGTTTGCGCCAAGGTGTCCAGGTCACGTCTCTGAGCAGAGAGGTTCAAGATCAAGTCAGCCGATTGATCAAAGTTCCCGAAGCTGTCACTCGCCAAGTCGCAATTGAATCCTTCTTGAGAGGGCTTTCGTTCGACGGCATGCATGAACGTTTCGACATGATTCGATATAGTTCCCACTCGCAGTTATTCGAATGGATGTGGGAAGAAGTTCATGCAGATCCTTTTAATAACGACATCGACTACATGTATCCAGATATTTTCATAAGACTAGGTTCAGAAGCTGAAGACCTAGATCGTCGGCGATATCGGAAGTTGTTTGCGGATTGGCTTTCATCTGGGGAGGGAATTTTCCACATCTCCGCGAAACTTGGAGCCGGAAAGTCGACGCTGCTAAAACAGCTTTGTACACTGTCTAAGATCAACAAACACCATCTCTCCGGATGGGCAGGTACGGGACGCACTTAAGATGGTTGACCAGAACACTGACAAATTGAAAATCATAGGAGACAGGAGGTTGGTAACTGGCAAATTCTTTTTTTGGAGTTCCGGCACGCGCCTGCAAAAGTCGTTGGCTGGGCTGAGCCGAGCGTTACTGATTGACGTATTTCAAGCGTCTCCAGGGCTTGTATCTCTAGCCTTTCAACCACGTTGGAAAGAGGCGATTGATTCGCCCTGGCAGACAGGAAAAGCGTTGACATTGACTGATCAGGAGTGCATCGAGGCATTGGAGAGGCTGATCGCGGAGTCCAGCAAACAGAGCTTCTCTCATCGGTTTTGCTTCTTCATTGATGCTTTAGATGAGCTTCAAGAAACGCCAGACTTCACCTTCAGAGACTTGTCTCGTACCCTCAAATCGTGGGTACAGGCGAGCGGCGGCAACGTCAAGTTTTGTGTCTCCAGCCGTGAGTACTATCAGTTTATGGACGAATTTGAAAGCAAATCCAGAATTCGTCTCCACGAAGTGACAAAGCAAGATATGTTCTCATTTGCCCGAAGAAAAATTCATTTTCCAGACCCTATGTACACCTTCAGAAAACTGGACTATCTAGTTCTAGCGATCGTGGAAAAGGCACAGGGTGTTTTTCTCTGGACTGTAATCGTTACAAATGACGTTTCTGAGAAACTAAGTGACGGTCATTGTCATAAAGACTTGATTCAGCGAATAGATTCGTTACTAGACGAGCTTGAATCTCTCTTCATGCATGTCATCGAAGCGCTGCCACGTCAAGATAGGCCAGGAGCCTACAAAATTCTTTTGCTAATGCTTGAAGCAAGCCACTGGGACCTCCCTCTCTCTGTTTTAGACTTTGTGTTCCTCGGACAGTACGAAAAGGATCCACGTCCGGATTTCTTCTTACAACACAGGCCAAGCCCAATCTACGCCAAAAAGACAACGGATGAAATCTTGGTATGCGAACGCAGACTGGTCAGGTGCTGCAGAGGATTGATAGAGACTGTGGGTAAGTGCAGCGAATTTCGACGAGTCCAGTTCTCTCATCGCTCAGTCCAAGAATTTCTGATGCAGCCCGAAATTCAAGCAAGGTTGAACATATGTCTTTCAGTACTTGATACAAAGGAGGCTCTTTCTCAAATGGTTTGTCTTTCTCAGAGAGCATATGGATTGAACATGCCAAGCTGCCCACGCCAATACAATTGGCTACGCCAGGTAATGGCCATGAGGGAAGCCGGACAGCTGGACAGAGAGCCGTGGGTGTTTTTGAACAGTCTCGAGATGCTGTTCTCTCAGGAGTCTCCGTGGTTTCCTGCCACTTCTGTCATAAGAGTTGGAAAACGACCCTTTCGGTGCGCGATTGATCCTTACACAAGATGGTTGGAAGGATGTTCTTATGGCGACATGCGATCGCCAGTGTTTTGGCTCAGTCACAGAGGCTACTCAGAGTTTTCCATATGGTGGTTACGTCACACACCCATGACTGACAAATTGAAGTCGCAGGCACAACTGCTTATATCCTGCACTGTAGCCCACTTGGCGCCCAGGAGTTATGACACACTTGCAGAGCCTGGTGATCAACTGGCTCACATCTGCCTTTGTATGGTGCAGATTGGGCTGGAACGAGGCTTGATCATCCCTGATTCGGCCATGGATTTCATCGCTTGCGGGCGTTTGGGTTGTAAATTCGAATGCTGCGAGCAGCGTGGGAGTTTCACAATTTTAGAAACATTCTTTCTAGAAGGCCTCGTGAGCCACATTCGGGGTATAAAGAATGTGGAATGGATAGGTGATGTCCTCGAGGCTTTACTTCTTCACGAAGCAAATCTCGATTTCACCTTTTCATTCGAAGATGCAGATACAGAGTACATGGGGCGTATTTTACTTCGGGCCGGCCAGAAAAACATTGGACAGCATTTCTTTGACATCAATGGGTATGCTAAGAAAAACAGCCGATATTTCTCGAATCTCAGCCCGCGGGATGTCGTGAAGAAGTGCAACTTTCACAACAAAGATCGTCTGCTTGAGCTTTTGGATGGCCAGATGAATCGATACAATAAGAAAGTCTGTCCAGAACCGCGGCTCATTCTGCGACACAAGCCGTGGGCTCGAAGCACGATATGCCATACCCTTTTGGGGGCATTTCTTGGTAAGCATAGAGTGTTCATGAACCTCCCTTTTCGCAATTTGGTTTTGCTAACTTTGGCTTAGGGATTTCGATGACGGTTGTTGCCCAAAACCTCTGTAGTTAGTCGGCCGAGAGAAATGAAACTCAAAGTTAGTACAAGTGCGATTTTGCTCGGATGATGGATTTGGATTGGGGTTCATGGATGCGTATGAAGAGGCTTTTGGGAATAGATCGTAGACATGATGGCACCATCCATCCATTGCTAATGATCATAGTCAAAGGCATGTGTCTGAATAATAACATGCCTCTAGAGGCATGGGGTATCATTTACGCACGTATTGGTGAATAGGCCTGGTTGAGCAGACGAATGTATCAAATCTTCCTACACCTAGCTATGCAAAGTTGCCTTTCCGTCTAAGTCACCTTCTACCCGTACCACAGAACTCCGAAGAAATAGCTCTCATGACAACCCGGGTAGCTCCTCAAATTCGAACCCCTTAAACCCATCCTCGACCGCCCATGCTCGCCCCTTCTCCTTTTCATACAACGCCTCACACGCCCTGCCAACAACAAGCAGCCCAGGTGGCCTGCTACCCTCAGACTCAATAGCCTCAGCAACGTACTCCAGCGTTGTCCGAATCACCCTCTGATCGGGACAACTCGCCCTCTCGATGACCGCGCAGGGTGTGTTCTTCGGCCACAATATCCTCCTTGGCTTCTCCTCGCCTTCGACCTGCTCCTCCGTCTCAAGGTGGCAAGTCAACTCCCTCACCAGGCCAACAATCCTGTGCAGAGCCATGAGGAACACGACCGTCCTGCTGGCGATGAACTCAGGCGGCGCTGGCGGCTTGCCCTTCTTTCCTGTACCAGTGCACACCAGAACCTGATCCGCAACGTCGCGTTGTGTAGGGGGGATGCCGGCAAATAGCGGCGCGCTGAGCGACGAAGTGATACCAGGCAGAACCGTGACACGGTCGCCGAAGCCATGCTCTCTGAAATACGCAACCTCCTCTCCACCACGTCCGTAGATGAATGGATCGCCTTGCTTCAACCTCAATACGGTCTTGCCCTCCTTCGCACCAGCCAGAGCAAGCTCATGCAACTCCTCCTGCGCCTGGTCCGCATTCCCAGGGAACTTTCTCGCGATCTGTACTGGTGTCCGCCTGGGAATCAGATCGAGCACTCCAGCAGGCACAAGCTTATCCGCCAAAATGAGATCCGCCGTCTGAATAGCCTTATGCGTCGCTCTCGTGAGCAAATCAGGGTGTCCAGGACCGCTTCCTGCAAGAATAATCCTGCCCTGCTGTGGCGGCTTGCTTGCCCCTGTTCCAAGCCCAGCAGCAGGCGGCTTCCCCGCCGTCTCAGGCAGCGCAGCAGAGTACGACTTCAACACGCTCTCCGCCTCCTCGTCCGTGATAGCAGCCAGCCTCTTAAGCGGCCAGTACTCGCAAACCTGACTCAACCACCTCATCCGCCTGCTCTTCGCCGCTTCCAGATCCGCATCCGTGACAAGCTTGTTGAAGCTCGCCGACTGGTCCACCGAATCGTCAACCTCATCCGGCAGACTATCCTCGTTCTGGATCCTCCTCCTCACATCCCCAAGCCTCGCGCACGCCGCCCCCAGATCCGTGGGCAACGCCGCGGCGACTTCCCTCCTGATCCTGCTGGCCAGTTTACACCCCCTCCCATTCGTCGTGACGCCAATCTGTAGCGGGCCGTCGGTGTGCGTGCTCAGCAACGAAAACGTGCACAGCTGCGGCGCGTCGACCACGTTTACGGGGATGCGGTTGCGCCTGCACAGCGCGGAGATGTGCGCGCTGAGCGGGTCGCGCGGGCCGCTGGTCAGGAAGACGGCGTCGACGACGTTGTCGACCTCGTCCCGGCCCAGGGTGAACAGGTCGGTGTCCTCGAAGGCCTTCTTATGCCAGGTTACCTCGCCTGCGTCGATGCGCTTTTGCAGGTTGTAGTGCAGGTCTGAGGTGTCTGGGGCGAGGAGGATGGGGGTGGCGCCGGCGTTGATGGATTGTGTGCAGCGCGCTGCTGCGAGGGGGTTTGTGCCGATGACGAGGTGGGTGTTGCCTTTACAGTTGAGGGCTGTGAGGAGTGATGTTGTTGTTGTCACCATTTTGGCTGTGTGTGACTCCTATGAGTCTGTCTGAGGTGGTGAAGAGGATGTTGGTGAAGGTCTTACAACCCCTGTCGCCCGTGTGGGTGAGTGTATCGGTGAAGTTCAAGTAAGGTACTCAACCATGCGCAACACAAAGTGAAACTTTAGAAAGACAAAAAGTCAAAAGATGGAAAGGCCCGTGATCAGGTTAGTCTCTCATAAGACGAGGAGTCAAAGAATCAAAAATGGCGTCTTGGCCACCGTGATTAGATATCTAACAAGAAATTAGAAATCGCCCATGGACTGCCATTTGCCCTTGCAGCGCCAGCGCCAGACCCCGAATTGCGATTGCGGAACCCAATCATGCGCCGGGCAAAAAAGGTCAGCTAATTTTTCATTCGCTGGCGATGACACCATCCCGACAGCCGGCCCTTGCGGTGTCTTATCGGCCTTTATCGGCATCTTCCATCGTGACCAATCAGCGGCTTTCGCCCCGACTCCCGCGGAGCCGTCACCGGAGATGCGTCCCCCTGGCACGGGCTTCTTCAAGCATCTCCGGTCGACGGCCTCTGCGCATGGAGGGGTAGAGGGGTAATCTGTGTTCTGCATGCCACAATGAAAAGACCAATGATGCAAAAGATAAGATGGGTTGTCATTCAGTTGAGTTGTGGTATTGAACTGTGATAAGTGGCGGCTCCTTGGCGCAGTCATGATGCCCTCATTCCCCCCGTGCCTAAGTATGTAGTATAATCCGTGGTGTTGTTACAGTATTTTGATGCCTTTCCCACCCATATGATACACAGTCATTGTTACAGTTGTTGGTGATTTCTTTAATCCTCTTTCTCTGCCAGCTGCTTCTTGAGGTCATGCAGAGCAGCTCCTCTCTTGCTCTTCCGCCTCTGCTGCGGCTGCGCGCGCGCTTCAATAGCGTCGGGGTCGCCAATCACACCGTGCTCATTGATGCCGACCTCAACGACATTCCTCTTCTTGCGAGCGGCAGCATTCGCCCGCTGCGCCCGAACACCGCCGTCATCCTCGGCCTCCGGCCTGCCCATGCGCACATTCCTCTGCAGTCGAGTCTTCGCGCCCAAGGCCCACAGGTCACCCCACTTCGCCTTGCGCGCATCGTGGTACGCCTGCTTGCTGAAGCTCTTCGGGATGGTCCAGCGCTCAATCTTCGCGGAGGGCGTGCAGACGTCAAGGGTGACGTGTCCGCGACGCTTAATGGGCGGGAGAATCTGGCGGGGTAGGGAGAGCATGTCGGGGGCGGCCTCGGCATCCTCGTAGCCTTCCAAGGCGCGAGTGGTGGCCTTGTCGCCGGCGAGAGGGCCTGACTTGGCTGTGGTGCCTCGCTGGATAGCAACGTAGCTGAATTGCACGTCGTCGTGGTTGCGGTGCGTTGCGCCCATGATCCTCTGGAGGAAGGGCGGGCGGACGAAGCGCTGGGTGAAGTGGCAGTAGTCCTTGCGCCCCTTGCTCCTACCAGGGACAAGGTACATCGGGCACGACTTGTGGTTCGTGCAGGGCGCGATGATCATGCCGTGCTCCTTCACTCTCTCGAAAGATGGGTCGAGGTCCTGTTCTTCGGCCTTGAGTTCTTCTCCTCCTGGAGGGATGAGGAACTCCTGAAGAAGGCGGTCGCGAACTTCAGCAACGGCTTCAAAACCACTAGGCTGGCCCTTCTCGAGAACGATGAGAACACCACCCTCGGGGTTAAGCAGGGACCAGATCTGGTTCAAGATGGCCTTGCGTCTGTGGCCTTCCTTAACAGGAAGAAGCAGGTGGGAAGCGATGATGACATCAAACATCTTCCTAGGCTGCGGGGTCTCGTTGGCATCAATGTGCTGCTCCTGTTGGTCGACGGAGTGTAGGTAGTCCGGCAGGCGAGGCAGGAAGCTGGTGTTCTGCAGGAACTTCGAAATGCGTTCTCTCAGCTTTTCGGCTCCAATAACCACACTCTGCTTGCCTGGAGGACCTCGACCAGAGACTTCACCACGAGACTGCATGGCCTCCCACTCAGCGCGGATAATGTCTTGCCAAGCCAGGAGACCTGCACCGCCGGCACCAACATCAAGGATGCGGGGGCCCTCGCCATCCCCCCTCTCGAATAGCTTGCGCATCCAATCCGTGCCCAGGCGCTTGCGAACTTCGACCAAACTGGCCATGGCAGAGGCGTAGGTAGGCGGCAAGAACGTAGAGATGAACGCGTCCGCGTCGATCTCTGACATCCTAGCCTGCCAGACAGCCATGCCAATGGGGTTCTGAGGCAGGTTCATCTTGGAAGCAGGTGTCGCCGGTGAATGGGGCAGGCCAGGACCTCCGAAAGCCTTCTCCGCCGCCTCTTGCACGTGCTTGATATCAGTACGGCTGAGCATGGTGTTGACTGGTGATATAAAGCCAGTGTAGGGCATGGCGACGGTGGCCGGGTTTGTCGAGAAGTGGCCCTCTCTCGAGTACGGATGCAAGCGGCTTGCACGGTTGGAGATGCTCTGGTCTTGAATTCCGTCCTCCCTCTCGTCGAGGTCCTCCTCATCCTCGTCCATCTCTCGTTCCTCGTCTCGTATTTGTTCGTCCTCCTCTTGGGCTTGTGCCCTCTCCGACTCCTCATATGCGCGGGCACTGGCCTCAAAGTCCTTCTGCAGCTTCATGAGCGCATCGTATTCTCTCCTGTTCCTTGCCACAACATTGATGTAGTTGTCTCGCTCTTCGGGTTCGGGCTCGGCATCGGGCGCAGGCTCTTGCGCAAGTTCGACTTCTGTTGATAGCTCAGAGGCGAGGTTGTCCTCCACAATTTCTTCGAAGATCTGATCAGGCGTTTTTCGTTTGCCTTTCCGCACGTACGACACCTCCTCATAGGAGCCACCCTCGCCCCGTCGAAGGAGAGCAGGTTCTGCAGATCCATCCTTTCGCACTGCCGCCTCGGATGTTTTCTCGTTCAAGTACTCGATTCCAATATCCTCCGGCGTGGTCTCCCTCAGCGGCGGCCCATACCAGCGCTCGTACAGCCTGTATTCTTCTTCGCTCAGGTAGCCCTTCGGTAGTGTGTCGCGAAATCTCTGCTTCGCCTCCCGAACGGTCGTCTCGATATCGGCAGCACGTGTGAGGTCTTTCGCATCATTTCGGCTCGACTCGCTGTCCTGGAATCTCCGCGATGTTGTCGTGAGGGGTCTGCGGGCGGCGGGTCGCACCACCGATCGTGATGCAGCTAGCTTCGAAGAACTCGAAGGTAATGATCGTCCTGGGAATACTGTCCCTGGAGTGCGTTGGCCTGCCAAGCTCAGAATACGAGCTCTACAGCTTGGGCAAGCATTTCTGAGACCACCTGCGGTCAACATGATTGCGCTTTTGGCGGGGTGGCAATTGAGGTGGTGAAAGATTGAAAGCAGCGATGGAGCTTGTCGCAAGAAATTTGGGCAGGGGACCTTGAGCTCAAAAAACTGCCGCCCCACCTGTTGCAAATGAGGGCTACATCATTGGCCACCTCAGGCACAGCATTCAATATCAAACCAACACTTTCCATAGCTACTTTTAATGAGGTTGTTAAATTCATAGAAATCTTTCTTCACATATTCCATGTAATTATTGAATGGTCAAGGCTTCTGACACGTGCAGGGCGCAAAATCATTATACAGCACGAGTAACCTTATTCCTCGAGAGTCGTTCTCGCTTACGAGTTGACCTTGACCATCAAGTACCTAATTAGTGATCAAACTGTGTTTGCGGTTGCTGTTCACTTTCTCTTCATGTTCAAAAGGTTCTGCTTCATTCAGCTCGGATGTCGAGTAGACCTGATACTTCTCGGCTGTTTTCTGTTCTTGCCTTTCTTTGCTTCTTCAGAAGAGTTGAGAGGGTCAAATTTCTGGAGAATCTTGACAATGCTTTTCAAGTCAGCAACCTGATTCTCTCCATCCTTGCTGCCAGTTTCCTCGTGAACGATGAGGTCCTTTGCATACTGCAACGGCGGCACCAGTCTCTTCAGCTTGGATGTATCCGCGCCTCTGTCCACAAGCAACCGAACGGAGTCCTTGTTCTTCCGCATGATGGCATGATACAGGGGATTCAATCCATCATATTTGACGTCGGTGCGAGCGCCATGATCCAATAGGGCAGGCACCAGAGAAGACCGATGGCTATCGATGGCGATGAAGAGTGGAGTACGGCCATGGTTATCTTTGGCATTAGCTTTCGCACCCTTTTCCAGCAACAACTTTGCCATTTCTTCGTTGCCGTGGTGTACAGCTTGCATCAGCGGGGTCCAGCCATCAAGTGTGTTGGCTAACTCGAGGTCGGCTGAATGTTCCAACAACAGCTCAACAACAGATGTGTGACCTCGGCTCGCCGCCAGATTGATGGGCGTATCTGAATCGTGGTCTGTGGTATTAACATTTGCTCCTCCTTCGATTAGAGTCTTGGATATTGTTAGGTAGCCGCTCTCGGCGGCTAGAGCAAGTGCGGTGCAGCCGGAGTTGTCTTTAGACTCGATATTGACCTTAAGATCGAGCAAGAGTTTCACTGTGTCTAGGCTTCTTCTCTCCACAGCTCTTCCAAGAGACGTGCGTCCGAGCTTGTCCCTGAATTTGGCATTGGCCTTGCGTTTAAGGAGCAGCCTGATCATGGGTGTGTGCTTTAGTTGCTCAGCCAGTGCCAATGGTGTTTGTTTCTCGTCGTCCCAAGCCTCGATACGAGCCTTCTGATCGAGTAATAACTGTGCCATTTCCTCATCGTTCTTGCTCGCTGCATATGCGAGAAGGGTTCGACCTTTTTGGTCTCTCGCTTCAATATTGGCGCCGTTTTTGATCAGCGTTGTAAGTATGGATAGATGGCGCTGCTGTGCTGCAAGATACGCCGGTGTCAGGCCCTTTTCGTCTTGAAGCTCCATATCAGCTCTGCTCTTTATCAGAATTGGAAGAATTGCCGAATGACCTGCACGAGCTGCCAGAGCAAGCGGCGTGAGTCCAAACTCGTCAGCGATATCCACATCAGCTCCTCTTTCAATGAGAAGTTGGCAAACAGGCTTTTCGTTTCTCCTGGCAGCAATTGCCAACGGTGTACGTTGGTTTCCCCCGGAGCTTCTAGCATTTATGGATGCGCCGCGATCAAGCAGCAGTGCAACAGCTTCTTGGTTTCGATGAAAAGCTGCTCTGAATAACGGCGTGACCCCCTCGCCATCTTCCGAATCAACACTCATCCCCTGGTCAAGGAGCCAAGATACTGCAGCAAGGTGCCCGCGGAAGATTGCCATCGACAACGTCGAGACCCGTTCAGTCGTTTCACAACGAATGTTGACGTGATTATCTGCAAGAAACCTTAGTGCTGCCAAATTTCCATTGGCAACATTTTGCATAAATGCGCGATGGAACCTGTCAGGCATATCGTTGATTGTAGCATCTTTGCTTGGTGCGCTGGTTGAAAGATGGTCGATGATGCCTTCAAGCCATTGCAACGCCCTCTCTTGTCCGCAATGTGGAGGCAGCGTTCCAGCTGATGATACAAAATCGAAAATTTCCGTCTCCCTTTCTACCAGTGTTCGGTTCGCGTCAACGAGAGAAGCCAGTTCTTGAGTGTTTGCTTCCAGTTGGGCCGACAATTCGTCCTTCTTCTGCTGCAATCGGTCCAGTTCCTCTTGCACTGCTTTAAGCTTTGCTGTGGTTTCGTCTACGGCGGCTGTCTTTTCCTGGATAGACTTTGGAAGCTCCAAGAGCTTGGGACGCATACGTTTGTCCTCTTTCAGTAGTCTTTTGAGCTGTTTGCCGCGTTCGATGAGTGAGAGCTCAAGGCTTGCGTCCACACTAACGCCTGAAGGGGAGTCCATTGAGTACAATCTAACCATGAACACAGGCTGAGCACCAAGGTGTTCTTGTGTGAGTTTGGCCTGGAGATTGAAGAATTGGGTATGAGCGCTTGTGTTTCCGAAGACATAATCCCTAATGCTCGCCTCTCCTGTTATGTCGTCCAGGATTGCAGTTCTTGACACAGTCATTACGTGGCACCGAGCTTTTGGTTGGCAGCTCTTGATCTCAAGTTCGAGCGCTATGACAAAATCTTCTGAAAAAGACGCCGCATGACGGAACTTCAACCATGTTCGCTGCACTGAATCTCGTGAGAAATCCGCTCCTGTAAGAATGAAAGAACTTTTCTTCTCCCATCTCTCCTGCGGGTGCACATCGACCAACACAAGCTCTCCCTTGGAGGGTGTTTCGATGCAAAACCCATGCCTTCGGTCGAAGGCTACCTCGTCGTGAAATTGAAGGGATTCTAGAATACGCATAGACTTCGGATTCGCGCTGGAGGTCTGGGTGCTCGATTTTGATAGCAGAGAGGCTCTACCACCTCGCGGCCTGATATATTCGTCTGAATCTTCTCCGGGATGAACGCGACATAGTGGGATCCCCACAACCTTCTCGGTGCTGTCTCTAGGCCGACAGTTCAATAGACCAAATGTTTGCCCATTCGTGCTGGTATAGAAGCCAAGTTTGGCGTGAAGAAAACCACCTAGAATGCCAGTTGCATCTAGATTACCGCCGAAAACGATGGTCTCGCTGCCGAGAAAAGCTGCAGGAGTGGCCGCTAGAACTCCTCCAAACTTATTGACGTCTCCGGTCCGTGCCTCCACGCGAGATGAGTCTGTAGAAAGCCCCCAGGCTAGGATTGAATCGTCCGGTGTCTTCTTCATAATCTGCTCTTGGAGACGAGTGAAGGCCTGGCTACCTTCGCCATAGATCATCGGTATCATGACGTTGAAAATCCCCAAAAGGCAGTATGCAAGGTCTTCCTCCTTCGTGGTGGTTCTTTTCGCAGCCCAAGACATCCGCTGCGCAACACTGGCCGATTGAAGTCCGGCGAGTCCCAAAAGAAATGGACGCGGAATTCCTGTGATATCCTCTATGATACCTGCAAGTTGGTGCTTCGATCCCAGATGCCGCCAGCTTTTATCGTAGAATACCACATCCTTCGGAGCTAAGAGTTCCTGCAAAGTCCAACCTCTACAGAACCAACGGCTCGCGCGGAAAATCTCGTGAAAGTTTCTGTCTCCCTCGTCTACATCGACAAGATATGCATAGCAAGTATGCGATGATTGGTACCAACGGTACATGGAGTTGATAGCTTCCCCTAATTCAGTTGCATTCGCTCGGTTGATGCAGCAAGTGTCGATCCAAACGTAGTCAAGGCCATCCTCTTTTGCTTGTTCGCAGCACCTGTCAAGTTTCAATTTCCCTATACCAGGTTTCGTAACTTCAGTCTTGATGTCGTCATAGAGGAGTTCTTCCTCATCTGGCCCCCATGTGTGTGACAGAATGGCGTAGGGAGGAGGGTCTCTGTGGAAATCCTCCAATGCTCCCGTGTTGACGTTGATGAGTCGCATGGTCGAAGAATCCCCGGATCACCTGGAGAACTGTGTGCGGTATACGTTTCCAGATTGATCCGAGCCTGTAGTAGGCAAGGTTACTCGGGACGGTATTGAAAAGTTCGATGCTATCTTGCTTGGTGCATGTCTTGAACTGGCGAGCCAAATTGGACAGTCGTGAGCTCCGGACTGTCGGCGATCGTCAGACCACATTGAAAGAACGACCGTACAATATTGCAAAGAATTATCAGATAAGCTACAAGAAAGGCTCCGATCGGAAATGGTTCGCACAGAGGGAGGGGTAAGCATGGCGCCTTAAAACATGCAGAAGCGAGGCGGTGTTGCGATTCGTCAAAGTCGAAGAGCCGCTCCGCTCCGCAAATATGCAGCTATGTCCGTTCTCAGCCATCTGCATATCATAGCACGATAAGTACACACAAGGTTCGGAAGTCACTAAATTCTCATCGGCGCCTTTGGTCTTGACAAACGACTGATTAATTTACCGCAACAAAGCCAGACAACTATTCAGAGAACGATGCCGTTTCTGAGCAATCTATTAACCATATTACCAGCACGTGTAAGTTGCTGAGCCTGTTGCCCATATCCAATGGCACACTAATGAACCACGGCATGAGTAAAACTATCTTGTTGGCGTCCATGGAAAACACTTATTCTGAACTTCAATACTAACGAACCTAGCCCAGACGTACTTTTGTCCGTTAGGGGAAACCTCTTATGTTTTAGTGCCTTCCGATTCTCTTTCTATTGTTTTTGCACGCGGGTTCAAACCTATCATGTGATATGTTGATAGAGTCGCACACGATGCAGGCGTGGTCCATATGGGGCTGGATCTGTGCTGCAGACACTTGGGAATTCTCCGCCGAAAGAGGCAACATAACTCCGAGGCAATGTAACTCTCATATGCAATCGACAACTAAGTTTAATAAGAAATTTCTACAACCTCGTACTCATCTAGATAGCCCGAGTGGCTTCTATGTTAATGACTCAATTGAAGCACTATATCTGAAGTGTATTGATCTGAGGCCGTCAAAAATTCTCTATATAAGACTGGCCTTCATCGCCTAACTCCCATGGCTCTTAGTGAAGCATCCTTTGCTTTGCTTTCTATATTCAACACAAGTCGCCTCTAACTGGTGTCAATTCCATATATCCATACAAGATGAGACATATTTCACATCTTCTTCTCGTGGTTGCGGCTGTCACCACAGCCAGCCCCTTGACACCTTCCCCAGAAAATGTGTCTTTAGCTCCGCGCAGCGAGCTCTTTGCTAGGGTAAATGGCGCTTTTCCCTTTCGAGGTAACTTAGTATTCTGACTGTCTGGCAGAAATTGTGCCTCATTGAAGATGGCATGAGCTGTTACTACGATGGAGGGGCTTGCTACTATCATGACTGCACGCAATGCAAGTGTGATGCGAATTGGCTAGGCCAGAAGCTGACTCGCCGCAACTGTGCCCTTTACACTGATTGTCCTTATCGGTAGTGTGTGACGACCTGTCATACATGGACAACAGTTCACTGATGGGTGGCTGTGGCTGGACATTTATATGAGAGATTGATATTCTCTAAATATATTAGGCAGGCGTCGCTTTCGGCTGCAGCAAAGCTCTCTGTTATAAACTCACTATAACGCACAATGGCATATATATTTGCCGAATTTGGCCTGCGCAGTTCTTCTTCACTTTCCATCGTCGATGCCGACGTGACCAACAATCTGCCTGTTTCGGGGGCGAGGTGTAGTTGTCAAACTCTCGCCATCGGACAGCCGAACGATAGACAATTTTGGCTGCTATGAACCTTCGGAGTGTTGCCGTAAGAGCACAGATACCGAGGTTCAATGTTTTACTCCCGAATTGAACTAAATGACAACTTTTATTTTGGGTATCATATGCCCGCCACAATGCAGTCTGAGGTAGTGACATATATGACATAACACTACTGGTTAAACCAGAGTCTCCTCAGCTCCGTAAGTCCGATAAACAACGCTTCATCCGTCCTGATCTGCCTGCTGTTCTGTCCTGGGAGGACGTTGATCCAGTGGTCGAAGAGCTCCTTTGTCTTTCCCCCAGAAACATCAACCATGTCGAGTTCCTTGTCGTTCACCGCCGCATACTCGATTCCTCTGGGGCCGCCAAAGACGATCAACAAGTGCTTGAAGTCCAACGGCGTGGACGGGAATGATTGGCCGACGGAACGCCCACGCTCGGACGTGCCAATGCTGATATCGTAACCATCCTCGTACTTGCACTCTGTCCACAAAGCTGACAGAGAGGCCGCCCTGCGGACACTGTATCCCCAGTAGTATCCCCCCTCTTCCCTAGGCGCTGCCGGGTCGCACGCCTCGGCCTTCTCAGTGTCGTAATCCGAAAATTGGACCGTGACGCGGGTATTGGGCGGGACCTCGTCCTCGATGATGACGGGCGTCTTCAGACCAAGATCAAGCTCGGTGCCCTTCGGGGTTCCCTTCTTGGCGACGCCCTCACGGTAGGGCATCCAATCGGCCGGGTTCGGGTGGTGCGGCATGTCGAGTGAGGGGAGCTGGCCGGCGAGGCGCAGGTTCGGGTGGAGGGGAAAGAGCATCTTGCGCATGAAGGGAGGGACTTCGAGGTAGCCGAGGAGGTGCTCGAGGAAGTGGCCGGGATCAATGTCGCCGGTGTAAGCCTTCCTGTCGACGGTCTTGGGGCGGGTCTCGACGGGGCTGTCGTCGAAGATCACAACTTCGTCGATGCCGAAGACTCCAAGGGCACGGGCGATGCGGCCGGCGACGGCAGTACGGCGCTCAGCGTTGACGGCACTTTGAGATGCAGGTTAGCTTCAAATCGCAGCGTGTAGGCCGGACAACACGTACTCTGCGATTATACTGGTAGGGATCGCAACCGAGACGGTCCACGTACGGCCTCCAGGGTAGGCGTAGAACTTGGCCGACGGCTGGGTGGTGTCGACATATTCGTCTTCGCCGGTTTTTCTACGCTGTTATTGGTCAGTTCAGTTCCTGGGGAAGATCAAGCCTGCAGCTATCCCACCTTTGTTCTCTGATCGTAAGACATTTCGGCGATTTGCAGAGCTGTTGATGGTGGTTTGCAAGTCGATGCAACTTTTAGCGGTTCCCAAAAACTTTCTGAGCTGGTCCCGCAGTGGGCGGTATCAATTCCGGGGTACGCTAGACCCCTGCCCGGCAGAATGACGGATCGCCAACTGACCGCTTTCTACTCTTGGCAGCCGCCACCTTTCCGCTAGGAACAGGTCGCGACAGCTTCCGTCAGCTACACAACGGCCCAGCTGTTCCTTTCAACTTCAAGTCGCTACGTTGACTCTCGTATCCTATATCGCACCTCGACATCATGAGTCTTATCAGTGTACAGTCCGCCGGCGAGTGGCAGGGCATCCTCAGCGGCACCAATGTCGTGATTGCCGACTGTAAGTGCCTACAATAGTTCCCCCGCGCTTCCGGTCCCGCTGACAAACCATTGTGACAGTCTACGCCGACTGGTGCGGTCCTTGCAAGATGATTGCGCCGCACTTCGAACGCCTCGCGAAAGAGTACTCGAAGCCGAAGAAGGTTGCTTTCTGCAAGATCAACGTCGACCAACAATCCGGCATCGCCCGTACCCACGGTGTCAGCGCCATGCCCACGTTTATCATCTTCCACGGCGGCCAAGCAGTCGAGACAATCAAGGGAGCGAACCCTCCGGCCCTGACGCAAGCGATTCAAAATGCTCTGAAGCTTCCCGACAAGAGCGGTCGCAGCGGCGCCTCCTTCAGCACCCCCGGACGAACCCTCGGCGGCGACAAGGCTGCTCGCGCGAGCCTGCAGCGTCCTATTCAGTGGCAGCTCAGCGGGCTGTTCAGCGGCCTGGTCACCTTTATCGGGCTCTACCTTGTATCCTTATTTGCGGTTAGTTTGTTCCAGGGTGGTGCCGGCGATGAGGACAAAAACCGTTTGCTGACGGACTGGTAGATCGATCCGCAGAAGGCGGCCGAGATGTCGCAGTTCAACCGGGTTAACCCACCCCCGCCGCCAATGAAGTCGAGCAGAGGCGCCGCGCCCGGTGCTAGACAGCCGCCTAGAGCGTCGGCAATCAAGACTCTGGCGGATCTTGGTGGTGATGAGTAACACATTTGTCTGCAATTTGGCGTTTGGCGTTGACGGGCTACCTATAACCATGAGAGCGACTCCATCATCCTCAGGTAGCATCATAATACCATGAATCAATATCTTTTGACCTTGCAGATATTGTTTATCATCACAACTGTCAGGTAGAGCCATGTGGCTGAACTATCTACTGCTTGTACTTCAAGATGTCTTACATGCAGGCAATTTGCACATCCACGCCTTCCGTCCAATCATTGAATCCCCAGCTTCGCACAGCAGTCTGCCAAGGACGTTGGAACATCTCACCCAGGAATGCGCACAGCAAGGCTGCGTGAGAATCCTTCCATAATCGCTCCCCTTTGGACACATTGCGGCTGAGTCAACCCCTCAGCTCGCCCGTCGTGTGGCACATAATCAGGCGACCATTTATCGCAAGGCTCTGGCCTGCTTTCTGTCAGCATCTCTTCTCTTCACACTCGTTCCTTTGAACCTCTCGCTTAATTCAAAGTACGGCATGTTGAGTGACGCGGAACAGAGCGATTTTGCTAATTGATATTCAGAAAATATAGCGCATATGCCAGATTGCCGACATAAGGCTCTGCCAATCGACCGCCGCTTCTACCGCTCCCGCAAGCGCAGCGTCGGGAGTGTGAGCCCCAATTGCCAACATTGCCACCTTCAACCGACTGTACCTCTTGAGCGGCTGGGAAAAAGAACCACTGAGATACACTCCGCGAGGACAAATCTGGAAGGCGATCAATGCGTCTGATCAATGTACGAACTGGGCGATTGGAGGAGTTCTTCCATGAGCCCCCTGCGTACGCCGCTCTTTCACACACATGGGGAAGCGATGATGAAGAGATCTCGTTCCGAGATTTGCAAGAAGGAAATGACTTCTTCAAGACCGGTGTCGGGAGGGACAAGTTCGCCGGGTGTTGCAAGCAGGCCTTAGCCGACGGACTTGACTATGCCTGGATGGATACGTGCTGCATTGACAAGGCCAATTCGACGGAGCTAAGCGAGGCTATCAATTCTATGTTCGCATGGTATCAAAAGGCCGCTATATGCTACGCTTTTCTTGCCGACGTCTCGGCCGCCGATGATGTGTCGAATCCAGACTCCGAATTTCGACGAAGTCGCTGGTTCGAGAGAGGATGGACCCTTCAAGAGCTCCTCGCACCTGGAGTTGTCCGCTTTTATAGCTGCGAATGGTCTTTCCTGGGCACGAAACGACACTTGTCCACCGTCGTCGCCCAGATCACAGGGATACCTCGGCCGTTCCTCCTGGGCACCGCGGAGCTACGTGAAGCCAGCGTCGCCCAGCGCATGTCTTGGGCCGCAAAGAGGGTCACGAAAAGAAAGGAAGATATTGCTTATTGCCTTCTGGGCATGTTCGGGGTTACTATGCCTATGATCTACGGCGAAGGCGAGCAAGCTTTCGGGCGCCTCCAGGAGGAAATAATGCGTCGGAACACGGATGACTCCATCTTGGCATGGAATCTGAGCAGCAGCGAAGCTGAAACAGATCTCACGCCGACTGGTAAAATCAATTCAGGTGGTATACTGGCTTCCAGCCCCTCGGACTTTGCCAACAGTGGCGATATCGTCTGTCGAGAACATCGAGGGACCTCGATCGACCCGTTATACGTTTTTGGCGGCCACCTACGTATCCACCTTTGCCTTTACACTACGACGATGAACCAGACTTTCGGTCTTCTGGATTGCCACCCAAAAGATGATGCACAGGCTGTTGTCGGCATTCCCCTTTTCGGCGTCAACTCTGATGGATCTTCTGAAGAGTACATCAGGCCTGAGGGGTACGTAGGGAAATTGCTTCGCAGCATTGACTTCAAGGACCCTCCCAAGCTTATTCGCATCTGCAAAGATCGCCAGAACGAATCAGTCGCGACTCTCAATCGTCGGTACGGATTTTACATCGAAGAATCAGTCCACGAGACTGGATTAGAGATGATAGAAGTTGAGCCAAAGAGCCGCTGGGAAAGGGACAATGCAACCATCAATACGACGGTGGATTTCAATCATGACCAGGTTCAAAGGACCTGGGTTCGATTCCGTCCAAAGCGAGAAGAGGGTCGCGACTATGTGGTCATGTTGGAACTCGAGGTCAACCAATCGAGAGTTCAAGCCCGCTGTCACGTCATGACAGCATCGCAGGATACCAGCTTGGATACCATTGCTGCTAAGATTATGGAGACAAATCAACATACATTCGGCAAGCAGAGCGCAAGCAATGGAGTATCCAATCTGCTTGTAACGCTCGACGAGGAACGTGCAGGAGCTTGTCAGATGTTCGTCGTTAGACTGGCGTCCATGAGCAAGCCCCCAAGAGTCAGCGTGAACGTGACTCTGGAATTAGCTCAGTTGGAACGCCAGGTCTATCTCAGAGACCTCCTGTATGAGGACCGCGATATTGGACCCGAACGTTCTCAAATAGGACTGCAAATCCAAGAGAAAACATACAACGCAGACATTCACAGGGAGAAGCTCGCCGCTGTTCAATCGCAGCTCGATAAATTGCAGTTGGAGAAGCAATCGCTGAATAAGGGCCTTACCGAGGCCACCCGAGAGATCGAGCAACTTCATGCCCAGGACCGCATTCTGAAGCAAAGACGAGGCACGCTGTCTCAAGCTGTTACAATAACGCAAGATATCCTGGGCCGCCTCGATGAAGAGAGTGTCAGCCAGTGGCACGAAGCCATGGTTGGATCTTTGCTCCAAAGCCTATCGCCTATCGGTAACAACGCCATCGATTCGTTGAACGACGCGTCAGAGAAACTGTTGATGCAAGCAGTTCTCAAAGGTCATGAAGCTACCGTGCAGTTTCTCCTCGATAGAGGGTCTGACATCGAGTCTCATGACAACGAGGGGCATAGCCTGCTGTCCATCGCCGCAATACGAGGCCACGATGGACTCATCCACATGTTGGCAGAAAGAGGTGCCGATATCGAGTCTGTCAACCAGCATGGTACCACGCCTCTGCTTATTGCAGCCTTGCAAGGAAATGCTCCTGTCGTGGGACTCTTGCTTGATTTAGGTGCTGGGATTGAAGTCAAGACCAGGAACGGCCAAACTTCGCTCGGTATTGCCGCTCTCAAAGGCCACAGAGACGTCGCTCGCCTGCTCATCGACAGAGGGGCCAATATTGAGTCAAAGAATGCCGATGGGTGGAGGCCGTTGCATGTGGCAATCGCAAAGGGGCATAAAGACCTAACAAACTTGCTTCTCAGCAGAGGGGCCGAGATCGAACCATGTACTCGGCGAGGAATTACTCCTCTGGCTATGGCGGCAATGAAGGGAAACGAGGGATTGGCGCACAGCCTCATCCAAAAAGGAGCGACTATTGACACACGAGATGCCGACGGCTGGACACCCCTATTCCATGCCACGTCAAGAGGGTGCGGCCCTATCATGAATCTCCTTCTCGACAAGGGCGCGGATATCAAAGCGAAGGATATCAAAGGACTCTCTCTCCTGAGCATGGCTGTCGAGAAGGGGCAGAAGTCAGCGGCGTTGCTTTTGATTGATAGAGGTGCCAGCGAGGAGAGGACGGATAGCAAGGGCAAGTCGTTCCAACAAGCAATCAAGGGGAATCACGAGGCTTTTGTGCAGCTACTCCGTCGGAATGGAGGTTCCAGTGACAGTCTGGACTCGGGGAGGAGAATGTTTTGGCGGAAGCCTGCTTCTAAACTGCAAAAGGCGCAAGGTCCGGAAAGTTGTGGGTAAGAGGGGGTTGTACATAAGGTACTAGTACCTAGATATACGGAACGGATGTGTGGTTGGGATGCCCCACTTAATACGTTTGAGAGGAGCCAAGTTCTCAGCGACGGTTTCCAATATTTGTCCTGTAAAGATTATCAAAATAGGTATCTATTAGTTGGTGTTCTTCGTGCATGTACATCAACCCGAAGTGGGGCTTAGGACTCGTGTCGGGTGAGCCCACGGTCTCAAGTTACGTGACCTCGTACGGTCAAACGTCTCCGAACATTCATTGCCTTCATTCAACACTCGGAGAAACCCACGTCTCATGACCTGCTAAACTTAGCTAGACTTGCATTGACACGTCGCCCGCAGCAATCATCCCCTCTATTGAATTATATCACGAAATCACTCCCTTCATTCATTTGGAACTCAATACAGGCCCGAGAGCCAATCAAAGACGGGTTGCTTGCCGACTGCATGTTCATAGAGCAGCGCGATGTGGACTTGGTTCGCGCACACTAATGCAGAACTCGCTTGATGTGGAAAGTAGATACTAATTAAGCGCCCAACTCATGGAAACTCGTTCGGCATGCCCGCCAACAGGTTGAATGAAAGGCAATAAGTTCAGTGGGGCAAGGTGCATCAAACAGTGTCCTGTTAAGATCTGGTAGGTAGTCCCTACATCAGCCCAAGATTTCTCAAATAAGCGGCACCTCGCGTATAAACTGGCGTGCGCCCTCTTCCCGCTTAGACATTCGATCAGAGCCCGGCAATCGGCTGTATGCTACTGATCTTTGAACCCCATTATGGTCTTCGTTGCTCTCAACATCTTCTTCCAAAACTCGAAAATTCAAAAAAAGAAAAGATGTCATCGTCGTCCAATGAAGAAGCCCTGCTGCACACACCAACTTTAGGGAAACTGCAAGACGATACGGGTTCCTCTGAAAAAGACCTCGAGAGTCTCTGCAGAGACTGCGAAGCTGTAGATTGGTCCAAAATAACTATCTACGATGACATCGAGGGCATTCAGACAGACCTGCCGACCTACCATGGTGACAGACAGATGAAGGTCCTCCGCATCTTCAAGAACCCGATCCGTGCCCAACTTCTGGGAGCTTCTTGTCGCGTGTGTCGCCTCGTTGGGCTCTTATCCAACCCACATCAGAGCTCTGACATCGATCCACAAGCATTTGTGTTAGAAGCTGATTCTTGGAATCCCAGCGACAGCGACACTGGATACGCTAAATGTGTTAAGATCAGAGTCCGGTCACCGAAGTCCGGCGTGCAACACCTGGGCGTTCGCGACGATTACAAGCGCTGGCTTATAGCCCACAAGTACCCCAGCAGTGAGAGCGTCCAGATTCGTGTACTTCGACCTTCACAAGTCTGTTTTGATTTTTTCAGACTCAAATTGGAGGAGTGTTACAATGGTCACGAGAAGTGCTGTTCCTCGGCCACGGCCTCAGTAATGGTAGACCTACGCCTGATCGACGTTCATACGAAACAGATCATCACCGCTAGCCGAGATTGCAAATATATTGCATTGTCGTACGTGTGGGGTGACACTTCTGCTCACAACGTTGAGGGTCTGTTCCCGCTAGTCGTGGAAGACGCCATGTCCGCCACCAAAGCCCTCGGTTGTCAGTACCTTTGGGTTGACCAATGCGTAGGTCATATTCTTGTACAAAAGTCTCTTGCATTTAACTGACTGGCAGTTGATACAAGTGCATTAACCAGACTTCCGAACACAAAGTTTCGATGATACAGCAAATGGACCGGGTCTATGGCAATGCCTTTGCCACCATTATTGCAGCATCTGGCAAGAGTTCTGAAGAGGGCCTGCCTGGTATGAGCGGCCCTCCTCGTCGGCAAGAGGTTCTAAAATTTGGCGATATCAATGTCGTTGAGCTTCTCAACTCCGGGCAGGAAACTGTCAAGTCTGGAAAATGGGTCACTCGAGGGTGGACATTTCAAGAAGGGTTTCTCTCCAATAGGCGCTTGATTTTCACCTAGAAAGAAGTCCTTCTTCTCTGCAACAATGAATTGGTGAAAGAAACACAAGCCGGGACGGAGGCAGATCCATACTGGCTAATGGATGTCAAAACAAAGGCTTTCGGTGAAGGAAAAACCTATACCACTAGCATCAGAGACTCTTTCGACCTTTTGTGGCAGAGGGACGCAGCTACAAGCCGAGTAACATCTTTCCCAAGCTGGTCATGGATAGGCTGGTCGGGCCGATTCCGTTTCACGGACCTGGGTAATCAGTTGGGACTTCGACCTGATCTAGCGGAAGAAAGTTTTCAGGAAGACGCAGGAAGTTTCGTGGGCACCGCATGGAATCGCAACCTTCAGATTCGGCTTCCCTGGGGCAATGGGACGATTGACTTGCATGAATTTATGCGAGAACACGCCTTGAACACTTCTCGAGTTGCGGATACGGATCCAAAGGAAATCACAATTCAATCTCATGTCGTTTCACTTAGACTGCGCAAAGTGGTTTGTTATCCCGGAGCCGAGGACGAGGATTGGCGTGACCCATCAACCTGGAAACCCCGGGAGCCGGTCACAGTGGCAACGTTTCTTCTCAAAACTGGTGTTTTTGTCGGTATACCAGTGTTTTTCGACAGAGACTATGATCCTAATTGCCACACAAGAGGTTTGGTTTTACGCAATGACAGTATCGGTTGGTATGGAGTCCGTTCGTACAGCATCATCATTCTCCACCCGCTCAACAATGGAAAATATGAAAGGGCGGGGATTGTCAGTCTGGAATATCGTCCGAAAAGCGGTTCGATAAGCTCCTTCACTCCTGGTTTTGATAGAATTGATGACTTGGGTGATTGGTTTGTTTACATGGATGATGAAGATCATCTCCTACCGCCGGAGAGCAAGGAGGGAACCAAGGGATATCCACATGACTATTCGTTCCTCAGGGGCATGAGTTGGGAAACTATCTGTTTGGTATAGGCCGACTTTGCAGTGGGCCTGTCTGCTTTGAAAATTATTGGACGGTATTTCAACGTTAGATATGTCCCGATGTGGCCCTGCGATAGCCCCAATGGATTCTACCCAGAGCTCTGAGAACACGTCAATTTTCTTATTGAGAGTTTGGTGAACTGTCTTGCCTATCCCAATGTCTCCAAGCACGAATATCATGCCACCACTCCAACCCTGTCCAAGTCCGGTGCAAATCCACCATCAACTCCAGATATGCTGATAGTATTCGGGCCATTGACATCGAATCCCGACAACTCAACTGCGTAGCCCTTGAAGACATCGGTATCCCAGTTGTAACCGCTCAAAGGGAAGCTAACCGTCACCGCAGCGCCGTTGTTGATGGTCACTGACGCGGTACGCTCATTGTTACCCCCGCCGAGGTATCCGACGTCACCGTTGATGAAGTCGAACAGCACGTTCTGCTTCGCCTGTGAAGTCCGGATGTTTGACAGAACGACACGGCCTCCGGAAGATCCACCTAGGTTACCGACCTTGTTGGAGGTTGCGCAACCAGAGCAAGACTGGGTGTTCGCGCCAGACGACAAGGAGCCGGTTGCAGCGGATACGTAGGTGTAGCTAGCTGCGGGAGCCGAGGCTCGCTTAACGTTGGAAAGACGCAAGGCGAGAGATCCGTGGGCGTTGACCTGCTTGGAGAAGCTGGTCGCACCATCAACCGTCTTCCAATCCCAAAGATCCTTGATCGTGGCAGATTTAATGTTAAGTTGCGAAAGTTGCACGTCTAGAGTACGGGCAGTGTTGGTGAGGTCCACAACGAGGACGGCGACGTCACCGTTGTCGAGGTCTCCGGCCCAGAGGTCCCGGTCTCCGGTCCAGCGTTGAACAAGCTGGATCGGCTTAACTGCAGGGTCTTGGTTGATGGCGATCAGGTCCTTGTTCTGCAAGAGGGCGACGGTTTCGTCAGACAACGCGGCGAGATCGGTGGAGATCATGAGGGCAGACTTGAGCATTGCCCATGAGGCAAAATGCGTGGCTTGTTCGTCAAAAGTCATGCCACTGTTGCCGACTTCCAGCAGATCAGCATCGGCAATGTGTCCTGGCCCAATGATACCCGACTTTGCGATGTGAATTGCCTGGTTGTAGATGCGGTAGACGTTGCCCCAGCCGGTGGCGATGTCATCAGACAGTCGGAATGATGTGGAAAGGCCCTTGGTCCACTGTGCAGGTCCTTGGAGACCACTTGACGACGAAAACGGGACTCCCCACTGGCAGATAAGCATACCGGGGATGCCGACTCGTTGAAGCTCCTTCCACATGGTCGTGAAACGAGTCACGAAGTCGTCTCTGGCGGACTTTGGCGCGTTGTCGTCCGCACTAGATCCAGAAGCATAGCAGTTGTCGTCTAACGGGCAAGTCAGCGGAATATTCTCCTGAAGGACTCCGACTCGTGTTACTCACACTTGACATATTCAGTGCCTAGACTCTTGAAGAAGTCCGCATCAACGGCCTCGTGACCGAGAGAGCCGGCGACGGGACTGGGAACTTCCGGATCACACATTTTCTCTCCGGCGTCAGAGTACATTGTCCACTTCATGCCTTTCGACCGCGCGAGGTCGCTCAACGGCTGAAGACCCTGCGGGAACGCATCCAAGTTGATCTTCAAGGCGCCAGAAGTGTCATTGCGCTGTCCGTCTCTGGAAGCCCAGCCGCAGTCGATTTGGAAGAACTTGTAGCCTGCATCGACGAAACCTCGGCTTGCCAAAGAGTTGATCGCGGCTTCGATCTTGTCGTGGTTCGGGCTGCAAGAGACTTGGTTGTAGGAGTTCCATCCCATTACAGGCGTTGACTGGAATGATTGACTCGCTGCCAGTGGGGCGCCCAAGAGGGCGAGGGCGATGAAGGTTGAGAAGACCATGATGAGAACGCGCAAGAGAAGAATTCTTAACACGATAGACCGACAGTGTCCTGTATGGTCATGTCATGGAGGATTATGTACTCTTTATTGTTCTTGAATTTCAAGATCTCGCTGTTGTTCCTGACTCTCCGGAACCCGCGCGGGTGCGCGACAACTAAAGAGTGGATTGTAGCGCGCCAATCGAATGGAAGCAACTCGGGCCCATGATCCCATACACCTAGGTCAGAAGAGGTAAGAATAGCAGGTTCCGGTCATGTCAATGCAGGGGATCTGCAATAGGAACTCGTATTGGCCATCTCAATCTCACTGGCTGTATAAGTGATGCGCGCATCCAAAAGTCACGTCAATTGATGGCACTCTATTAGATAACCAAGACGATCACGTTTATTCATGCGCATTGCCCTCGCATTTACTTGTTCAGTTGTGAGGTTCAGGAGGCATCTTCCGAGGGGTTCGGGAAGCCCCTTTTCTTGGCTTTTTTTAGCCAAAAATTGGGCGCTTGACGTCCCTCAGCCACCCCCAAACAATTACTCGTGCCGAAAGCCGTGCGTATGTGTTCGTCAGATCTACGGATGCCCCGCGTGCGAGTTCCCCGCGAGCTTCATCCACTGTGCCAGCCCAGCTAGGCTATCGGTCGATGCTACCCCGGCGTTAGCGGGCGCAAGCGACAAGCTTGATTTAGACAGCAGCACGAATCATGGTTGCCATAATCATCAAGAAGAGGCAATTTTTTGGCAAAGTTGTAGAAATGCTGGATCCGACGGGATAGCCCCTTAATTGTGACTGTGACAACTGTGAGCTTCGCAAGACACAGCATCCTGTGCTCCAAATGATGCGAATGATTGGAGCGGGCGTATGCAAAGCCTGTTGCTCACCCAAACGCAGAAATGAACTGGATTGCTCATGCGCTAATTAGGCGGTTGAACAGCCGCCGCGGGAGAATCACCATGGACAGAGCGTGCAAAGGGGAAGTTTGGTGGCCGATACTACGGTCTTGAGAATGAACAGGAAGAGGGCACTTGGTGCCCTTCTTGAAGCAGCCTCAGTCGCGATGCTCCAGAGACCTAGGATAGCCACTCGACTGGGAGCAATTAGCACTAGCGCATGTCCACCGCGGGATCGAGTTACAGGGCCTCAGTGGATCACTTTGAAGACAGCTCAGGATGCACATGCCGGCATTCATTGCGGACGGACCCCCTTCCCCGTCTGTGGAGGCAAAGCTTCAATCCCTTGCCGAGGGCAGCTAGACCGGTCTGTCCCAAGAACGACCGAGTTTCCGAAACTCAATCCATACGTCGCATCGTCGTCACATCTCGCTTGGGAATGGGCGACGAAGGAGAAATCCTCATTAAAAAGCCAACCTACTTGGAGGTTTGCAGCTCTTGCTCTCGAGCGACCATCAACTAGGAGGGTGTCTAAGAAATCAGTAGTAACATGATCAAATACATCTTGAGGCCTTGCACGTTCAACACGTCCGAACCGACTTTATCTCACTCGTGTTGTCCGTGGCTGGGCTTGTGAGTCTCTAATCAGATCTGATAAGATGGACTAAAAGGGATGAACGTTTTGGCAGATTTTCTGCCTTACGCAGTACAGGATGTCCATCTAAGAAAGCTTTCGGTTAGGAACGCTTTGATACCACCAAAAGCACACATTGGCCAGACCAGGAAGTGGTGCCGAACAGCTCATGATCTGACAGAAAGGTAAAATGAGCAGATGAATAGCCTTACGATGCCCAATAGACCAACGGATGTGTATCGTATCGTAGCGAGAGCTTCCCCTCCTGACGCGGAAGCTTCACCTGCGCAGAGTTTTGTTGCTGGCGGTTTTCATGTCACCATACCGAGGTGCCAACAGCTAAGAGATACCTCATGATGTAGTTTGACGTTGCTTTGGATTGAGTCTCAACACGTCGCAAGCGGGACACCCGGAGTGGTTGAAGGTTGTTGATACACCCTATCTCCCAACTGTCATCGGCTTACGATGCATAGTTTTCTGATACGAAATTATGACGAGACGGTGATTTAGTTTCGACGTCCCCAAATACCTCCAAGTGAGGCAACATAGAGTGGGGAAGAGAGGCTTCATGGTTTGAGAACATAAAACGCGAGAGTGCTGCATCATTCTGCGACCTATTGCGCGACTGTGTAAATCATCCACCAGGTCGTGAGTGATCGACACGAAGAGCACCATGTCTACAAACCAATTCGACTTCATCGTTGTTGGCGGCGGCACGGCAGGCAACGTCGTAGCCGGCCGTCTCGCGGAAAACCACAATGTCCGCATCCTCGTGATTGAAGCCGGCCCTGGCAACCCCCAGGAAATCCAAGAGATCACTACCCCGGCCATGGCAATGAACCTTCGATCCAGTAAATATGACTGGGCTTACAAGACCACTCTCGTCAAGCGTAATGACTACGAGCGCATCGAGAAGCCCAACACCCGCGGCAAGGCCCTCGGCGGAAGCTCTTCCCTCAATTACTTCACCTGGGTCCCCGGATGCAAGCCCACCTTCGATCGCTGGGCTGAGTTCGGCGGCAGCCAGTGGACATGGGATCCTCTTGTCCCGTACCTGAGGAAGAGCGCAACGTACCATGACGATGTCAACCGCTACCCTCCCGAGATGAAGAAGCTGGGCGGAGGTGGCCCGCTGCCCATCTCCCACGCTGAACTACTCCCCGAGATGGAGCCTTTCCGGAAGATGCTGGCCAGAGCCTGGACATCCATGGGCGAGAAGATGTCGGAGAACATCTACGATGGGGAGATGAACGGCCTCACGCACTGCGTCGACACAATCTATCGCGGTCAGCGGTCTGGAAGCTACCTCTTCCTCAAGAACAAACCCAACGTCACAGTCCTCGCAGGCGCGCACTCCAAACGGCTTATTATCGACCGCGCCAACCGTACATGCAAGGGCGTCATTGTCATCGACAGCTCCGGGAACGAGATGAGCTTCTTCGCCCGACGAGAAGTCATCATGTCACAAGGCGTGTTCGAGACACCCAAGCTTCTCATGCTCAGCGGCATTGGTCCGACGCACCACCTAGCCAAGCACGGCATCGACACTATCGTCGACTCACCCCATGTTGGCCAGAACCTCCTCGACCACCCCGGCGTCCCCTTTGTCCTGCGCGTCAAGGACGGGTACGGCATGGACGACCACCTGCTTCGCAAGGGCCCAAAGCACGACGCGACTGTGTCTGCATTCAATAGGAACCACTCTGGCCCCATGGGATCCGGTTTACTGGAGATGGTCGGGTTCCCACGCATCGACAAGTACCTCGAGCGAGATCCGATATACCGTCAGGCGAAAGCAGCCAACGGTGGCGTAGACCTATTCTGCCCCGAGGGCCAGCCTCACTTCGAGCTTGACTTCGTGTGTATGTTTGGCACGGCATTCCAGTGGCACTATCCCATCCCCAAGAGTGGACAACACATGAGCGTCGTGGTAGACCTCGTCCGCCCTGTGTCTGACCCGGGCGAGGTAACCCTGAACAGCACGGATCCCTTAGAGCAGCCGAACATCAACCTTAACTTCTTCGCCAACGACCTTGACATCATCGCCATGCGCGAGGGCATCCGGTTCTCGTATGACCTTCTCAAGAAAGGCGACGGGTTCAAGGACGTTGTCTTAGACGAGTATCCGTGGGAGATGCCGCTCGAGTCCGATGAGGAGATGAAGAGAGCTGTTCTTGACCGCTGCCAAACTGCGTTCCACCCGTGTGGCACGGCGAGGTTGTCCGGGAGTATCCATCCAGCAGGGCGCGGTGGATCCGCGGCTGAGGGTCCATGGGATCAAGAACCTGCGGGTTGTGGATGCGTCCGTGATCCCTGTGATCCCGGATTGTCGTATCCAAAACTCTGTGTATATGGTTGCGGAGAAGGGCGCTGATCTGATCAAGGAGGACCACAACGACGTCTACCAGATGAGGTCTGGATTTCAGGGGGCCCGTCTTTAGTTTGGTTGCGGACCGAGTCAGTACAGAATGATCATTGCGTAATACGTCGTATAGCCCACCATCAATGACATGGTTCGTCAAAAGGCAAAGGAGGCCCTACTATGACAGAGAAAAATAAATTATATTATCTCTAAAAGGGTTCGTGAATTAGACTCAAGCATGCTGGTAAAGCGCAATGCCCGCCGTGAATCCCGCAATGTTGTCCTTGTACAGCGCGACGTCCTTGCCGTGCCGCGTGACCATCGCCTTCGTCCCGACAATGTTGAGGTTGTACGTCTCCAGGTGCTCCGTCTTGGTGCAGTTGTTCGGCGAGTCCCGGATGTCGTAGATGCGCTGCTGGCACCGCGCGCCGGCGCCGACCTGGCAGCACGCCGTGCTGTAGTTGTTGAAGAAGGAGTACAGCCCCGCGCCGAAAATGGCGATGTTGCGGCTGCCGATGACGCGCAGACCCCAGGCCATCTCGCAGGGGGCCTCGCTGGTGTCCTTGCCCTTGCAGTCGGCTACAAAGTCTGGGTCGTGGTAGCCCTTGACACGGGGGAAGGGGATGGAGGCGACCGGGTTGGGTTGGTAGTATCTGGTCATCGTTAGCTTTCCTGTTATCTCTGAAATGTGGAAATACTCACGGCGTCTCGGTCTGGATCATGCCCATGTAGATATCCCTCGTCTGGTAGAGCTGGTACTGGTACAGCGTGTGATGCTCCACGCCAGAAGCAGAGAGCCAGATCTTGCCAGCGGTCGCTTCAATCAGCAACCCTCTGCCCGCGTAGATCGTCACCTGGGTGTACGTCGGGTCCTCCAGATCGTGGTCCGCGACCCACAGCCAGCAGTTCTCCATGAAGAGGTTCGACGCCGGCTTGGTGATGTGCATGCTCATCCACGCCGCGATGCAGTTCTTGTCGAGCGTGTCCGCCGTGACAGTAGCGTTCGGCGTCGTCGGGCACTCCTTCAACTGCTGCTGCGTACCAGCGTACCCGCCCACGCGGATGTGCACATCCCACATGCCCGCCGGCTCGCCCAGGGTGTTGAGGTTGTACTCGACGACCTTGGCGCCGGGCGCGGCCCCGCGCGTCGAGACGATCATGTCGGACCACTCGATCGTCCCGCAGTCGCCCGGCAGCGCGACCTTGACGACGGGGTGCGGGCTCGAGATGTCCTGGAACTTGGGCCCGCCGCCCATGATGATGGACGCGAGCGCCTCGCCGACGATGCGCGCGCCGGCGGGGATGAAGACGGTGTCGGAGACGTAGTAGGTTCCCGCGTCGACGAAGGCGACGAGCGAGCTCTTGGAGGCGACGTAGTTGAAGAGGTTGTTCAGCGCGACGGTGTCGTCGGTGACGCCGTCGCCCTTGGCGCCGAAGGTGCGCGCGGAGACGAAGCAGTCGGCGGAGAGGGTCTCGTAGTGCGGCTTGGAGCGCTCGTAGTACTTTGTGCCGTTGGCGGTGGTGGCGACGAGGGCGTTGTAGACGGGGAAGTAGCCCGTGTCGCTGCCGGTGTAGTCCGTGGGCCCGGAGGGCGTGTAGATGTGGCCCATGGCGAAGCCCTGGCTGACGACGGAGCCCTTGGTGCCGGAGATGATGGTGTTGTTCTGGGGTCCTTGGAGGATGGTGCCGACGTTGGAGAAGGCGACGTTCTCCATCATCAGGGTGCCGGCGGCGATGGGGACGATGGAGGCGGAGCGCGGGGTGCGGATGGCGGTTTGGACGTTGACGAACTCGGAGTCGATGAGGGTCACGGAGGAGGTGCTGTTGTCCTGGATGCGGATTCCGGTGCCGCAGTTCTCGACGTAGATGCTCTTGTACGTCCAGCCCCAGTCCCAGAGCTGGTTGATGGCGATCTGGGAGTTCCAGAAGCGGCTGGGAGATTGTTAGCGGATGGTATCAGGTGAGGGTGACGATGGGTTGCTTACAGGTTGCGGGCGGTGTATTGCTGGTTGCCAAAGTTGGCGCCATACTGTCCACCGTAGAAGTCCAGGTCGTTGAGAAGACCGCCGGAACCTTCCTCGATGAAGATACCGGTGTGCTTGCTGTCAGCGCCGGCGGCGAGGCGGAAGACGCAGTTGGTGATGGCGGTGGCCTGGGATGAGGGCCAGTGGATTCCGAGAGCGGCAGAGGAGGCGGGAATGGCGGTGGTATCGAAGATCAGGTTGCGGACCTATTCGATGTAAGTGACAAGCTCGTCCCGGGTGAGTTGAGTCCCGTAGCTTACCTGGCGGAAGAAGACGTTGGTGGCACCCCAACTCAACCCGTTGGCACCGTACTTATTGCCGTCAATGAGACCAAAGTTGTTAGTGACGTCGAAGTTGGCAGCAGCCTTGATCACGGGTCGGTCTGTCGGGTCGCCGATGATTTGGGTGTAGAAGTAATCGACGATTGAACCAGAGATGAGATATGTGCTGTCATGTCTTAGCAGTGAACTAGTTTCTAGTCAATTGTAGCACTCACCCGGAAGGGAAGTAGACCGTCGCAGGTGACGTCGTCTCACCCTTGCATGTTCCCGGTGCACATCGGTTTCCGGATGAGATGGCGAGGTTGATCGCCGCCGTGTCGTCAGTAACACCGTCACCCTTGGCCCCGAAGTCCTTGACGTTGCGGAAGACCTGGTATTTTGGATCGGCGTTGTAAGCCGAGATACCCTGGTGCTTGATATCCTCCATCCAATATGTCGCCTTGGCGACGGCCGCAGCGGCGAGCCAGAGCGCGGTGGTGAAGCGCATCCTGACGAGTATACAATAAACAATTACACAGAGTTGAAACAGGAACAGCTGGAATGAATGACGATGAGTAAAAGAGAGACTGTGGTGTGATGGTCAGGTGAGTGATCGATGCCACGAAAAGAGTGTGTATTCCCCTTTCTACCCAAGAGGCGGGGGTTGACTGAAAGTCAAAAAGTGAACGAACGATCCCGAAGAGGAATCAATAAATGGCAGCGTTAACAAAAGAATGGACGACGATGATCCTAGCAAATTATACACATTTGATCTCCCGTCAGTACGGATGAACCCAAAGTTGACGTGGTATCAACCCGATGGTCCCGAGGTGAGCAAACTCAAGAACAGCAAGCGAGCGTGGGCAAGGGGGATGGGAAACCCTTGATCCTTTATTAGACTTAAGTTGATGTGGAGGGGTTCGGGCTGAGCACGCATGTCAGCGATGACCAGCCCTGCGTGTTAGTCCCGTTGGTTCCTGCGTCCGCGCCGTTCAGGAACCACGCCAGCGGGATAAACGGCCCTGCTGCTGCTGTTCTCCCATTGCCCAGTGAGGGAAGGGATAGGGCGGGGGAGCAGGATACGGCAGAAAGGGTTGTCTCATTTGTTTTAGTCTGACTCTGTTCGCGAGCGTGCGGGACGGACGGTCTTCTCCTCCCTGCTCCATTCCGAGATGACACCACTTTGATGCCCGCTGCAGAGAGAGCTCCGTGACGATGTCAGACGTGCAGACGTCGGGAATTGGGCAGGGCCAGAGCAGACACCTTGATGACAAGTCCTCGTTACCCGACTCGGCCTAAGACGGGCCAACCTGAATCAACGGGGCGCGAAGCTCGTCAGCCAGCGAGGACGCCATTTTCCAACAATTTCCTGTCGAAAGGGGAGCTCGTCGTCTGTGGCTGGCTGTCTAATCCGCGCCAAAAGGTTCAAAAAAAGAAGCTGGCTGCCTTTTTCTGTTACTTGGCTATTGTTCACCCACGCGACGACGCGAAAAGGTCGGAGGTGTGCTAGGCTGGACTGGGATTGGAGCCGGGCCTTGGTCGCCCTGGGAAATGATGAATGAGGGGGAAATGAGGAGACGCCTCCCCGGACGCGCATCACTTCTCGGTATGGGCGAGCTAGGCAATTGAGGCTGCAGCTTCTCGTCATTTGTGCCCCCGGCCTGCTTTTGGATGTTGAGAAAGGTTTTTTCGCTCCTCGTGTTCGCTGCGGGAGGACTGCATACGGCTTTGATCATGGAAGGGAGTGGTTGATATTCGGTTGCACGAGCGAGGAATTCTGCCTGTCCCATGTTCATGCATAGAGACTCTGTCAAGCAATGAGGCGTCTAACTCCCCCTGACTCAGCATGGTTTGGAGTGAGTCCAATGTTTCGCCAGTCAGAAGTCTATCGAAACTTACCGGCAAAAAGAAAAGAATGGCGACATTAGAACGGCTGTTCGTCCTGTAGGTTTGCAAGAAAACAAGCAGGCTTCGAGGGCCCAAGTCAGGCTGCCATCGACGGGCAATTGACTTTCCCACCGACGGAGCAAACCCCTGACATGACGGCGCATGGAGGGGTAACATCGCTCACCCTGGCTTGCAGCTCCAAATATCAGCTGAAAAAGCCAAGATCGGGAGACATTTGGCGGCCTGTCGGATTCCTCGTTTCCAACGCAAAATCGACTGTTGCCAAATTCCCCAGACTATCGAACACACATGGAAAGGGAGAAGGAGGATGGGTTTCACGGCTTTATCAACGTACGCTAGACCTCGTCCGAGAAATGCAACGTCCGCCGATCTGCTCCGTTCATCAGTCTCGGCCGACGCGTGGCTGGCACGCGGGGAAATGGGCGCCGAGACGGACGAAGCCGATATCACAGCCCAAATACACAGCAATGGAAACCCCCTCCTGAGATTGATAAGTGCAAGATAAGAATAAAGCGTTATTATTTCGTCTCTGTATCGGTGGCCGTTGTTGAACGCCGCCTCACGTTATGTATTTCCGGTCGTGACACCTGGATAGATAGATAGTTGCCGGGAAGATGGCGATGCCCATGATGAATGTATCCCGTCCCCCGTCCCAAAACGCCCAACCATGCCGCCCGTCTAACCCCCCACTCTTTGCCTTTATATTCCCCCCTTCTTCAGATCGTACACGCATTGAGGAACGAATCGACCTCAGAGAGAAGAAGAGGCCTTCAAGCCCTCCTCCAGCGCGACCGTCTGCCCGAGCTGCTTGGCCCCGAGGGGCGCCTTCTCGCCCGCCCTCTTGCGGAGGACGTTCTCGATGAACGCCTCACCGGCCTTGTAACTGCTGCGCACCAACGGGCCGCTGGCGCAGTACAGGAATCCCATGTCCAGCGCCCTCTGCTTCCACATGTCGAACTCGTCCGGCGTCACGTACCGCTCGACCTTGAGGTGGCGCTTCGTGGGACGCATGTACTGCCCGAAAGTGACGACGTCCACGTTGGCCTTGCGCAGCTCTGTGTGATTCCTCCCGTCAGCAAATCTCGAGCCCTCACAAACATGGCTGGGAAGAGCCAAAACTTACCCCTCAACGCGTCCATGACCTCGCGCTCCTGCTCGCCCAACCCCATCATCATACTCGTCTTCGTAATCAGCTCCGGCTTGACCTTCTTCGCCTGCTCCAGCACGCTCAGACTCTGCCTGAACGTCGCCCTCCTATCTCTCACATACGGCGTCAGCGCCTCCACCGTCTCGACATTGTGCGCAAACACGTCCAGCCCGCTCTCCGCCACAATCTTCACCATGTCCAAATTCCCCATGAAGTCGCCCGTCAGCGCCTCCACCAACAAACTCGCCTTCTTGCTCTTGATCCGGCTGATCGTCTCCGCGAGGTGGTGCGCACCACTATCCGGCAAATCGTCGCGGTCCACCGTCGTCAGCACCACGTACCCCAGCCCCCACCGCGCCAGCGCCTCCGCCGTGTTCTCGGGCTCGTGCGGGTCCAGCGGCGCCGGCGCGCGGTTCGTCTTGACGCTGCAGAACCGGCACCCGCGCGTGCACGTGTCGCCCATGAGCATGATCGTCGCCGTCGCCGCGCTCTTGCTGCTGCCGCCCCAGCACTCGCCAATGTTCGGGCACTTGGCCTCCTCGCACACCGTGTGCAGCCCCAGCCCGCGCAGGTCCTTCTTGATCGCCTTGAAGTTCTCGTTGCCCGCCGGGATCGGCGTCTTGAGCCACTCGGGCAGCCGCGTGATGGTGCGCTTCTTGCCCGTCGGGCCCGTCACCTCCACCGTGCGGATCTCGTACGCCTCCGCGGCCGAGAGCGCCGCCGCGTCGTCCTTCTGCTTGCCGGCGATGAAGTCGTCGAGCGAGGCGACGGTGCGGTCTTTGAAGTACGTCGGGCGGCGGGCGACCGACTTCGGCTGCGGAGCCGAGGGGGGTTCGGGGACGGTGGCGAAGGCTCGGTAGCCGCCGCCGAGGGCTTTGCGGAGGGGCGCCTGGATGCGCTTCAGAGGCGCTGCTACGGGTGAGGCCATTTTGTGTTTGATGTGTTGTGCGAGCTTCCTCCGCCAAGGCAGGTTGGTGGTGGTGGTGGTGGATGGCGGGTTGAAGTATGGGAAAGCTACCAAGCAGCTGCGATGGGGCAAAAATTGAGTGACGATTAGAGCTGAGATAAGGAAAAAGGCCCTGCAGCTCGGATTGGGACCCGACGGCCCGGATTGAATCGGCATAAGGCCTGTGTCGGCCAATCACAAGCGGCAGCGCGCCTGACAGCGGCAGATGCTGATTAAGGCGGGGGCCACTGGAACCGCGCTCAACGGCGTCCCGGGGCTTTCCGCCCCAACGGATTCAGAGTCACCAAACCTTTCCAATCAAGACGTTCGGATTGACAACCGAAAGACCGTGTTAGTCTTGTCTCGGGCATTTACAAGCGACTGGGATCTGAGTAAGGCGATGCAGGTGTGTGTGAGTGTCAATTGACAGTCCATTCAGCTATGCTATGCTGTTAAACTCCCCTCTCATGTCCTTGGTAACTCCTCCAATGTCCTCCAAACCCTCCTCTCCAGGCAAGATCATGCAACCAAGCCGTCAGTCAAGTCAAAATCGTCCGCCCGTCCGAATATCAAAGCAAATCCATCGTTTCCGCCCTCGCGACAGCACGTCTGGTCGCATCAAGGTAAGGCCGGTGTTCGAGAGCAGTGACCATCACCATGAATTCCCCAGCCATGTCTGCGCGAGCATACAACAATAGGGGTATCAACAACTCGAAGAGAAATGTGAAACTTTTGTGTTCCAACACGAAAACTCCGTAAAATCCCTAATCATCCATCCTGATCAGTCCGACTCAACACCCTCCGAGGGGTGGTGATGAGACGACGTGATCTCGTAAATTGATTTCCAGCCAGCAAGCACGCTTGCATGCGCCGTGCGGTCCCGAGTGGGTGAAGCTGCCAGAACGGGTGATCCGCGCTCTGAAACAGCATCGTCTCATCTCCCCTGTTCATACACAGACATGAGATGAACGGATCGGTGAGATCGAGACTTGCGACAAGCGCAAAACGCAGCCAACGGCGCATGAAGGGTAGAGATCGACTTCGCATTCCATGCGACCCTTGTTTCCATGCGACCCTTGTGCTGCTGGGGAAGAATCGAAACATTAATAATTGTAGTCGGCATGGCCGTGTGCGCCTCCCAGCTGAAGGGCATACGGCACGCCGTTGAAGTAAAGAGTGAAAAAAGGTTTGTCGTGGCAAGTGTCCCTAATGACAAGTCTTTGCGTCCTTTCCTGCAGGTTGGCGATGCAAGCATCGCACATGTTGGTCGAAGAGGAGTAGGGTATTGGTCGTTGATGCCGTCAACAAGTGGTATCCGATCTTTACAATCGTTCAGGTCGTAGAAATGTGGTGGCGTCGGAGCGATGTCCGGCGCGCGAGACAAAAGAAATGTTTGAAAAGATGTCGCATCGAAGAAATCGGTGTGGCAGTAAGGCGTGGTTGCTCATCCCCCAAAACCACATCGCAATCCGTCGACGACCTCGTCCGTCCTCTTCTCCCCCATCTCTCTTCTTCTCCTCCTCCGCTCGTCCCCTGCTCCTCCGTAGGCCTTCCTTTCTCCCAGCCGCAGCTTACAAGAAAGCAGCGGCGATCATGCCAGCAACACCGGCAAAGGCAAGGCTGTCGACGTTGACATTTGAGCCGGCGCTGGCCTTGGAAGAAGTGGCAGCGGGGGCAGCAGAGGTAGCGGTGGCAATGACGGAGGCTCCGGAGCCGGTAGGCTTGACAGTCGCAGTGCTGTTGCCGGTGCCGTAGGTCATGGTAGTGGTGTGGACGCGCGAGAGGGTGACGGTCTTGGTCTGGGTAGCGGTGGAAGTGATGGTGGTGGTGCTGTCTGTCTGGGCAAGAGCCAGCGCAGGCAGGAGTGCGGCGAGAATCGTGGTAACCTTCATGGTGAACGTATTTGGTGTTGAGATTGGTTGAATCGTAGTGTATGCTGTCAAAGCTGGTGTTGGTAGTGTTATGCGTTGGTGAACGAATGAGTCCCGAGTCTCTCCACCAATATGCGAATGATGCTGTTGATCAAATCTGTCGAGTATGTTCTGTTTCTGTAAATCCTGCTGGTTGCTATCGTGGAGACGGCGGCCAGGTGATGATATATGTGCGTTGGCGCAAAAGAGTTGTTTTCAAGGCCCCAAGGTCTGATGAGTGGTGTTGGCTGTAGTTTTGAGTCTGAGCGATGTGGCTCGTGTAAGGTGCCGCTGGGGTGTTTGCGAGAAGACAGAGTCTATTCGCGGATAGAAATAGGCAGGAATGAGCGTCAGTCTGAATACTTGCGCGGCGAGTAGTCAGGTTTGGTCGGAGGAGTGAGTGTTTGTTTCAACGACTATGCGTGATGGGAGCGAAGGTGAAGTAGAGACTTTGCCAACGAAGTCTGTGGGTTTTTTGCTCGGGGGGGAGTGGTTTGAATAAGAGAGTCCGCGGAGGAGGGGGCCAACGGTGAGGAAGTGGACGGGACGTGGGTTTTGGGTGTGGGGAGGGGACAGGGCAGGCTGGAAAGAGACGAGAGAAAATGAGTGACAAGACCCGACAGACGATGCAGGCGCCAACAAGGAAGGCGACGTCTGGAGCAAGAGCCAAGAGCGGCCGAGGAGACGCAGAATGGAAGGCGCCCACAACCACGACGAGGAAGGCACAACCTTAGCTGTGGTCCGTGGAAGGAAAGTGGAGGTGCTCGGCCCTACCCTCCTGGTCCCCGTCGCTCGCTCTTGCCCTCAGTGAACTGTGAACTCACCACCTGGTCACCTGGTCACCTCACAGTCACACCCACACAGTTTGCTGGGTTCCTCCTTGCGCCGGCCAGTAAGATTCTTTCCTCGTCCCTGGCGCCATCCACCTTGTGCATCTTTCTCTCACTCTTTCCGTCTCTGCTTCCAGTTCCCCGGGGTGGGCAAGAAGAGGCGGTAGGTACGACCCAGTGACACAAAAAGAGGTTTGCGGTCGCTGGTTGGACCAGGGCTGCGGCTGCAAAAGGCCAATGGCGCACGAGAGAGCGCACTCGGCCGGCAGGGCACTGGGAAGTAACTGCAAGGTACCCGCGTCTGCTTCGGGGAGCCTGCAGTTGCAAGAGACGAATCAAACCTCAAAGCGCATCTCAACAAAAGTATCGACTACCTTGATGGCGGCTGAGAACGCCCACAAAACCAATGTATTGACGACTCGCCCGAGTTGCAGGGGTCTGGATCATGACGGGAAATTAAGGCGCAAAATCACAGCGTTGCGTTCGCTCAACTTGGACCACGTACCCTTGCGCAACTCTGCCTTACTGGCTGCACTATGACATTGCACCATTGGATTATGAAGAGGCATTGTGCGCGCTGCAAACAGCCTCGTCCATTGCGACAGCAACCAAGGATCGGCAGGGCGTCGCGACTGGTCCTCGCTCGCCCGTCCTGAGGCAGTGACAGCGCTTTTCTTAGAAGTCTTCTTTTTTTCTGCGCGCTTCCTCTCAGGCTGCGCATCACGTCAAACCGCCGACGACGACGCTGCTGACGGGCACATCCAATAATAGTGCCTTCTTTTCTTCTTCCAGAACGGAATATGGTCTGAGCAGGACCATCGGGCAACACTGTGAACCGCCGACTGATTTGCAACCTGACCAGTGTTGGCTGGCTTGACTCTCCACTCTGCATGTCGGCCGAGACACAAAACGGTCCATTTCTCCATTGTCTGGACTCCAGTCTCGGGCGAAAAGAAAGCCATTGTGGTGGGTGGACTAAGGGTCACTAACGGTGGCAATCTTATTGGCAGTCTTAAGACTTTCAATATTCACAGAGAGAAATGGCATAATCTGCTGGGTGGTCACTCGACACCGCATTCGACGCCGTGTCCGTCCAGATTGGAACCAAATCGTCGTGCCGCGCAGCAACCGCGAATGCCTCCATTCCCAATGCAGAGGGATGTGAGTGGGCTGTTCATAAAAAGAGCGAATTGCACAATTTCCCCGAGTCGAAATGGCTCAGTGTCCCGCACCGACGCCGTTGGTGATTGGCTTTTCCGGGGCCGCCCTGAGATGAGACTCGACGCTTGCCAGGCTGTTCCTGCATTGGTTTCTCTTAGGACAGCTACGGTTGTAAGGTACCTGACGCTAAGCCCTGGATGGCCGGCTCGGTCTTGCCTCAGAGTGCTCTCTCTCTCTCTCTCTCATTTTGCAGTGCGCTCCTGCTAAAAAGATTTCTCATCGCGCAGGACCCAACCTGGAAAGCGCTCTGCGACCTCCTCCTTCCCAAGCAGTAGTTCGACGGTCTGTGCTGCCCCTAACGAGGAAGGAACCCAGCACGAGGTCTTTAGCAGGTGCGCCTATCCGATACTCCTGGCCATCAAACAATCAAAATCGACCGGGAAATGTCATCATCTTCGTTCCTATTCCCCGTGTCAGATCACGCGGAGAAGCATTTCCCTAGTGCCGATTATCCTTTGCTCTCAATGGGCCCCCAGTCGCCAGCGCAATTTGGCTTCTAGCGCCCGTCTTTCACGCATCCTCCTGCAGCGCACCATGCGACCAACAACGCAGCAGCAGCAACACCGAAGCCTGCAGCTCTCTGGATAGGCACCTAAGGTAGCCTTCGACGATCCACGGCCTGGGCAGACAGCCAACTCGCCGGGAACCATCCCATATGTCTCGGTCCCATCTCATTCTCGTGTTCATCCTCGCCCGTCCGAACTCCCGTCATCTCACGGCGGTCGCTGCCATCCCATTTGGGGGCTGCAAATGCAAATCCTCGGATGAAACCCGACAAACAGCTCCACCGCCGTCAGCCTGGTGTGGAGAGCCTGAACCGAAGGAGATCAGGCCGGAGATCATCACTGCTCCCAGCAGTGAACCCCTTGAAGCCTTCTCACAGTGGGACGTCCCATGTTCAACCTGAAAGGCTTGACACTTTCTCAGGGCAACACCTGGCCCCAGCTCGCATCTGCTCCCACTTCGCGCGCCCGGAGCGAGTCGTTCGCTACGGCCTGGAGCCATCGCGGCCCCTATTCCGACAGGCTCTTCGACAGGCCTTTGTCGCAACAAGGGCCGTCGCGGCTCCCCTTCTGTGCCACCAAGACCTCACCAGTGTCTGCGGAATCGGCGCATTCACACGCTGAAGGCCCCCCTTCGCCCACTCCGTCCACGTCGCAGCGATAGCTCGCTGCCACGTTGTGAAACCCAGCGTCACACGCTCACGGGTCCCGTCTTGCGTCTGCGTCCCGTCGTGTCTGCATCTTCGCTGGCAGCCGCAACAAATCGTTGGGCCCGAGATGTCCTAAGCTGAACCGCTGAGGCCGTCGAAGAGGCCCGTATGGGCCCCCGACCAGCGCAGTGTCTCTAAAGCTTGGCTTGACTCTCACACCACGACCAGCGATTCAGCTCGCCACACTGCCTCCGCCATTCGGCTAAATCGGGGGCGCCAGTCGAGGAAGGTTTCAGTCAGAATGGGCTTACCAGAGCTGCTTCTTCCTTTGCCCAGTGCTTGTGCGAGCAAACTCTTCCACCTGAAGGAAAGAAAACCCTCCGTGCGGACGTTCTAGGGGCTTGAGGGGGGCGAAAGAAGAAAATTCTTGACTGTCGCACGCCACCGAGCACAAGAATGAGACGTTACGATAGACTCAGACAGCTACCACAGCGGCTTCCAACGTCTTTACGGTGGGTCCAAGATCAACGGCGCATCCCAGCGCCGTCGCAACTCGGATGCTCTGTGGTGCCACCTTGCTTTGCAGTGCAGCTCTGCTCTGCTGTGCGCTGTGCTGCCAGCAAAGTAATGGCCTTTTCCATGCACCGCAGCTCAGTCATCTCAGCAGTTCAGCTTGGGCATTGGTCGTTGCTGTTGTTTCCACGCTACCTCTCTGTTGCTAACTTGCTTGTGTACGACAACAATCAGGCTTCATGCAGACGCTCAGCTTCTTCGTATTCAACCTGCTCGTGCTGCTTTTTTGCTTTTCCTCGTAACATGTCTCGACCTCATTATCCAACGGCCAGCTGCAGCGGCCTGCAGGATGCATGCAGGTGCAACGAGCCGCTCCCTTCTCGGCTTTTGAATTCAGCAGCGCACCATCGCGTTGTATCTCGCGGATGCACAAAGGGCTCTACATCTCGGCTCGGTTTACAGTCGAGCTCCTGTAATCTGCGCTATTCGTTGAGAAAACCCCGACGCATCCTCGCTGGCTCGTGGCTTCAAGGAAAACTTCCCTCTAATTCGTGCCGCTTCAACCTCGTCTCGTGGCTCCCCACATGCCCATGATGACGTTGCTTTCCGAGTGGGTGCATCCATGTGGTAAAAGCTGAATTCTCTCTAGGGTCCAAAGTGCGGACGGCTCACTGCAATTTCTCTGCCCACAGAGCTCGGAGGTTCTTCCCAGCTGTCTACTTGATGCGAAGCGATGTCCGGAGCCCCGCCCCCGTCTCCCGACCCCTGGGCCGATTGTTCAAGGGACCAGCACCCGGACTCCCCTTCGTCACCGTCGTCATCACCTCCGTCAGCATAACTGACTAGACAGCCGGTGGACCGGGCTGTGAAGATAACCTCAATGCACAAAAGGGGCTTAAAGGGGGACGACAATGCTCGCTTTTTCTATGAATGCAGCTGTGCAACAGACAAAATCGTCTGAAATATCCGCAACAAAACCTGTCGCCTCCCGCCAACATCCTCATGTCGCTTGTCTGCCACAGGCCGCTGCCAGGCCCCTTGGCGACGTCCGATCTTGACATCTGACGAAACAAACCCCGTTCATCTATCGCGTACCTGTTTTGAAACAATGGTCAAGGTTCATCTGAGCGTACGCAATTCCCAAACTCTGGTCCGGTGCAAGCAATTTAGCTCGCGCCTGTCTTGCAAGGCCCCTGGATACCACGCGGCGATGGCATCTGTGCCGTCATGGCTCGGACGATGCGCTGCATGGGCCGAACGATGTCGGAACCGAAAAATTCTGGATATCTCTCAGTGGAAACAACATGACCGAGGCTTCGATCGACTGCGGTATGATTGCAGTGTCCCATTATGGAATCGCCGTGCGGAGGTAATGCTATCTGCGGTGTGAATGGAATTGAGTGCGGCCTGCACAGTCCCATGGTGGGCGAATGCCCTCAACTCGTATACAACTGAAACCGCCCGGCCTTTGGACGATATTGCCATCAATGTCTTCCAACCTCTTCTCAAGTTGCGTTCTTTTCGTGCTCAATCCCACCTTTTTGGCGGAACCCCTCGGCGGTTGGGAGTGTGGCATTTCATCAGCGATATGTTAGAAGGCATCCGCGTTGCAACGGTTTCGGGCCCACCTTGAGGAAACTTCAGTTCGCTTGTCGGACCAGCAGCTCAACCCACTTGCTGAGCTTCGGCTACAACCGGTCTATTAGTCTAGTTGGTTAGGACGTCGGATTCTGATCAACATCAGTTCCTTCCGTAGGCCCAGGTTCGAATCCTGGATGGACCTTATTTTTGACCTTCGCGAGCGATCTCGTATCGCCATGTTGGTTTTTTGCTTCTCGTTTTTTTATTTTGCTTCCATTCTGGATATGGATCCTGCACCTTAGATGGAAGAGACCCAACGTGCGGCCTGCAATCCTGCATATCTGCTAACGATGTCTCGCATATTTCCTGCGAGAAGACTCAAAGACGTTGGGTTAAAGCCACGGTGTGGTGGTACTACCTCCCATCCATATGTGATATCTGACGGTGTGCCTGAAATACTCCGGGGTTGCTCCTACGTTGACATTGCTGCTTCATCGCGCCACTGGTCCTTAACGTTGGTCCGGCTACCCAACTTCCCTTCAGCCGCCGCATAGCTCGGCCCGAGTCGATGCGATTCAATTTCCATCTGGGCGAGTCTCTCAGTCAGCCGATTCTGGCGAACGACGTTGGCCAAATTGTATCGAGCGAACAGCTTTTTTGCATCCGTTCTGCCGAGAGGCACAGCTCATATTGATACGCCTATCGGCGCATGTCTTGGGTAATACACCCAATCACCAGCAGCACTAACTCGTTCGGACATAATCGGCACTTAAATGGTTGAACCGTTCGAATAAGTAATTCTCGTACGATGCCGGCACACACTCAAGCGGCCAACCACTCGACACCGGAGCCTTGGGGGGGGGCGGTCAGCGATTCATGGATTCGTGGATGGCACGGCGCGGTGGGGGTCAACACCAAGATCGAGGAGAACGGAGGACGCTGCCTCCTTCGCGAGGAATGATCATGATTTTCCCAACTACCAGGAACTCGAATCCCCTAGGCCACTCCATGATGATGCTTTCGAGCGTAAGCAGCGGCGCAGGCTGGAATGATAGGTTGAAGACGACACGCACGTCGAGGTTCCCCCGCGGAGATCTGAGTCGTAATGTGCCGCGTGCCGAGGGCGCACCGCAACATCCCCGACATTACCCCAACATCTGACCCCCACGAAAGTCCCACACGCGTCTCGCAGGATCCCGACTGCCCAGCAGTCGTGGCATTTCCCAGATGGCGTTGAGGGTTGAAAGGAGATCGTGGGGGAACGCGATGCTCGATAATTGGGGGTCAAGAGGAGGACCCTCTCGATAGCTTGGGGCTACCCCATGGGGCTCTTCCCCGCGTTCGTGCTAGGCCCATGTTCTCCATGCTGGGAACGGCTGTTTGGGTGAGCTTGCCCGGAAGTGAGGAGAAGGGGCAAGCGTTGCAGGAGGTAGGGTTTCTCCAAGGTGGAAGAAGGGCAGGGGGGATTGGGATTTGATTAAGATCGGTCGAGGTCCCATTCCTTTCCTTTGCCGCATGAGTTTTGACTGGGAGGTCTTGTCTGACAAACTTCTCGTCTTCTTTTCCTTGACCTTTTCAACACGTAAGGTCGAGAGGGCTCTACGTTTGAGACTCAAGCGCATAACACAGACGGCACCATGGACATGGAAAAGAAAGAGAGATCCTCGGACCAGGTTGAGGATGTCAACGCGGAGAAGCTCAGCGTCCACGATGGGACGCTCATCATGCCCGCCAGTCTGGCAGCTTTGAGTCAGGAGGATTATGAGAAGGTTGGGAAGAAGGCCACGTTGAAGATGGACATGGTCATTATGCCCATCATGGTAAGTCATTCATTCCTTTAACACACTCCACCTGCGGGGGCTGACATGGCATAGGTCATCATGTATGTCCGTAAGTAATCACCACCATTCGCCTAACGATTCGAATTCGAACCTGACACATGTGAAGTCAACTACCTCGACCGTCAAAACATTGCCAGCGCCAAGCTCGCCAACATTACTACGGAACTGAACCTCAGCCAGGTCGAGTATCAGACCACTGTCAGCATTCTCTTTGTCGGCTACAGTACGTTCCCCTTAGCAGCCATTCCTGTGCGCTTTCAGCTGACGACGGTCGTAGTCCTGATGCAGATCCCCTCCAACATGATTGTCAGCAAGATCAAGTGGCCCGGGGCGTATATCTGCGCTGCCATGGCAGCGTGGGGCGCGATTTCGTCGCTCATGGCTGTTGTTCACAACTACGAAGGTCTCCTGATGGCTCGATTCTTTCTCGGATTCATCGAGGCAGTCTTCTTTCCGGGTGCCCTTTACTACCTTTCCCTTTTCTATAACCGTAAGCAGTTCGCCTTGCGGACGGCGATTCTCTACTCTGGGTCGCAGTTGGGCAACGCTTTCGGTGGGCTGTTTGCCATTGCTATCTTGAATTTGGATGGAACCAGTGGCCTTTCTGGGTGGCGATGGGTAAGTTCCTTCTATTGATGATGTCGGTCTTGGGAGACTTAGGCTAATACTATGACAGCTCTTCCTAGTCGAGGGTGTCATCACCGTTGGACTGGCCATCCCCTTCGCCATGATTCTCCCCAACTCCAACAAGAAGATCCCGACGCTCACCCAACTCGAGTGCGAATGGGTCCAATACAACTTCGCAGCCGATCAAGGCCAAGAGGACAACGCAAGCGAGGTGACCGCCTTCAAGGGCTTCATGATGGCCGTCGCGGACCCCAAGACCTGGATGCTGATGGGAATCCTCTATTCCGTACGTACCTCTTTTGACATCCTTCTCCAAACTGTCTCCCGGTAGGCATGTCAACTAACCACCAACACCAACCACAGACCTACATCGTCGGCGCCGTCGCAAACTTCTTCCCCTCCGTCGTCGGCGGCCTCGGCTTCTCCCGCACAATGACCTACGCCCTCACCGCGCCCCCCTTCATCCTCTGCGTCTTTACCATGCTCCTCAACGGCTTCCATTCTGACCGCAAGCAGGAGCGCTACCTCCACATCGTCATCCCGCTCTGCATCACCCTCGTCGCCAACGTCATCGCCGTCTCCACCATCAACATCGCCGCGCGCTACGTCGCCATGATGCTGCTCCCGGGCTCCTTCTACGCCGCTGCCGTCGTCATCCTGTCCTGGATCACGGGCAGCCTCGCGCAGCCGAGCGTCAAGAGGGCCAGCGCCATCGCGCTGATTAATGCCATGTGTAACACGCCCAATATCTGGGGCAGCTATCTGTACTACGGCGCGCCGAGGTATATCACCGCGTTTATTGTGAATATCGCGGCGACGGGGCTGGCGATTGGGTTTGCTACTGTTACGCGGATCTGGTTGAGGAGGCTGAATGCGAAGTTGGATCGGGGCGAGGACTGTGGTAAGCATGGGCCGACTGCGGCGCAGGTTTCTACTGGGTTTAGATATCTTATCTAGGTTGAGCTGGGGACTAGCTTATGGGCCAGGGGATGGCATCGGGACATCTACGAGATTTTAATGGACGGAAGTCGTAGATTGAATACAATGTGTTATATTCAAAAGTTTTGTCCATATGAGAATTCAAAGGATGGGGTTGTGTTTGGTTCACAGAATTACTAACCCTAGCACTAGTGTCAACATGTAGGCCGCGAGGGATCATTACATGATTAGGATCTTGCAACGAAGACTGACATTTCCAGTTGATAAAGTAAGGTAGAAATAGAAGGCTTCTCTAATATGTTTACTTACTCCTAAACACTATCGTAATCTAAAGCTTCACCCTCCCGGTAACCTCCTTCTCCGCCCTTTCGCTATTGACCAGCTCGGGAACAATATCCTCGACACTGGCTGCACCCGCCAACGCCATATTCGTCTCCAGCTCATGCCTCAAAATCTGTATCAATCTCCGTACACCAGCCTCTCCATACCCGGCCGTCATCGAGTACAAAAACGGCCGGCCAATGCCGACCGCACTCGCGCCCAACGCCAAAGCCTTGAGAACATCCGTTCCCCGTCTAATCCCACCATCAACGAACACCCGGAAATTTGCTTTCGTCTCAGGGGCAAGCAGATGCGGCGCGTAGCGCCTGATCTCCAGAAGCGTCAACATCGGCGCCTGGGCGGTGTCCTGGCTTCGCCCGCCGTGGTTCGAGAGCACGATCCCCTCGACTCCGTGCTGGTGCGCGATGAGAGCGTCCTCAACCGACTGGATGCCTTTGATCACAATCGGTAGCGACGTCGTCTCCCGAATCCATTCGAGATCAGCCCAGGTCAGCCCCGCGTTCAACAATCCCGACGCCGTCGTCTTTGCGACGCCGCTGGGTTCGGACAATGGCTCGTCACCGGCCGTCAACCTCTCATCCCGCTCTCTCTTGCCAATGACGGGCGAATCTACCGTCACGAAGATGGCCTTCGCACCGAGGCTCTCCGCCTTTCGGATGGTCGCTTGCGCCTTTTCTCTGTTGCGGTCGACGTATAGCTGGAAGAACAGCGGCTGCGCGTTACCTCCCGCTCGTGCACCGAAGATGGCGTCTATCGACGCGCTGGGTTTCGTAGGCATGCAGTAAATGATCCCCTCCTTCGCCGCCGCCTTCACCAGGAGCGTCTCAGCCTCGGGATGCGCGTACTTGGCCTGGCCCGTTGGCGAGATGTAAAACGGCAGGGACGAAGGGAGACCGAGGATCGACGTGGCCGTTTTGATGGAGTCTACATTACGAAGCACCCGAGGCCGCAGCGCCAACCTCCGGAAGATGCGTCTCGAGTCCCGGAGACTCTGCTCGTCTTCCGCGCCGGAGCAGTAGTACGCCCATCCAATCTCGGACAGGTACTTTTCGGCCACCTTCTCAAAGTCGTCTGCGTTGATGATGGCACCCAGGTGTGGAAACTTTGGCTTCGGCTTCTCTGGCTCCGGGGCTGATGATTCTTTAGGAAGGGTTAGAGGGTCTACGGGTCCCAAACAGCGGTCCGGTGACAGCGTTTCTGCGATGAGGTCCGGGTTGTGGATGGAGTCGTAGTCTTCTGTTGCGTCGCGGCCGGCGCAGTTAAATATCAGCTTGGCGCCGCCGGGATGCTCATCGAGGAAGTCTGCGATGTCTTAGTAAGAGAGCTTGGTGACGGAAGCGGGAGATGTACCTGTGACGTCCCATACCTGGCCATGGATGACGACCCAGCACGAGTCTTTGGTGTTGTTCTTTGCTACTTCCGTGCCGCTCACCACCATCGTGACTAACTGACTATCTTGGTGAACTGACCTGCGGGACGGGAAATGTGGGATAGGTCCAATGGGCGTGGTCAAGATGAGGCTGAGTGCTGGCCCGAGGAGATTGGTGCTTTGCGCAGCTCAAGAATGAGGTCGTTCGAACGTCTCACCTGGTCTTTCCTCCCCACGCAATACTCATGGGGCTTGCTTGGAGCAGTCGAGCTCCACCGAACTCGCGACAACAGGTTAGGGACAGAATCCGTGGGGGTCATGGACCATGGCCTTCCTCCGCGTGCTGCTAGGCTCAGGCCGGCGTCGTGGGTTCAAATAGCGGACTGAAGTCCGTCCTAGCGTGCCGGTTTTCCTGGGACGCTTTCCCTTCTTCGTCTCTGCTGCTGAGCTCTCGCGACCACCCCCCACCCAGGCGTGTCCGGGGTGGACGGGGCTGCATTCCAGGCTTCTCCTCACGAAAGGGCGACGAGACGCTCCGAACATCTCCACGAAAAGTGGTGCGGCTCCGCTGCCGGGTGCTGTTCGATTCGTCGTTGCTGTGATGTTGTTGGGCTCTCGTGCGGAGAAGCCCCCGGAGGCGTGTCTGGGGAGCTCGGGAGTTGTCCGGGGCCCCGGGATGGGCCCATGTCTGCGGCTGACTCGCTCATGCGGGGTGAGGAGGAGGGCGTCGGGAATAAATCCGGGGGAGGACGCGTTTGGATGGCTCTGGCGTTTGTCGAGGGGAGATCTCCCATGGACTCTCTACTTTCAAGTCTCGAGCTGTTGAGTCGAGAAACGGCGCCAGGGCAGAAATCATCAGTTAGGCGTGCAATAGGAGCGTGATGCCAAATCCTTTGACTCGAGGGTATCAGTTGTTGCGCCATCATTTGCGAAACTATCCTATCCAACAATAAATCAATATTCATCAGACTGCTAGGTCGCCTGGAACCGACATGGTCCACAAACCTGTTTTCGTCGTAATTTTAACACCAGCAGCAATGTGTCTGTCATCATCCTTGTGGAGACTCGATGGGGCTTCAGCGAGGGTGACTGACACCCGAAGGTGACCCCCACTCATGGGGGTTCACAGCTTGCCGTGGCCGAGTGGTAAAGACGATGATGGCCATAAGAAGCTGCGAACTCGCTATCTGTGACCACATGTGGCAGCCAATCCTCAGGCGGGCACAGAATCACATTGATCGTTCTTGCGATGGCAATGTATTGAGCTGTCTGCGTTTCTCATTTAGGAGATCCATGTTGGGAAGTAAACTTGAGAATGAAACGTATCAAAGAAAAAATATTCCTATCGACGACTAGTGAATCTTCGCTAGCAAGCTGTTGACTTTGTTATTCTTCTCCGTGTCGTTCCAATCTTTTGGAGGAGGCTCGAAGGTCAGTTCAACCCCGGTCGGAAGACCATGCAATGAGAGCTTCCTCCAAAGCGAAACATGCCAATCTGCTGCCCTTTTTGGATGGGTTCGCCAGGCCTGACGATGAATTCGCAAGAGGATACTTCAGCCATTCCAATAAAAACGATAGTCATGAGCCCAATCTTGGGATTGTCGGCCTCGATGTAAATGATGCCCCTGGTAGCAACAGCACTAATATATGGCTGCGAGTAGTTCGGAGCGGCTGGATCGGGGTCATTAGGGTTGCCCGCAAGCCCTTCAAAGTAGTTCTCGGAATAGTAGGTGCCTGGAAGCTGCTCGATGTTCACCACCTTGCCGCTAACAGGGGCATGCCATCGGTGGTAACTCTTCGCACTTAAGAATGCTTGGTATACTGTCCCACCAACAAACTGTGAGGCTTTCGAGTTGTTGTTCAACATATTGACGAGAGAATAATGTTGCCCTTTGAGCCAGAAGTTGTCGAACAGTTGGACATTGTAGGCAACTTGAAGTGGAGCCGACTCACAAGCATTGGTGATGAACAATGATGGGTCGGGGTCGCCGTCGGCAAAAGGCTGGAAATCTGGACGAAACACGGGGCGTTGTTCCTCCTTGAACTCCCGCGTGAAGAAACCGTCCCATGAATCAAACCCGTAGTAAGGTTGGCTAGGATCGCACTCGAAGATGGACGAGAAATCTTTACCAAGCGCTGCGTTGGCTAGAAGACCCAGGACATCGGGTGACAGCCAATCCCATTGCCGAAAACGTAACAAGACGCAAGAGGATTCAACGATGGCTACACTAGCAAACTGCCTGTCTGCCTGAAACACGAGACATGCTCCTTTTAGTTCTCGCTGAAAATCAACCAGTCAGAGCATAAGGCTCGAACAGTGATACTTAAATGACTGCTTTCGTCTGCGAAAGTCTGGCGAGAGAAGATGTGTATGGAGACGCTAAAAAGAAGCATGTCTCGGGCGTTGAGAAGATCACGCGAAAGTCTGATTTAACCTCACGAATTTCAAGACAGAGGCTTCCACCATGAGACAACGTATGGGACTGAAAAGCTCGTCAACTTGGGTAAGCATATTGACTGGTTGCGAAAAGGCTTCGACGGTGTCCCGTGATAGCCTCGAAGATAATACAAAATAATTTGATGCGCCAAAAATGCCTTAATGACCGAAGTAGCTTGGTTGTATGTCGATAATGCGCTTAGATAGTTCAAACTTAGCCCCGTACAACTTGAATTACGGGTTGAAGAATGGTGTCTTGCGTACTTGACTTTCTGGTCTGTCAAATCGGAGTCTTGACCTTTACAGGAGGCTTCTGCGGGCAACGCTCAAGTGGCTCATGAACTCGACTGGGTATCCTTCGATGCCGAATTTCTGCCATCTCATATCTTTCGTCCCATACAGGATCCTAACAGCTGTTTCAGCCAGCAGGCCTTTTCTGGCCAAAGACCGCCCTCAGGGCCCTTCTCACATATTGTAGACTGATCCCCATCTTCATCATCAGGTGATTGGATCCACCCCCGCGGGATCTGCGTCATGAAGTCATACCAGTAGTCGCCAAAATGACGGTAGCCCTCATTCGTGGGGTGGACGCCATCAACCCGAAGTAAACCCGTAGGAAAGCTTGTAAAATCAACGGCAAGAACATGTTTACCGGCAACCTGACGAGATGCCACGATGCCTGGTATATGGCCTTGATACGGGACGGTGTTCCGCTGTTGCCCCTCATCACGAGTGTTGATGATCATAGCTACGAGAACAACCGCACTTGGGCAGGCTTCGACGATTTGATCGATGAGTTTGCCTAAACGCTCTGCGGCATCTTTGGGATCGTTTCCTTCGAGAGCGACATCCAAGTTTGGGTTCATGTCATTAGTCCCTGCATGGACGAGGATGATGTTGGGCTGCTGTTGCAGTGAGGGGTTGACATGATCTGAGATGAATTGAATCGTTCGCGCATTCCAAGCGGCCTGTTAACCTGATTAGGCGAATAGCTATTTAGGAGATTACGCAACACTCACGAAGTAGTTATCAGGGATCGTTCCGCGAACTGTCTCGGTTCCGATGAAAGACACGCGATCATCTTCATCAAGCATTAGTCTGCGCTCTGGCTATGGGCGAATGAAACGCACTTGAAAGATTTTGTCGAAGCTTCAACCGGTATCCATTTCCATCGCCTCCATCCAGGTCACTGAGAAACCCTACAGTGATGGAATCACCAACACCAAGGATACGAAGGGCGGTTCCAGGCTTAATGGCCTGGCCGGGCTTGGTGCCTTTGAACTTGAGCGGACTTCGTGCCTCCATGACGAGTTGCTGTTGTCTGAATTGGGGCTTGGATCACTAAATGAAGCTGAAACCGACTTGATAATCTCGAGACCCGGTTGCCAGCTCTCGAGCTAGATCCTTCTGAGAGAAAAGTAGTCTTACGGCTACTGGAGCTTTTGGTCGTCAAGCGTCTCGTGTTGGCGATTGTTAAGCGGCCTATTGTTGAGCGATCAAATACAACGCTTCTTGTGGTAATCCGGCAAGAAACGGAGACTTATTCACCTCAATTCGGCGTCTTGTTTTACGAGTCTAAGAAGGAGTGATGTTGAATGAAACGGCAGGAATGGAACATTTGCATCTGCTGATCGTCGTCTGAACCGCACGGTGCTGTAGCGTTCAGACCTGTTACGTGTCTGTCTGAGACGTGATCCCCCACATTTGAAGCCCAACCACCGTTAGACGTCATGAATCGAGCACGGGCTTCGTCTCGTGCAATGACTAGTCAAGCAGGGCAGTCCTCTGAGGGCGAGGGGAAGAATCGTGTGACTGGCTTTGTTAATTGTTCTCGAACGCAGCTTTATTTGATAGTACAGTTCTGCTGGAGATCTGGATTTCGCAGAGGATGTTTCAACAATAGACTACAACGTTGCTGTCTGCAGTTGAACCTTCATCCTGCTAGGCCTGTACAACACATGGGATGAACAGCGCTTTTGAAGTCAATCTTTCGAAAGGCGGAACCGGTGATAAAATTTCCAAAGTCTATTGATAACGTTCAAGAAGCAGACGAACGGCACATGGCGGCACCAGCAATGGATCCCAACGTTCTCCCCTTATCGGCGCATGCGGGGTGATCGGCTGGCTATCTTACAGAACCCCGCAGCTGTGCATCCCGAACCTACAGGCATCCCGGGGCTCAGTTTTCCTTTGCTTAACACTGCCAATTTGGGTTTAGTGACGTGGGAAGCGTGCATGCAGTGCTTCCGGCTGTGTTAGCAAAACATTCGAGAAAACACCGTAGGTTGTTATCTGAACGCCTTATCTGGGTCGCGATAACGAGATGTCCTCATGCGATTGAAACATCGCTCAAAAGGAGAGCAGAGGATCGCTCTCATTAGATCTCCCCTGCGCCAAGCATCTTCACGTCCCGCGAAACTATGTCCACCATGACTGGGGCAGTCGATGGCCAGAATGGCCACCTTCAGAAGCGATTTTCCAAGATTACGATGGTTGGAATGGCGTTTGCGATTCTGAAGTAGGTCTTGAAAACTACAATGCTGAATGAGTTGCCCGCTAACAAGCCAAGCACATGGATTTCTTTAGCTGGATCGATCGGTCTCGTTATGCCATCCGGAGGATCAGTATCCTTCGTTTATGGATTCATATTCTGCGTTTTTTGCAACATCGCTTTGAGTGCCAGCGTTGGGGAACTTGCGTCACTCTACCCAACAGCGGGAGGCCAATATCATTATGCTTACGCGTTATCCACTCAAAAATGGAAAAAGTCAATGGTGTGCACCCAAGTAAACACTCCGTACTGGGATCCGATCTCAAGTGCTAATCAACCCTAGAGCTTCTTCGTCGGATGGGTCAACATCGCTGGATGGCTCACTCTTAACACGACTGCTGCGTACTTTGGAGGTACATCAACATCTTGAATCTCCACACTGCAGGAGTGACAGCTGACGTATGGTAGCTCGATTCCTTGCTGCAGCAGCAGTGGTTGGCTCCGGTGGCACATACCAAATCACACAGTGGAGTACTTACTTGATGTTTGTGGCTGTATCGATCGTTGGAGTGTTTCTTAATATCTTCGGTTACCCCATACTAAATCGATGGAACGAAGGAGCTTGTAAGTCTTGTTCTGCTGTAGCAGGGCCTCTGGCTAACCGTTCAGTGTACTGGTCATTGCTCAGTGTTGTGGTGATCAGCATTGTGCTTCTAGCAACATCACCGAAGACAAGCGCCGAGTATGTTTTTACCAACTTCTCCAACACGACCGGCTGGAGTGATGGAACTGCCTGGATGTTGGGTCTGCTTCAATCCGCCCTTAGTCTCATTGGGTACGCCCCCTCTTACGAACACATTCAACCACAACAAAATGCTGATTTCACTTCTAGATTCGACGCAGTAGCCCACATGACAGAAGAAATGCCGAATCCATCCAAGGATGCACCTCAAGCAATGGTTGGCGCGGTGCTAGTTGGAGGAACTACGTAAGTATCTTAAAAAAAAAGCCAATCTCGAGGTTTCTAACACCTGTTACAGTGGCATTGCCTTCATTCTGGTCATGCTTTTCTGTGCAGTTGATATTGACGTTCTTCTCGCATCGCCCACTCAAAGTCCTCTTACAGAGATGATATCACAGGCCACAGGCAACAAGGCAGCTGCGACAATTCTCAGCGTCGCTGTTGCCCTGTGTTTTGTCAACGGAGCTAATGGCTGCGTCACATCTGGAAGTCGTCTGGTTTGGGCCATGGCTCGGGATAACGGCACCCCGTTTTCAAGATAGTAAGCACTCCCGACTGTAGCTGGCCAAACACGATCGACGTGACGTATACTAATTGTATCTAGCTTATCGCATCTCCATCCAAGGCTAAACGTCCCCGTCCGAGCCATCCTTGTCCAGGCCGTATTCAACCTTTTATTCGGTCTACTCTACCTTGGTAAGCTACTCAGATTTGTCAGTTGCATCAAAGCAGGCTGTACTGACAAATTTTCATCAAGGTCCGGAAGTGGCCTTCAATGCCTACATCGCAAGCTGCACCTTGTTTCTCAACCTGTCGTACGCTTTGCCGGTCATGATCCTTCTCGCCAGGGGCCGTCACGTCGTCGCAGCGAGCCCTCCAGAGTTCTACCTGGGTAAAGGGCTATTTGGCTATGCTACCAACTGGATTTCAGTTCTCTTTGTGCTTGTCACCTCTGTTGTAAGAACCAAGCTAAACAGTATATGCTATCCGGAAACCATTCTAACGCAGCTGGGTGTAGTTCTTTTGCTTCCCGCCAGCGATTCCCATCGACATCTCTACCATGAGTAAGTACTTTGATGCCTCATTAAATTATTGATCTAATTATTGTTAGACTATGTTACTGCTGTTATTGGGGTCTTCATTATTTTTGCCGTGGGATTGTGGTTTGTGAAGAGGAAGGCGTACAATGGCCCCAAATTTGATCTCATTCTCGGAGAGGACCTGCCAGTCGCCAATTCGACTACACATGGGGACAGAGTCTCAAAAGGAGCCGACTTGGATGCTCAAGACAAGGAATGAGTATCCAAATTGTGTACAGTACTCAAACACCAGAAAAGTTATAGGCAAGGGGCATTCTAGTTCATTTGAAAACCACTGCAAGTTACCTTCTTTGCCTTCGTCATGCGATAAACGTTGCGTACTTTTGCGCCATTCTCCGACCAATGTTTTCACTAGTTAAATTGTATTCTCAATGTTTAGATGTGTTCTGAAGGGAACGTTGAATTACTTGCAGCCGTGTGACATTTTAGCTCATTCAACCCCTCCTCATAGGTTGGATGGAAGAGTCCCCTAAGCAAGCCAAGAACGACTAGATCGACTCAAGGTCGAGATTTCTAGAGGAAGGACATTATACCAAAGTTTTAATTACAACTTTGCCCCCTTGTTATATCCGTAATGCCAGTTGTCCTTCTTCAGGTCTTTCCTAATCTGATAGTTTTGCTCCGCAATCTCGACAACCCGCATGTCCACGTTGATAACACGCATGTCCTCCTCGCCATCAGTAAAACTGCCTGGGACAGTGCCCACGATAGGCAGCGTCACCTGACTGCATCCAAAGAAACCGTCCTCCCTTGGTCCAGTCGCGTTGCAGTATATGATGGCCGCGGTGTTTTCAAACGCCCTGGTGGTAAGAGATGACTGTACAAACATTCTCTCGCAAGTCTCATTGTACGCGAGTCCTTCCCTGCTCATGTCCGACAAAGTCCAATACGAAGGAATAATGATAATCTTTGCTCCTGCAAGAACAAGTTGCCGAAAGGCCTCGGGAAAAGCCAAGTCCCAACAGACCAGGATACCGACGGGTCCTAAAGGGGTATTGAAGACTTGATGAGGACTGGCTGCGACCGTTTCCGTACGGCTCTTCGCTTGGTGAGCGTAGTCAACGCTTGAAGTAAGATGTTGGCGCTCGGGAATCCAGAGGTTGGTTTTGGTGTAGGCTCCAACAATTTGACCATCGTGATCAATAAAGTAAGATGTGTTCAGAAGAGTCCGCTTCGTCTTTGCACCATCGAGGAGTGTTGGCTTTGGTGTTGATGCATCTGAAACTATAGTGCCGGCGCAGATGTTAATGTGCAGCTCAGCGGCTAAATCTTGGTATCTTCGGAGGAAGCGTTGGGCATCGTCTGCGCTCAAGGCGAAAGAGGGGTCGTCGGGGACCCATCCCATGAGGTGGTACTCGGGAAGCACAGCTAGCGATGCCCCTTGAGCCGATGCACGGCGAATTTGTTTGGAGGCATGATTGAAGTTGTGTTCAGCGTCAAGAACCTGGCCCAATGTTAGTTATTGAAACGGGATATTTGGGGCCCTTCGTACCTTCGGTGATGTTTGTACCAGCGCGACTTTGAATGCCCGCGGTTCTGACGGGGACGACATGGCGATGAGATGCGGAGGTGAAAGTGATGCCGCAAAACGGCTGATTCTCTTGCAATATTGTTGCGGACTTAACATTGCGAGAGTCTTATCAACGCCCCCGGGTTGACGGCGCGATGGGAACCACAGCTTTGCGCATCGATCCCACTTATGGCAATGATATCCTTCGCCTATGAGATACCTTTTTGGCCTAGTATCACTGCAGTGGAACCCCTCCCCTCTGTTGGTTCATGCAACCCTCCTTGGAACTCCACAGCCGATAAGTGCCGCCCCGATGAGCCCCCGCACGCCAGCTCGAGTCATTCTGGCAAACTCAACAGCAACGCCCGAGGCGTGGCCTATGAAGTCTGAAATTCTCACTAGGAATTGGAATGTCACAAGTCCACACGAAAGCACTTGAATGAGACTCACGAACCCACGGTTTGGCCTACATGCTAACATGCAAGCGTCTCCGCGCAAAATTATCACACGATCTCGCAACGGATGTGCTGTCTGCAAGTCTAAACGGGTAAGAGACAGCATTGCGCATTATCTCTGCTGTACTGAGCCATGCTGACAAGCAAAAGCTGAAATGCGATGAGGTAAAGCCTCACTGCTCGCGTTGCAAAAGGCTCGGTATTGCGTGTCCGGGCTACCGAAAACCTCTGAAATGGAGCTCGACCTCAATGGCACTGGGCGGTGACTCTCCTTCGCCTGAGATAACGAGGTCACCTCCTGTATGGGAAAGCATGGGGAGTGTTTCTGGCCAGTCGCAGCCTACTAATCAGTCTCCAAAAGACCTTTGCGACCTGGACTTCTTCAACTCTTTCGCCGAAGCCGACACCCCTGGGAGCCTAGATGTACAAGATATAGGCGATCTACAACATCTGTTTTCGGCATCAGACATTGCCAGCGAGAAGACATATCCAACACCTAGCTCACGAGTTGAAACCTCACAGCTTCAAGTTGTAGGTAATGGCAACGATGGAAACATCTGGCCCGTGATACCCCCACACAACCCAAGTCATAGATCAAAAGAGCTTGAACCGTTTCCGAGCGACCTATCGAGCCCCCCATACCCGCTATCGCATTCTCTGCAAGACGATTCATCTACATTAGTCGAGTACTACTTCAAAGAAGTATGTGGCATGATGTCTTGCTACGACAGCGACATGAATCCGTACAGAACAACAATATCCAAGCTCTGGACACAGTCACCCTCTCTCTATTATGTCACCCAAAGCATGTCAGCAGCTTGCCTGTCTGAAGTCTCTCCCGGCTTCTCGGCAGCTAGCGGTCGCCTTGGCAACCAAGCTGTCACATCTTTGTGGAACGAGAGCAAAGCCCACCCAACGAACACATCCTCACTCCTGGCTCTAGTTATGCTTGGCTTCAGTCTTTGCTGGCACAACCCTCAAAAACTTGGCCAGGACGAATTCAAAATGCTTGCCGAGGCGGTTATATCCCTCGAGAACAATGAAGATGACCTGGCACTTGCCGATCGACAAAAGAAGTTTTTCTTTTACAACTCTCTGGTGTATTGGAAGATGCTGCTGTCCTTCGTCACCGACCAAGAGCTGCCGTCGCTTGGCTCTACCCGAGCAATCCTTCCACAACCGTGTCGGCTCCCAGAACAAGACAACTTACGAATGCCACATCCACAGACCGGACTAGGAGTAGAAATCCAAGAGCTTGTTGCCCAGGTTGGTGCTCTGGTCAGAAGAGAGCGGAAGAGAATCAGACGTCGCCGTCATTCTTCGAGACGTGACATAGAAGAGTCTCTCAGCGCTATTCAAACTTCCGAAGATCTGCACTCAAAGCTTTGTCGCATTGAATTGCCATCGGATTCTGCTGTCATAGACTCTGGGGATGATAGGACCCCAGCAAACCATCTGTTGAAAGCTGCTGAAGCCTATCGCTGCACGGGCTTGCTGCAGCTATATCGAAACTTTCCCGATTTGTTTCTCCGTGATATAGAATCGGCGAACCTTACAGACCAGTCCTCTTGGTTGAGCACGACTTATGGTGGTGTTGCAGCACATGGCAGCTCCAGAGTCTTGCTAGATACATGGCTGACCAGCCTTGCGCTTCATGTGCTCGACCTTGTGCATGAAATACCAATGTCTTCACGGTCTCGATCCATTCAGCCTTTACTCCTTGTCAGTATCTGCAGCGAGCTTTCGCTTAACCGCGGGTTTGTGCCCATCGGCGAACTTCGAGGCTGCCCCGGATTCAACGCCATATCAAGTCCACGAATGGAGGTGCCGCCGACGACAACCGACATTCTCCATGGCAGGCGACTTATTCTATCTCGTCTCTCATTTTTTGAGGGTGTTTTAGCTGCCAAACCAATCCGTCAAATGCTGACCTTGATAAAGGAGACTTGGGCATCGATGGACAAAGAACAAGAAGATGTTTACTGGATGGACGTCATGATTGAGAATGGGTATGAGACGCTGATGGGTTGACGTAAGGACTGGATACTTGGCTTGGTCATAGCAGCTCCCTGGGCTATTTTTGAGCGGCTGACCACACTTAAATGCATGGTCGAAGCCTCTGCCGAGGGAAATGAAGAAGCATCATTGCGTAGGCGTGCGGAAGGTTTGACATCATAAGGAATAATCAGCCCCTCAATGCTTCCAGGCATGTCTTGAATGATCTTGAAAAGTGAGGATGCGAAATGGACAACAGTCTCCGCATTTTTAGATCGATAGGAATATGTCAGATTTTAGAGGTATTTCTCAAAAAGCCGAGAGCGCATGCTTGAGCCAAGACAAAGTCTCAAAGTTGTCTCCGTTGCATGGAATCATTGTATGAGGAGACTGAATGGCCTATCTGTGTTGCCGTCTTAGTGGATAGCGAATCCCTCCTAGAAATCCGTCTGAATCAGCTTGAAAATGGCCGTCTTCGCACGGGATTGTCGTAGCGCGGTCGGCTGACGCCTGGTACTCTGTTTTTCTCTTCGCGGAACTGATCGCCAAGGACCCAATTTTCATCGCCCCGAAGTCTCAGCTATCGGCAAAACGTGGACCAGGAGGATTCCGTAGGTCGTGTGTGCCTAATGCTTCGGTAGCTTCGGTAGCAGGCGCCAAAAGTCCTATTGATAGTCATGGACGATCCAGAGTTGACACTCTCATATGGACATGCACGCACAAGTAGTCTCATTTCTTCGATTTCTGACTGGCCCGAGCAAGACTGTACAAAACACCTCATGAGTGGGACACGGCCTCACACAGCCTTTGCGATCGTCCCGTCCCATCCGTCATAGAAACGAAACTCTGCCTCAGATGACTTGAACAGCAATTTGCAGAATTAGGAAGGTGCACTACACTGAGACAGATGCAAGGTGTTGTTGAACTCATCAGTAGTATAAAAGGAGCCGAAAGTTCTGTTCGTGACTTTCCAGCAAGAAGCAACTCATCCAGTTCTTTGCCAGCCTACTTTGAACTCTCATATCGAAATCTCTACGTATACAACATCACCTCTAGCCCGGAATGCACTTCGCTACTTTGACCAAGACCGTTCTGGCCGGCATTGCTCTTCACGCAGGCACAGCGACTGCCATCTTTGAGTGCAATGCGGATCAGCATGCTTTCGAACCCACGAAAGACAAGTTCGTGGTACACTACACCTCTATTCGCGACTCGAACTACGATGACGGTCAACCTTGGGTGAGTGATGCTTGAGATGATACCCTTCATAGAAACCAGTCCATCTCTTTGGGCGCATTTGAGCTAACAGGGCAGTAGGTTCGCATTTGCAAGCCCAAGGGTGATCTCAGCGGCTGGAACAACGTCGACCCCCTGAAGACCCCTTGTAAAAGCGATCCAGCAACACACTTGTCTACCAAACAGACCGGTCTCAGGAACGAGCTGATCGTGACGAACGGCGAAGGATGCGACAGTGGTAGTGGTCACGGCCTCAATGGCGCATCAATGGTTTACAATGACCAAGTAGCCGTTCTAGAGGGCTCTAACGGTCGATGCGGACCTCGAGATCATGGAGTCACTTGCGAGTTCAATCTCTAGTAAATTGTCAGACCAGCGGAGAGCCCCGAGCCACGGCTGTACGAAGCAAGAAAGAGCATCGAGAAATATACAGATGAGATCTTTTTGTATTTGAATCCGATCGCATTATCGGAAGTACGTTTCGAATGATTATTGTATTTACCCATTGCAAAAACAATTGTGGCTTAGCGATGAGCTTGGTGGAGTCTTCAGTGGCCATTATCAAGTGTGGTCAGCCAGCATGCACGTAAAGTTTTCGGACGAGCCTCGTGAAGAATTCATGTTTCCGTCAATGTCTAGTGGTTGTCCTTGGGCCGAGAACTATATTCAAACGCTGCCGTCTCTACAGAAGGTGGTGCGGGAGAATTGGGTCTTGCAGCAAGTGGTGTAACTCTCCTGCGTCGAAGGCTCGCACTCATAACCGTCTGTTGATTGTTAGTGATCTTGCAGCACATTTGTTGAGATTTTGTTACTTACTCCACTTTCCGTCGCAGCAGGTGATTGAATCAACGTTGCTGCCGTCGCAAGAGCACAGCAGGGCCTGGGAGGCTCCGATGAAGGGGCTGTGGACCAGATGTCAGATTACAGTGCTTTCCTCATGATGAAGGAAACTTACAGGACAAAGAACAAGACCTTGGACAACTGCATTTTGCTTGTGATAGATGATGGCTATGAATTAAGGGAAAGGCAACATTGGTTTCAAAGATGGCGACAACTTGCTCTCATATATAATTCATAGTGCGTGTCCGTGTTGTCCGAGGGTTTCGTTCCCCGGATCAAGCAGGTTGCTTTTCTGGAACTTAGAGTTAAGGGTGCGGAACCTGATAAAGTGCAGTCCTTCTTCTTTGGGAAGCAATCCCGCGACGATTAGATTGGGCGGCCCCGCCACGGAACGGGAACAAGGACGCAAATGGTCAAGATCGCTCCAGTCGCTTGGTAGCTTTCGGGATTCATCAGCCGACCACATAGGAGCTCCAGCCAAGAATTCCTGCAATCTGCCCCTTGAGTCCGGCCTCGGGGCAACTTGAAAGGGGCAGGACACACACATGATCAAAAAAGGGAGGAGTTGTGGCTGCGTTCATGTTTTGGTGGTCAGTGCGACTCTGCCAAATAAACGGCTGTCCGGAACAATCCAGCTCGAGTCACGCGTCATTGTGGAATGGAAGCTTTCTGCCTCGGCGAACGAAAGCTTCCCAAGAAGTTGCAATTCTTGGTTTCAAGCTGCTAATGACACCTTCCTACACGAGAAAACAGGAAATGGTCTGGAAACACGTGTGGTGTCTTACAAATCTGCACGCTACCTAATAGTGAAATTGACCTCACCCAAAAAGCTGCGAGGAAAGAAAGTGGAGTATTGGCGAAGAAAAAGTTTATGTGAAAAGACTAAGAGCCCAGACTAATAGGAGAACAACCCTCAGGGGCACTAATAACATCTCCGTCGTAGAAAACCGTTGTCTAATGTGAAAGCCGGCAAACGCAAATCCAGTCTTACAAGGGCGTCTTCAGCCAGACCTTGGAAGAGTAATTGAGCCACCGTCAAACGTCACTTTTGAAGCTTTCCCTGTGTGGGCCATATCGAACACAAACTGGACGTCCACACTGGATCCCAGAGAGCCAACATCTTGCCAAGTGATGCAAGTGGGTGTGCCCATATCAACGGGCGCGCTCTTGTCCTGGAATACGGCGACAAACTGATGCTGAGCTTCAGTCATCACGTTGCTAGGGTAAAGACGAAAATCAAGATTCTCAAGTTTGATGCCAGCGGAGGTCGCAATCTCATTCCGGATATCAACATCGCCCTTCCTTAGCGATGTCACAATGAGCCCAGGGCCATCACTCGAGACGTTGAAGCTTGCTGACCCTGCAGGCCCATCGAAGGATCCAACGTATCTTGCTTTCGCCTCTGCAGCTGCGAGTTTCTGCAACTGCACAATTGCAAGAGAGACAATGTCAGCGTAGACATTCAAGTCGGGTCCTCTGGCAGCTGCGGTATCATGAGCAAGAATAGCGAAGCCTGCGTTGAAGTCTGGGGCCAGACCAAAGTAGCTTGCGTAGTGGCCAATCAGGCCTGTCTTAGTGTAGACATCGAGGATGGAGCTGTTCGCATACTGGCCCGCGTGGTAGATCTCCCATGGGCGACCAACACCATTTCGCAAGTTTGATGTATCGGCGACGGGTTGGAGCCAACGACGTGTCGCGGCTTTGGGGATGAGGCGTGAACTTAGCATGGAATGGCCAGCACGTGCAAGGTCTGAGGCGGTAGAAATGACAGATAGCGCGCTGTTATTTGATAATCAGTGGACCGAAGATTGTGGGATGCGAGGATACACTTACCCAGGTTCTCCGATAGCCGACGTATTGAGGCCGTCTGCGAAGACTTTCTTATTCTGGGCCAGAAGTCCGCTATTGGTCATGTTAAGCGGTCTGAAGATTGCCGTATCGAGGATTTGATCGAAATTCGCAGATCGGTTGCCGGCTTTATGGGCTTCAAGCGCAAAAGCAAGGAGCTGGAAAGCAGCGTTCAATATCACCGGAGTTGTATCAGGGAGAAACAGCGGTGACTGTGTAGCGAACTTCTCAACGAAGTCGTTGCGGGCGCAGGCCTCATCCAACCTACAAGCGAACGCTGTCGAGAGTTAGCTGAGATCTGCATGACTTTGCTTGAATCCAGATAACCTACAATCCCTTGCAAGGCCGGACATCTGGCCAGCCAATGCCCCGATGGTGATCTCATCCCACTTGACTGCCAATCCAGTGGACACATTGTCTATTTCTGGGATAAACTGAGTAATCGGTGTCCCCCAATGCTCATCGCCAGCTTCCACGAGCCAAGCATAGACTGTGAAGAGTTGACTTAGTGTGCCGAGTGGGAAAATAGTGTCGGAGTCTAGGCTCGAATCCTTGGGGGCTTCAGATGCCGTATGATGATATTCGAAAAAGACAGGATTCTCCTCAGACTCGTCGGAGCCTGAGAACAAAACAACCGAGAAAGAAGTAGTATTCGGTGTAATGTCGCCAAAGTCATCCGATCCTCCTTTCTGAATGAGTTGATCGAATAACTTGGTGAATTGGTCCGTGAACGACTTCATCTCCTCAGAGTTCTGATCAATGCTTGGAGCAGGGTAGTAGGCTCGAAGTAGTGGGCATGGCTGATACGTCGGAGTGTCTGCTAAACTGGCCCCTGTCATGGACAGTACCAGAGTCGCTAAGACGGCCAAGGAGGTCGAAGAGTGCATTTCGATTTCGTTGGGTGGGAACAGTTGTGAGCTGAATGGCACGAGACACGACCTACTTATCGGAGACGCGCCTGTCTCTTATACAAAAACCACCCTTTATTTTGACACTCGAGATGTTCAAAATTTCAAACTGATGCCGTGTACGGACACGGAGACTGATCTTTGGTGTCGGCCTCAACGGAGCCACGCATCATTGACTGAGAGCCAACCACACAACAGCAATACAGCCACAAGTATGCAAGTAACCTTGAGGGTCAACAATTCAGAGTACTTTCACGTTGGATTCAAAGGATCTAGCATCGATATCTGAGACCTTGATTTGCAAAGCGAAATTCCGTATCCGTGTCCGTGTCCGGGTCCGCCAGCCCGCTTGAAGGATTCTCACTAAAACTGAGCACTGCCCCCATGATCACTCCCCATTGCGTAGTTCCAGCTCTTGAACGGTATGAAAGTATCGTTTACGAATGCAAGAGAATCTACAGGGAAATCGGCGTTCGAGGTCATCGCAGCATTTTCGGGTAGTGTGAAATCTGTGTATGCCATAGCGTTGCTTGCTGAAGCTATGGCTGGTTGCGAGAAGACTGACGGCGCGACGGAATGATCAAACCCAACTGATTGAGTCGACAGGTTGGAGGTCGGTGTTCCAAGGCTCGAGAGAGACCTTGTCGTGGGGACGTTGAGTCCTTGAGGCGAGACACCATGCTGACTTGTGAAAAGTTTTTGTTGATCTAGATACCATTTTTCAACACGCTTCGTGCGTATGAGAAAATGGTAGAAAGAATCTCGATCACCTCTGTCGTCCACGTCTGGCGACGTCGCAGACTCAAGTCTAAGGACAACCTGTCGAATGGTGTGACCGATGTCGGAGAACTGTCGAAGATGTTCTGTCATGAAGCTTATCCTTGAGTCCGCTGCTTGAAGGTCTAGGCGGGCTGCTAGAGTATTTCCGCAGTGTAGCATGACCCAAACAATATTAGGGAAGTACACCTCCTGGCCTGGAGGGGTATGAAGGAGGATGCTGACGAGGGATTTTGCGGAGACAATGCTCTCCGATAATCCCTGAATTAGTCGCTGTGAAGAGGGATTCTGCGGCTTATGAAGAGCGAAAGGCGCGTCGGGAAGCGAGAGCTGGTTGAGGCACAACTGAATCGTATGCATTTGGGGTACCAAGATTGCTACGCAAGTTTGTTAGCGATGGGACCTTTAGGGCAATCGTCGAAATAACAGTACTTACGACAGTCTCCTAGAGGGAACGACAAGTGATTCTTGAAAAGGTCTATCCTTTCTCTAGCATCTGAAACGGCCGCCTGTATTTGCATTGGATCTAGCGTTGACTCGTTTTTCACGATGTCATCGATGTCTTCAGCGACCCGCTGAAGGCGAATGATGTAAGGTAGGTACTGGTCCGATGGGTACTCAGCTACTTCGGCGAGCCGATCAGCAGTCTCCGTCATATATGTTGTAAGGGTAACGATGCGGAGCTTTTGGAGAACAATGCTCGAACTTTGGATTAGGAAGGTTAGCACTGAGTCTAGCAGTAATGATTTTGATAACCAACCAAGATGAGAGATAGTATGTTCCGAGGAAAGCCCTCTGTTCATCAAGAGACTCAACGTAATGCTGGGCCGTTCCCATCCGCTCCGAGCGTTCAACATTCCATCCTTGCACGTTTTTTGGTCTATCCAGACGCAGATCCGAAACTATGCTGACAGCCAGATGTAGATGCTGGGTGTAGCGCTTGGGTCGCGGTTGAAAATGAGCCCTTCCGAGAGGATTAGTTTCATTATCGGATCACAATATTGGAGCGTGAAGGCGAGGCACTGCCTTACCAGGCAAGATGGACGAGGAGACCTTGGAGTATGTGTAGAGAGGTAAAGTCGCCCTCAATTAGACGAGCGGCGATTAGTTCATTGAACATCTGGCCTAGAGCCCGCTGAAGACGAACGTCATCGTGGGATGCTGCGGCCATCAGCGCCAGACATAGGGCTGGCTTGGTCTGCTTCAAGGTGTTCACATTCTCGTCGGCGGGAATTATGACAAACGCAAAGTGAGGAGTGAGCTTTGTGCGGAATCGATCGAGTAGCTCTTGGCCCTGCTCTACCGTGAGCTGGCCGGCGTCGAACGGATCATGTCCCTCAAGCCTCGGCCTTGGAAGACCGGAACTGGCAGTGGCTGGAGGAGGGCTCCGGCTGTGGTTAGATGAAGACGCGGCAGGACTCTCGGCGGGCGGCGGGGGGGCCGATTGATCGGGGACATGAAGTAGCTTGTTCGACCTTCTTTTGGTTCAGTCTCGGAGCCGGGATACGGAAAACTGGGGACAACTACCTTGCACGGGACCCGGGGGGTTTACGGCCACGGGCCGGTGCATACGAGCACTCTTTGCCGAGCCGGAGGCATCTATCGCAGATGACCGAGTGCTGCGTTCGATCGCATTTGATTTTGGCATGAGCACATGTGCGACACGTCTTCAAAAGCGGGGTTGGGCTGCGCTGACGGGACTTCATGGTGCTGGGCGCAGCAATGCGTGATAGCCGATGTACAGTCGTAACAAGGCATGGAATCGGCGAATGGGCGGTGGCTCGTCAAGCGCCAGAGTGTTCGAGGCGGCGCATCCGTACCTTACCTACGGACACGGAATGAAAGGACCAAAGTTCTTTGGGACGGATAGACACGGAGGGAAGGGAGGTTAAACGCAGGACAACAGGCAGAAAGATTAACCTGCTCTCAGCGAGATTACGAACGGGTAAACGGGCGCGGGCAATGGGACGCGCCCGTGAACGCCGCCGACGCAGTATTAATGCTTGATCCAATACCTAAGGACTTCAGTGGCTTAGATGTTGGAACTAATGCCGAAGGAGGCAGACTAACGTGTCGCTAAATGAGTTTGATCCACCATTTCAGGGCTGATCGCCTCCTGTGGTCAGACGCCCTGGAGCTGAAGATCCCTGGAATTCGGACTCTCGTGTTGCATCAGGCTTCCTTCGGTGCTTCATTAACGGCGGGCGCCTTTCAACGCGCCAAATGCCGATAAGCTTCCATTTCGTTACTCCAGATTTCTATGTTGCACTACCTACCTAGGTAGCCAGATGAGTGACGGATCTTGTTCTATGCACACAACCTGACGACGGGGATAGAAATTCCTATAGGCCTCAGTGGGGTTTTTTGTTTTCCCCAAGGATTGTAGCAGCGTCAGCTTGTCGATTTTTGACCGAACAAGTACTTGACTTTTCGCACCATATTGAAAAGAATCCCAAGAAGAATGAACAGATCACATGTGCGGAAAGACTTTTGAGGTTGCTACTTGCTGCCAAGAATGCATGGTCATACAATCACCGACAGCGCTCTCGATGGTCGCTCCCTTCTAATCTACTCTTCTGCTGTCACTGCAGTGAGTTACTAAGGGAGTAACGGCTTCTTACTATTTTCATTGTCCCTCAGATAGGCGCGGAGGCAGCAAGTTCCCAAGTGGAAGTATTCAATGTGGCGTAATCGTTGCGGCTGAGGTCCAACACCACTGGGAACCCATGCAGCTGAGATCGAAAACAGCCCAGTTCAGCATAGTGATAAGCTGTTACCCCGCTTCAAATACCGTAACAGTTCTGGTTTGCTTGCCAAATATTTGACCATTCTTAGTCTTCTAGCCAGAATCGTCGACTGAAAACACGCAAGCAATCACGGAACACTACCCGATGGCATCAATCCCCTACACGGACCTCGACCCCGAGAAAAGGGAAATAAGGCTCTTGGAAGTTGTTGGCGAGCCTGGAAACACTCAGATTTCGTACATATTGCATACTGTATCTTTGGATGAAAACCCGTACTTCATTGCCTTGTCCTATGTCTGGGGTGACCACCTCGTGACTGAAAACATCGACATCGATGGCCTCCAGACACCGGTTACAGTCAATCTCGCGAGCGCTCTGAAACATGTCGAAAAGCACTGGCTAGACATCCAAAGTGAGAAAAACACCGGTCGCGATGCTGTCGAGTTCCGAATCTGGGCGGATGCAATTTGCATCAATCAGCAGAACCTACCGGAGAAGTCGGAACAGGTTCCGTTGATGAAAGACATCTATTCAAAAGCAGATCTTGTGTTTGCGTGGTTATCTTCTGAAGACGGAGAAATCTCGACAAGCTTGGAGATGCTGGAAACTGCATTCTACCTCGTCAAGATCCTTGTCCACATCAACTCCGGACAGCAACTAGTTATTACTGATGACGAATGGGCCGAAACCACTCACACCCTGAATCATTCTATCAACTGGGCTGAAATGGTCCCTCTGGCCTTGGGGCGATTTGGGTATCCTAGCAAAGAAGAGCGGGAGATCTTTCCAGCCTCCAGTTGCTGGACATCTTTGAAAAAGCTGGCAGACCTGTCCTATTGGTCCCGTGTCTGGATATTACAGGAGCTGATATTGCCGAAGTCTCTCTATTTCGCCTGTCCATCGCGATCTCTCGACCACTGCAAAGCAATAATGGCTGTGACTGGTATCATGGAAGTTTTGGGGGCTATACAGCGCGGTCGAGCGCGCGATGTGGGTGCTCTAGACCGCTCCAGAGCGTCGATAATTCGTTCACAGCTATTCCTCGTCCAATGGCGCCTCAATCTCAGACAAGCATTCCATCTGCGAGGTTACGAAGATTCTTGCCTATATCATGTGCTCAGTTCCACCTTGTTTGGAACCATCAGAGCAACCAATCCTAGAGATTATGTCTATGGGGTGTTGGCAATCACAAATTTCGATATCACACCAGATTACCGCGCCTCCATACGAAAAGTCTATTTGGACTACGCAAGAGAATTAGTCAACCGCTGGAGCACTCTTTGGCAACCACGAGATCGATCCAACGGACGCCTCTTTTTCTTGTCACTTTGCGCAGCTGGAGTCCAGAGAAATGAGGACCTTCCTACTTGGGTCCCGGCGTTCAATGACCTACGCCCCAAGGGGTGGTTCATGAACGTCAGGACTTCATCTAGTCTCGCGTTTCGGGATGTCGCT